AAATTATCTACTTTTTCTTGGAACACTGATACTACAAGATTGGAATGATAAAATACAATGGATAGGAGACCTATAAAAGGTTTCAAGATTTGAATAGAAGATATATAGACACTGCTCTTGAATGGGTGTTTTCATATACATGTGTGGGACAGTTGCACCTAATATTTGTGCATTTCTTGTTCTATTTTCTTCTCCAATTGTAAGGTTTTTGGAGTTGTGCAGTTGTATAGCCTTGGATTGTCAATGCTTTTGATGTTTTAGCCTCTTGTTAAAGAGGTACCATTCATGGATGTTGACCAAGCAAGGCTATAAAGAGGACATTTTTTTCTGCTGCTTCTTAATTGACAGGTGTCAAATGGTGAATCATCATGTGCAAAGTGAAGTCACAAGGGAATCTTTGCTGGTGAAGGGGGAGCATATAAATGGTGCCTCCAAGCAAGACCCTCTAGTCTTTTTGGTGGGACCTGACTGTTCTCACTGTCTTCCACCTTTTCCACCCTTTCCCAAGACTGTAGGTGCTCAGGAAAGTGGAAAAGTGCATGTGTGCCCCATTTATGAAAGCACAAATTCTGTAAATTCTTCCTTGTAAAACAAGACAGGGCTACCCAGGGATTTTTGTGAGGAGCAGATGGGGTCATGCTTAGCAAGGCGACCCTGCTGTGGTCCTGCCATGGATTTCTCTGGGGTACTCACAAGAGGACAGAGGGGGAAATTGGTGGAGGAGATAATCCACAGTGAGCTTGATCATCAGTCAAGGGTATTGTGGATAGTTTAATGGAAAACCCACACTGGCTGCATTCACACATAACAAGAAGTTGTGGCAGGAATGGCTTGTTGTTATGTGTGAATGCTGGATGCATGGTGAAATCTGGCATATTTGGTTTCCATGAATCGCCACTGAGAACCAATGATTTCATCTTGTTTGGTGTGAAGCCAGTTACAATGTGTTTCTATGAATTGTTTCTTCCAGGAAGTTCTGTGCTGCATATGGAATTATATTTCCTCACTGAAACTTACTATATATGTTGGTGTATAAGATGACCCTTGAAACCAGCAATGGCAAGGCAAAAATTGGGGGTCGTCTTATATGCCAGGTGAATTTTTTCATCATATGATATTAACTGTTTAAAAAAGGAATCATTAACAAAAACAAGCTCATGTTTATTAATAAGCACTAAAGAAAAACCTTCTTACTGGTACTGAGAGAGCTTGTCTTGCAGTGTGAGCCTTGTGCATGGCCACAGGCCTGGTCCTGGTCCTGGTCCCGAGTCCAGCGCCTGCCCTGTTTTTGCAGGGCGGGGGGGGGGGGCAGCACATGATTCCGGGCCGTCCAGGCTGGGAAGGAGTCTGTTCCCCACGCGGCTCGCTGAACAGAGGCACAGCACTGTCTGTGCAGGCCTCCATCCACTTGCCCTCGCTCGCCCATGCCCTTCTGCAGAGCTAGTGCCAGCCATCCTCCTCGACCAGCCCCAGCCAGCCAGCCAAATTGGAGAGCAGGATAGCTATTAGCTAGAATATGGATGCCACCAGAGCCTAGGCCCTAGAAGCTTCTGTCTGGCAAATGCCCGTACATACTGGCATATAAGAGCCAGAACCATCTTAACGCATGGGCCTGATGGGCACTTGCCTGTGGGCCCCATACTAATCTGTGTATGTTAACCCTTGGAAAATTGGAAAACTTCCAAAATTAACAGTAGTTGTAGTTGTCCTAGGGGCCCCGGTACACTGCTTTGCCCAGGGCCCATAATGCTGTTAAGACGGCCCTGATAAGAGCCCCTTGAAACAAAACATAGGAAGCAAACACTGGGGCTTGTCTTATACACCTGACAGATGACAAAGAAAACAGCCCACAATATTGACCTTGTCATATATGCAACCAGCCTTATACACTGGTAAATACGGTAGCAGTTTTTTGGGAGACAGAACATAGGGGGCCTTCCTGTAACATATGATCTCTTATGAACTACACCTCCCAGAACTTCTTAGTCAAAGCAGGCAGTTTCTGTGCTTTTCCAAGGAGACATTTCTGCTGCTAAATTTACAGGCCCCAGAAGGTCACAAAAGAAAGCCACAGACTTTACAGGCCCTAAAGAAGAAAAATATTCTTTTTGGTCCAGAAAATATGTGAGTAAATTAACTGCCCTTAATTTATAATTTTATATGCCTATCAAAGATTTATGGCACTCAGATTTTGGGGTAATAGTTCTTCCAGATTTCTGGATATTTATAAAGGACTAAATTTTCTGAAATAATAAGCATATTAAAATACATGAAAATGTTATTTCTTTATTCTTATAAATCTGTGATAAAGAGGTGCTGTATGCATTCTTATACTTCTGAATGGAGTACAAGGGCAAAAACAGACTTTGAAGATCATGTGTAGCTTTTTTATTCTATTTATTCTCAGGTAGAGCCCCAGTGTGGACTGGAACTCTATAAGGGGGAGCAAAGGGGCTTTAACCCTTCCTCCCCAAATTATGGTTCCAATTTGGATCAACTCCCCATGCCAATTTTGTCAATTCCTGTGGCAAAATAGTGATTCGTAAAGCAAATTGCAGGAACTATTTGGGCCCATGGAAGGGAAAAGTCCAACTATCCCTTACTAGTCCTGTGCCTAATATAATTTTGTTGGCTCTGACTATTTTAATTATTATAGACTTTCCCCCTTAAGTTTCTAATTTTCCATTTCAATTTGCTCTATCAGCAAGTTTGAGGCATATCCTTTTCAAACATAATCAAATCAAATTAATAAAAATCCCTTTGGCTTGGCATGTTTTTATTAAAGGCTTTTCATGTTCACTCAAGCTCTGAAATTTTGGGAAATTACAGCTGTTATTTGGGCAATATAGAAGAACATCCTGTGATGTGGCTAATTCCAGGTTCACCATTACCTTGGAGTTGTTCAAGGCAGACTTTTGGACCTAAGTCTCAGATTTGCCTTCACACTGGAATAGATGCATAGAGTCTAAGCTAGTGTGCAACTGAAGCTGCTGTTCCATGGAACAGGTAGCACAGCTGTCATTTGACCTCCTGGAAAACACAGTGTGCTATTCAAAGAGGGTTATGGCTGCCAGCAGTCTCATCAAAGGTGCTTGCAAAATGTACTCTGAAGGGGTACTCGGTGTCACACCATAAAAAGAGTATGTTGTTTTAAGCAACTCTGGAAGAAGAGGCAAAGAATACTGTAAGTTTCTGCATTGACAGAAATCCCTACTGGAGGCCTTCTTATATACATGTACAGTAGGTGCTCATGGTGGTGGTGAGCTGTTTGAGATTGTAAAAAGTGAAGGAATGGTATGCCAGTGTTGCTTTCAAGGCTGTAGCAAGGCTGTACTGCAACTTCTAGTCCATAGAACCCATGGCTCTTCATAGTAGGCCTGCGTATAAATATTTCCAGGCTAGAGCATTTGCCCCAACCCCTCCAAACAATAATTTACTGGTCTTCAGCTCAAGAAGAATCTGTCTATAATGTTTGCATCTGACCACAGTTCCTGTCCTCCCCAGTATTAGCCATTCAGATATGACTTAATTCCTGACCTTCACTTGCAGTTGCCCTTGTCTTGCCCTTCTGAGGATCTTTCCATTTTTATTTTCAGCTCTGGTATTCAAATCAAAAGAAAATGTATCTTGAAAGATCCTTAAGAGAGGCTCTAGGAGCCTAGCCTCTTGCCTTCGCCTGTTCAACAGAGCAATGCCTGTAGATTCAAGCCACTGGTCCCAAGGACCCTAGGCTGGAGAAGATGCCTTCTGGGTCTGCAATGGGTACAGCTGCCCATGACCTGAGCCTGGTTCTGGGAGACAAAATGGATTAACAGAGGGAATCTGTGTTTAGATGGAGAGTGGTTAAAAGTACTACTGCAAATTACAATAGACAAAACAATTTTGTTGATGTGTTCAGAATTTGGGATAATTTGAGAATTAAAATTTGAATTCAATAATATTCACATTTTGCTTTTTAAATTTGATTTTAATGGATATTCCTTTGAAAGAATGATGACTTTTAAGGCAGTGATAGATGGCTTGCTAAATTCAGTACTTGATCACCTTGTCTTGGCTTACAATCCCTCAATCCAAAGTAACTATCACTATTAAATTTGAAAGAGGGAAGTGGAATTAGGCCAGTATACATTCTATTTAATACAAATTTAAACTAGAAAAATTTGCTCTGGATCACTGCATGAAGACCCTGCAGTTGGTTTCACTTCTGTAAACCAGACAAGACCATGAGTAGCCAGGAGTACTAGAATGGGAAGATGGGCAACCACCACACGACAACGAAATTGACCCGTTCTTCTTGATGATCCCACTTCTTCCCTCAGCTTGGGTGAATTCCCCCCTCAAGGGTCACCAGGCCTCAGAACCTGAGCAGCCATTTCAGAGGTTTAACCTCTTGTCAGGATCTTCAGGGAAAGGAATAAGATCTTGGGGTTTAGAGGCAGGATGGTTTCTCCTTAGCTAGATGAGGGTTTTTGCCTGTTCTCCCTATCTTCCTCGTATTTGTCAGACTCCATCCCTGATGTACAGTGGCAGCATACACAGATTTTGCTGCATCTGTTCCGCCTGTATTTCATGGACTGTTAGACCTCTGTTCTTGACCACTCATTGACAAAATCAACATTTGCAGGGGTGCATAAGATTTGTATTCTTGTTTGCATATGCAAGTCTGTGCTAATGCACACTTTTGCCACTTTGTATTCACCCAGACTCTTCTCCAATGCAAATGTATTGCAAGTCAACAGAATCTGCTTGACTCAAAAAATGCCAATCTTCTCTGGAATCTACAGGTCAGAAATCCAAGCTCATTTGAATTTGTTGCAGATTTCTGCAGCCATGCTCTTCCTCGGCAGTCACTACTAGGTCTTACCCTCATCCTCAGCAGACACAATTCAAATCTCAGAGGAATGCCTCTTGATATCTAGCAACCCATCCACTTTGATCTTCATTGCTTTTCCACCTCCCACAAGAAAAACAAAAGAGATAGAGAGGCAGAGTCAGCAGGCTCAGGTGTGAAAGAGAATTTAATTGAGCTGTGGGATTGTCTATTGGTAGACTTTTTGGGGAGGGTGTGTTTTTCCATTATTTGTCACTGTTGCTCAGTTTGAGGGTGAAACTTCTGGAGGTCAAAGCAAAAGTGATGGGGAGCAAGATGGGAAACAGGCGAAGAGGAAGCAAGTACCATGTGACCAAACATCCAGAGGGGAATGGAAGGGAAAGCGGTCTGAGCAGGGTGCTGATTGCAGTTACACACCCACAATATACTGACCCACAACACCCCACGAAGCATGGCACAATGATACTGTGTATGTTAGCAGCACATCTTGCCCTTGTGTTTCAGAAAAACACAAATCAGTGTAACATTTCAGATACGAGGTAACCAAACTTTGATGCAGGTACTGGACCACTCACACACACTCCATGCTTGAATCTAAGAAGTGTACTTGAGGCTGACTAGGACCACGCATACACGCACCCCAACCAGCTGTTGACAACACACAGCACACAGATTACTTAAACACAAACTCATATCAAGGAGCGAAACACAGACCTTGACATTCCCAAGTGGTAGCAGCACAGAAACACACAACCTTGCATCAGTAAACAAACATGGCCTGCACACCAGTTTAAGGACAACCTTCAAATGTGCACATCCTTGCCACAACATTGGGGCAAACATGCTCACACCATTTTACATTTGGATATAGCCATTATTCAAGCAGACCCAGAAAGCAGACACTGTGCAACACATGCAAAGCTGGTTTGCAGCACTGCATTGTGATGGGCAGAAAGAAGCTTCATTCTCAACATATTGTGGGGTAATTCCAATGAAGGGACCTGAGGCAGAGAGACCAGGAAGCCGGAGCAGGAATGAGAGTAATGGGAGGAGGAGGATGTGGCCTAAGGAGCACTCAGAGTCTGTGTACGGGGAGTCAGCGGGCAAGCCAGTGTGTGCTAAGGGCATCATTTATAGAACACTTGGGTTACGGAAGTTGTGCCCAGCAAAACGGGCTTCATCGCCAAGTTCCTCCTCAATCCTGCAGAAGACAGACATAGTGATAGTTAATGGAGCTCATGTCACTGTCCCTACACCGCAGAAACTTTTCCTGAAATGTAAGCAAAAAACATCATGACTAGTTGCCAACTTGTGTATCTAAGCGGTTAAGAGTACAGGCTTTGATTTGGAAAACCCCAGTTACTTTGTAAACTTAGACAAACTCCTGTTCTTCAACTCTTGATGCAATAGAAGGATAAGTGCCTACATTATAGAGTTGCTGTAGGGATTATTAAGACCACATATGTGAAATGGGTTTCTATGAATTTCTTAAATGAAGCATATAACCAGCAATGCCAACATCTAAAATCTATATTCATATAAATTTGTTTTCCTCATATGCCTTTCAAAAACCAAAACCTGCATGCTAACTTTGCTTGGAATCTACAGAGGACACTAATGATTTGAAGTGTTCAACGATTCATGATCAAGGAATGGGAAGCAAAATATTTTTATGGACAACTGTAGAAGGCCATGCCTTGAAATCCAATACCAGGAGCAACTCCCTGCATTTTGCTGCCTTAGGTAGGGTAAGGTATGAAGTCTTTGTATAAACTGAGAATTGCCCTAGAATTTACTGTGGCACTGCATGATACAAACTAAAAAAACTGTCTTACAACTTGCTTCCATCGTAATGGCTGCATGACTCTTCAGCCATTGTTTGTATAATGTCTTTGTGTGGACTCTGAGTCTTGAAAGACAGTTTCAAAAATTGACACATAAATAAAATGTACGCAATCGCCTACATAGTGAAGCCTCTTTCAGACTACAGTATGCTTTGCAATGTCCTTTGGCTTCAGGAGAATTCAGGACTGGAAGGTCCCCTGCATGGGCCCAGCCCAGTGTAAATGAGGGTGCTTCCAGATGGAGGGCTCCTAGTACTGCCCATTAGAAGTCACTGTGCAGCTATTCAGACTTTTTTCCCTAAATGAGTTTTCCCCAATACAAAAAACACAGAAGCAGAAGGTGAGTCACGAGTGGGAGACCATAGTGACATTGGACCCCCTGCAAAATTCTATGAATGAGGCGGGGCAATAGCCCTAGAAAAGCTGCATCTGGAAGCAACCTGGCTCCTGCTGGAGGACGAACTGATGAACTGAGGCACTTTCCCCACCTCCCTTTACACGTCTTACCTCATCAGCTGATTATATTTTGCCAGTCGCTCTGACCTGCATGGAGCTCCAGTCTTTATCTGTAAAAGGCAATGTGAAGTCAGCCATAGTTTATGAAGGGCCTGCAAGTGTGTCCCACAGACCTGTCATTTGGCTATGTGGCTCTAAAGGTGTCAGCAGCTCCATTGAGGTATGCTGTACGTATCTGAGGAAGGAGAAATAATAGGGATTCCGCTACCTTTTCACACTTTTGCACCCAGCTTCAGACCTCTGCAAAAACACAAATGAGAAGGAGGGATGCATTCCCTTCTCACTGCATCCCTGGTCATGTGCTTTCTTCTCCTCCAGCCTCCTGCCAGCTGAGCCCTTGGCAGTGGAAAGGACCAGTCCCTTTTCTTTGCAATGTGATATGTGCATCTGGTGCTCAGGCACACTGCATAGTAAAGTTCTAGCTATGCCCCTGGCCTTCATTGCACTTGAAATGCCTGGGTAGGGGTTGGGGGCAGAGACATTTGGGGAGAAATAAAGATGGAGGGTACAGCTGGAGGCAGGCAGGCAGGCAGAGTGATGCTGTATAATTGGCATCAACCCTGATATTCCCATGTAAGTAAGGTACTGACACTGAGATGGCTTGCTGCTGTCTGGCTCCCCACCCTCACCTTCTTCTGCCCTCCCTTACAGTCATCTGCCCCCACCCTACTTCCAGACTATAATGACCTAGGGCATAAGATCCAAAGTCTGGCCTAATGTTTCCAGTTCCTCTCCCTCTCCTAGTTTGTTTATTTACCTATTCATTTGCATTCCACCTCTTTCTGTACATATTTCTTAACTCCACCTTGGGCTGTGCTGGACTCTGAGCTACCAGTGTCACTCCGTTCCATCCCTGTTCCTTCCTGTCCTGGTGGGGCTAGTATGTGCGTTCCCAGCTGCTTCAGCCTGGCTCTGACGGTCTAGGTGCTCATGTGGAAGTGGCACTAGAACAATTGCAACATACCTGTGTGGGTCCAGGCTCAATTTCTTTGGGAAGGGGAATGATGGCATAGGATAATATCCAGCTCTGGTTTGATTTGGGCAGAAGTGGGCAATTGTGAAGGACCATCACAATTGTCCATCATGAAGGACAGGCGAGAATTTCATTGGGTTGGGTTTGACCCACCCATTTTCCAATTTTTCTCTGGCAGCAGCCTGTAGCTGCATATAGAGCTCTACCAACCCTCTCTCTTCTTTTAGGACCTCATTGTTTCTCCTAAGTGTTTGTTTGTGTGCGCATATAGCATTTGAAGTCTCTGTACCTTTTGTACACACAACCCCTATTTCTTGCCCACCCTGATGTCATCTTACTTTAGTCACACTTACTATACAAAGAGATTCTGTCCCTAAGATGATACTGTCCCACCTTCACCTCTTTTTTTCCAAAGAAGGCAGCCAAGAAATCATTTCTACCTGGTCAGAACTTACCTGCCCAGTACAAAGTCCCACCACCAGGTCAGCAATGAAGGTGTCTTCAGTCTCCCCTGATCGGTGACTCACCATCACCCCCCAGCCATTCTCCTGGGCCAGTTTACAGCTGTAGAGACATACAACAAGCTTAGTGGAATTGCCTCCACATTAGCTGGAAGCTGTTGTGGTTTGCACCAGTCAACCTGTGACCCATAGGCTCTTGTGAAATGGAGTGGTTTGGGGGAACTTACGCTTGAATGGCTTCAGTGACAGATCCAATCTGATTGACCTTAAGCAAAAGACAATTGCAGGCCTTTTCTTCAACAGCTCGTTCAATGCGTTTTGGGTTGGTCACTGTCAGGTCATCTCCTACAATCTGAATGCCCACAGTTGCCGTGAACTTGGACCAGGCTTCCCAGTCATCCTGGTCAAAAGGATCCTCAATTGACACCACTGCAAAGACAGAGAGAATTCTGTCAGTTCCCAGTCTGCAGATAGGAGAAATTTGCAGGTCTGCTGCTCTAGGACTGAGGCTTTGGGCACAGTAGACTTACCTGGGTAGTCCCACACAAAGCTCTGGTAGAGGTCACCCAGTTCATCAGAAGTGATATAGCGGCTGGGGTCATCAGGAGACTTGAAGTCCAAATCATATTTGCCATCCCTATAGAATTCTGATGCAGCCACATCCATGCCAATCACAATCTTGTCAGTATAGCCAGCTTTCTCAATGGCTTCCTTGAGTAGTTCTAAAGCTGAGGGATGGGAAGGGAGATACAGCATGCCTTCTAAGAATCTGAAATATCTCTTCAAACGGAGATTTCCAAAGAGCAATAAGGACAGAAAAGTATTTATTATTTGGCTTAGGACCAAACAGAATGCTTCACATCAATCATGTAATAATGGCTGTTGTTTCTCCTCAATTAGGCCGCTTTAGCAGAGGGGAACTTGTTGTTGAGAAGGGAAGGGTTAAATGGAGTTTCATCTTTTTCAGCTGCCAGTTTGCTCCTCATTTCCCCCTCCAGTTACTTTTCCTGCTGCACCTGTGGTCCTGTGTCATCTTTTTCAGAGGACAGTCCTCTGCTTAAGTGGCTGCCCCAGCCAAATTCAATAAAGAGCCATCAGAGGGAGAAACTGGGCTGTGAAGTAGCCCACCAGCAGCAGCAGGACAGCAGCGGACTGAGCAAGCACATAGTTCCTCTGGTCACAGTCTTCCGCATGATGGCGCGTTACACTGCCTTTCTGTTTCAGGCATGATAATTCTTAATACACTTGCACTTATGCACATAAACTAGCACATGAAATTTTATGCAAATTGGCAGCATTTGTTTTGGTGATTCTTGCCCTCCTTTTCAGTGGCTCACAGGTGACCACTTCAGGGTTCCAGAAGCATGTTTACTTTGGAAACACATGCCTGCAACCCCACAAGGGAAAAAACAACAGAGGAAAGTAGGGCTGACCCCCAATTCTCATGGCCTCCCTTGTGCAAATCATCCTTTCGTGAACCTGCCTTGTCTTGGTGGGCAACTTGTGGCCCTCCAGATGTTTTAGTTTACACTTTGCTGCACTGATGGGAACTTTATAAGTCAAAACATCTGGAGACCTCTGGCCTAGAAAGAGCCACTGAGGCTTTATTACATTCATTGTGTGTAATGTGAAGTCCCCAGTCAGGGCAAGAGGAGTTGAGAAACATATTCAAAGAGAAACCTGAGGACACACCAAACATTTCGTTGTGGGTGTGCGTGTGTATAGTGTGATTAAGCTGACCACTTTCAGTCTGAAGGGGAAGCAGCAGCACAGGGACCCAGTCTTGATCATGTTTGCATCTTGGAACAGGTAGTATTTTCTCTAGGGGCTCCAAAGAAGAGAAGAAGGCTCTTTGGCAGTTTTGTTTATTGCTTTCTCTCGTTTTGTTCTGAAGGCAAGTAAAAATACTCCTATTCCTCCAAAGTTTTGAAAGCTGAAAATACCTTATTTCTATTAATATTACTTGTTTTTCAATGTATACTTTATTTGTACTTCTGTATTTTACATTTCCAGTGGGTAACCATGTTAATCTGTTGCAGCAAAAACCACAGTCTCTTGTGGCTCTTTGAAAACTAACCAGTGTATAAAGCTTCTGTAGTTACAGTCTCTATCTGCTAAAGTGGACTCTGTGCCCACCAAAGCTTATACCAGAATAAATTGAGGTTGCTAAGGTTCCACAAAACTCTTCGTTATATTTTAAATGTTGTTTCATGATGATAATATAGAGTTTATGGATTTTTTTCCTTGGATTTTATTATTACATTTATATCCTTCCTTTTTCCTCTTGTGAGGATCCCAAGGCAGCTTATGCAGTCCTCTTCTCCTCCTTTTCTCTTTCGACAACCCTGTGAAGCAGGTTAAACTGAGAGGCAATGATTTGTCCATGGTTACCCAGTGAGGCTCACTGGGTGACTCTGGACCAATCCACAGCCTATCTCACCTCACAGGGGTGTTGTGAAGATAAAATGCTCATCCTCCATGTTCATTCCAGGCATCCACATTGGGGTATACTCCGTGTTTGTATTATTTTTATCATTGTAAGCCACCTAGAGTATACAGCTGTATAAAAAGACAAATTAAAAATCTTAGAACCAAGAAATGGAGATAATGTTCTCCATTAGAGGTGATCAGACAGATGCCAGCAAAACAAAAAACACCTCCTCCCCGCCAGAAAAAAAAAACAAGGAAGATAAGAAAATACCATGAACAAAGAACTTGGGACTGTAGGAACACCAAGAAAACACTTGTGTTTTGCAGTGACTACAAGAAATTGTAGTGATTTTCCATTTTTTTTCTTTTTGTTACCTTCACTGTTCTCCAGGATATTGGGGGCAAAACCTCCTTCATCTCCCACATTGGTGGCATCTTTACCATACTTGTCCTTGATGACACTCTTGAGATTATGATAGACCTCAGCACCAATGCGCATGGCATCCCGGAAGCTCTCAGCCCCAACAGGCAAGATCATAAACTCCTGCATGGCTAGTTTATTCCCAGCATGGGAGCCTCCATTGATCACATTGAATGCCTGGAAGAATTCCACAAGAAAAGAAGAACAAGGTGAGATGTAATACCACAACTTGGAGCACATCTACAAGATCAAATTACTCTGGTTTAAACCAGGTGTGACTGTCATGGCCTCCCCACAAATATCCTAAGAACTAAAGATTCATGAGGGTGCTGGGAATATTTTGTGAGCAATCCCATGTGTTTCACAGAGAGATAAAACACCAGCTTTCATTGGGTTAGCAGCCATTGCAGTTAAGCAGGTTTGAGACTGCTCTACTGATTTCTAATGTGGACATAAAACTGACATACTTGTACAGAAGTTTATGGCAGGCATGCACTCCCTTCTGATATTGTGGGAATTCACTTCCCTTGTACATTTATTCACTTTCTCTACTGCCCCCTCGTGCTCTCTGTAAAATCAGGACTGATCAGATTCTTACGGGTACTGGCAGAATGAGATCTGAATTTCCAGCCAGGTCAGCAATATGTCGGTACAGGGGGACATCCTTCTCTGCGGCTGCTGCTTTGCACACAGCCAGGGAAACACCCAGGATGGCATTGGCTCCAAACTTAGCTGTGAACATTTGAAAACTAGATAAGGCAAAACAGCATAATAGACTTGTCTCTGCTCTTAAGATCTTAACAGTCATCTTTCTCTTCCACAGTATCTGCTGCTAGTATAGCTCCGGATTCCCAGCACAATTCTGCACACTACACAGCTTCTAATTTTGTTATAAATTTCTCCATTGCTCTTCTCTTCCAAGGATACTCTCTTTCCCTCCCATCTACCCTGCCCCAACCTATGATTTTTTCAATTTTTATGAACAGAATGACTAGGATTACATTTATTCTCTGTCCCATCCATCTCCAGCATGAGGTTGTCTATCTTCTCTTGCTCCACAACAGAGAGGCCCTGCAGAAAGAAACATCTCTTAAATGTAAGGAGTCAGGGTAAAACAATATTGTGCTCTGGAAGAAATTTGTCACAAATTCCTATTGCCTTTTCTGTTACTGTGCCCATATTGTTGCCTGTTCTAATTACTGCACCAATTATTATCTGCCTTGCTGCCTTCAAATTTCAGAAAAATCTGTTCTTTGTATGCAGGATCGGCCATGTAATTGGCCTCTTCAATGTCTTCCATTGCAAAAGATATTTTTTCCATCCTTTGATAATGTCCACACGCGCACACACTCATACAGAGAAAGGGTGGGGTGAGAGAATATGTCTGGGTATCCAGAAAAAAGTAGGGTGAAATAAATGGACAGAGAGAGAGAATGAGAGAGAGAGAGAGAGAGAGAACAGGAATAAAGCCTATGAGAAAATGAAGAACAAAGGGGGATCCTTACAGAGCTCACAAGAGCAGGGGCGATAGTGCTGTTGATGTGATCCACTGCCTGCAGGACCCCTACAGGAAGGAAAAAGACACAGAGAGTGTCACACAGAGGCAGAAAGAAATAGAGACAGAAAGGCAGTCAAGACTATCAGCTCTTCCCTCTAACTCCAGTTTGGGATTGAAGCCTATGGAATGTCATTGGCAAACATCTGTTCATATTACTCAGCCAAAGCAAGCCTCAGTACACACACGCTCACAGAACTTTCTACAGTCATTAGGTCTTGTTGGGTGACTAGAAGCTAGAATGCCCATACCTTTTCCAAGGAATCGGGATTTATCATTGTCGCGCAGCTCCAGAGCTTCATAGATGCCCGTGGAAGCACCACTTGGGACAGCTGCCCGGAACATTCCTGAATGGAAACCATAGGTGGAAAACAGTGAGGGAAAGAGCCATTTAAATAATCTAAGCACAGAGTTCTTCCCCGATTATATAACAGTCTTCTTGAACAATTTTAATTCTAATTGCTAGTCCTTTTACCAATGAGCTCATAATGAAAATCATATAGTTGGTATATATCAAATTGCTCAAAAAAAGTAGTTGTGCTTCTACTGTCCAGTGCTATGATATTAGGAGACTAAAAGGCACCTGGCGAATGGTTATGATTTTGGAACTATTTAATGACACTAACTTGTTTAAATTAAGTAACTTTAAACCTATTCAACAATGTGTAATTAGGTTTTTTTGTTTTTAGAACTTGACTTGAGAATACTCCTCAAATTATACTTCTGTGTTCAGTAACCACATCATTTCTGGATATGGCTGCTTGTAAACTGCTGCCTTGTGGATCTTTTTTTAAAAGGTCATTAGACCTCTCACTAGCTTGAGGCCTATGACTGTAATGGTCCCTTGTTCACCTTGTGCACAGGCAAGTATGTGAAGACTTTAGGGGTTGTTATTTCCCTACCCTGATTTTAAAATCCCTCATATCTGTGGGTATATTTCTTATTCTACAGTTATAGCCTCAACTCTACTGCCCCCCTTCTTACTTTCTCCTCTTACTGTGTTCTTATTTGTACTTTCCAATCCTGTTCTACTTCCATTATCCCTGCTTCCAGCTTAGAGTTTTTTTCTGCCTTTCAGTCTGAATTACACTCTGTTGCTTCTGCTGCGTTCCACTGACTTCCTGGCAAGGCCACCCTAGATTCGGATGGAACCCCAGAAGAGAAGGCGAGCCTTGTTTCCGACTCAAGCATTTACGGCAGGGCAAGGGGAGTCTGAGGATGTTGGCAGCCCTCACAAGACTACCATCCGGGGGGATGTTCCGCGCAAAGAGGCCATGGCATTGGAAGAACTGAAGTAGTGTCTCTCTCCCAGGAACAGAGGCGGCAGTCCAGAGTACAAGGTGCAGAACCTGCCCAACAGCTTGTCCAATAATTCTGAATGCTACTTATGGGGAGGGCCTCGCTCTCAGTCCAAGCCCTGGTGACAAGCCAGGAAGGTGGGGGCAGCAGCATCACCCATAAAGCTGCTCAGTTGGAGTTCGGTCGCTGCTAAAACAACCATTCTGTTGTGCCCCATGCTGGGCAGCGCCATGGGCAGCTTCTTTATCCTTGATGAAAAGACCTGTTTTGGCCAAGGTAAAATTTGGATCACATGTTGGACTTGGCTAAGACAGGAAAGCTCTTTCTTTTCTTGGAATCTTCTGCTTTTACTTCTCTTCCTTTTTCTTACAGTTTACCGATCACAATGGAATTAATGCCTGAGCATTATTAACATTGGCCTATCATTTTCTGCTCCTGTTTATCAGAATTTTCTTTAGACTCTTCTGAACTTTCTGTTCTACAAACTACTTACTTTTCTTTCCAAAGTTTAGCTTTTGTTTATCTGTTACCCATTTCTTTCTGCTTGTTCATCTTTTAAGCTATTCAGTCTGAATTCTGTGGCCATTACATTTCTTTAATTCATGCTTCTAATTATTTGCTTCTTTCTCTTTTTTCTTGTTCTTCTTTTACATTTAGCCTCAGGTTTTCATAGTGTATTTTTTCTTATTGCCTTTTTGCACAATCTTGGATTTTTGAACATTTTTGCAGTTTAATTCTGATCATTCTGATTGCTCCTTGCTTTTTTCCTCTTTTTCTTTTGATCTTGGGGTCACCCACACTCATTTCTTGATTCTTTTCTTTTTCAGTCTATTTTTTCTTCTGTAGCTTCTCTTCTAAATTCTTTCCAATTTTACTATCATTTTTACACATCATTCTATTTCTATTTGATATTTTTCACCTTCTCTTTCTTGGCCTTAGATATTTTGCTTGATGGCCTTGGTTTTAATCTATTTTTATAAACTGAATGCCTCTAAAACAACAACATGGCATGAGCACTAACACTGTGCAAAGGGAGGGGACCTTTAGAAGAACACCAATAGGATTAGCTGGCACAATGGGTTTTCCAGAGAATCCCATCAGACCAATACTGTTGGTGCTGAGCCGGAAATATCTTACTCTAGTACAATGTAATGTAATACTGGCAGCAAACTGGAAACTGTTATTTGTTCATCATCTTCTGCTTTTCCTTCATGCTTTTCTTTGTTGATTCTGTTAAAAGCTCTCCTTCTGATCTGTTCAATCTTAAATGTTAAATGGTCTGGGCAGCTGATAATTCTTATCACTTCAGTGTCTTAATTTCCCCAAGCTGTGTTCTTTTTCAAACTTTTTCTGCCATCTACTAAATAAAACAGTTGTTAATGCTTTGAGATACAGAAAGGTGAAGTATAAATTACAATGAAAATGCAAAATTATTGCAACACGCTTCTTTCTGGTTTTCCGGTTTCTTCCTTTTTTCTTGCACATAGTTGCTGAGCTTGTTAGTTCTAATTTAGATCATATCACTATACTTTGTCCTCTGCTCTGGCTTTTTTTTCTTCAAATACATTGTTTTTGAGGAAAAATGTTTGCAATTTATTACATTTTTCTCTTCTTTGTATAGTTTCCTGTTGCTGCTTTTTTTGCGAACCAATATTTCTTCATCTATTTCCTGTGATCACACCTTTTAGTTTTCAGTTTTTCCTTGGAATTCTCTCCCTTCTGACATGCAAATAACCCTGTCGTTCCCTGTATTCACACAATGAGATGTTTACTTTGCCCCTTGTAGTGTGAAGTAAGATTAGATGTCTGTTTCATAGAACTAAGAAGTTACTTTCATGCATGCAGCTTCCACAGTCCTACACGATCAGTTGCATTTGATCAGCTGATAAAATCCTTAGCACTGAGGCAAACATTCATAATGAGCTCTATTCTGTGTCATTAAAAAAAATGTCATAAATAGTCAGGGAAGAAATACAGAAGCAGAGTTTTCTTTGAATGCATTGCTCAGAATTTGCAGAAATGCTTGTCAGCTCTAGGGTTGGAGCCTTATGGGGCAGGGATAAAGCCCAGTGGCAACGCGTTAGACCGAGAATCACTCCTGGCAGCCTCCGGCACCTCTGTATTAAGTGTGATCAATATGAGTGGAGGAGTGAGCTGCAAAAACTGTCTTCATACCAAGGAGACCATATCCTGCCACCTTGTTCTTACTTTTTCCCTGGGAACTCTGAAAAGAAAACTAACACAGGGCAACTTTGGATCCATGTGTGATTACAATTATGCATTTGAGTGAATTAAAGCTTTGCTGTGAATTAATTCTTTATTTCTAAGGTATTAAATATTGCAGACACTAGACCTACAGAAACATAGCAACTGGTACAAGTAATCCACAGCTTTATACTGAGGGGGGCGCATGTGTTAGTTAAGGAATCCCTAGGAGCAGGGCCTTTTCTGCAGCTGCTGCTTATATTTGGAATGCTCTCCCTAAGGAGATTCGCCTGGCGCCTTCCTTACTCTCTTTCCAGTGCCAGGTGAAGACCTTCCTTAAAAAAAAAACCAAACTAATTTCCATAGACCTTTGTTTGGTATGTTTTACTGTATTTTATTGTTGTATTTTAATGTATAATAAGTTATGGTTTTTATTATGTTTTATTGTGTTTTCATCTTGGGTTGTGAGCCACCCAGAGGTGCTGGGCAGCATACAACTTTTAAATAAATAAATATTTTTTTTAAAAAGAGGAATGATCTCCACACACTATTTCTGGCTTTAAAATCCCCCACTGTTGAAGGACTGTCATGTCACATTTCACTTCCCTTCCCAATTCTCTCCTGCCTGAAGTTGCACCGTATCACAGAACAGAGCCAAATGAATTGCTTCATGCTTTCCTCTATGGAAAACTTGCTGGAGGGACAAAGAGGTGCAGTGCCAGCCTCTGTCATGTGCATTTGCCACTTCTTTCCTTTCCCAGCTTACTGTCCTTCGCTCACAGAGCAGATTCATGGGTACAGTGCCCAGGGTTACATTTACTCCACATCTATGCATACCTTTTGCTGTGTACAAATCCACCTCGACGGTGGGATTCCCACGAGAGTCCAGGATCTCTCGGGCATGGATCTTCTCAATGGACATGGTGGAATTTGTCTTCTCTGGAAGCAGGCAAACAGGATATGGGGGTTCAAAAACAGAAAGAAAGACAGTGACTTTGCTTTGACGCCTTTACTCTGTGTTCTCCTCCCAAGGTTCCTCAGCCTCAAATTGGTCAAAATATAATTAAAAAGCTTTAATTAAAAGCTTTAATGTGTTAAAAGTTACACAACTTGTAATAAAAAGCTTCATTCCAAGAGCAGAATGCTTGTGGCTTGGTAGCAGGCGGCAGTCTAGTTAGAATGTTACTGTTTGACCAGATTTTCACCATCTGGGGCAGTTGTCAGAACTGAAAGTGGCGAAACTAAAACATGTCCAGTTGAGCTATTGACACTCTTACTATGGCTACATGCACTTCCATAGCATACATGTCCAAAGGCAGCCGTCCTTTCACAAAGGAAAGATACTCCATACATGCTCAGGGACACTTTGTCTTTACAGTTTTTATGTCTTTTCCTTGGGGGACATTTGCACATGCTCAGAGGCACTAAGGCCAAGGTGCCCAGTGTTTTTGTGAGCCAAAGGTGGCCATGGCAGGCCTGCACAAGAGACACATTGCATGCCCTAATTTCTAGCAGCTTTCTCTGGAAAAGTCAAGGACTCCAGTGCAGTTTGCAATAAGCCCGAGGCCTGAGCTGTGCAGGTAGAACTTCAGATGAGACTGTGTCACATGGAGTGAAGGGCTCCCATGATCCTTCCTCCCTACTGCCATTGCTGGCAGGATTCAGTTCCTTCTGACCAGAAGCCTTCCATGGCCTGCAGAGATGAGCTGGTATTTTCCACAGTAGAATATCATTCCCAGAATGCTGACTTCTCTGCCTGAGAGAATGAGCTGTAAGGTTGGACGTCCCCGGTTCAAACTCACTGGCACATCATTTGTCCCTTCTGGCTATCATACATGGGAAATAATCGTGCCCTACCATATAAGTGTATTGTTGGAATATTGAGATAATGTAGGTAAAGCACTTAAGATGAGCTTATAGGTATATGAAATACATACCTGAGTTTCTTGTTATGATGGCCCTTTGAAGTGAATGTACATTTTATTTTTTATTTATTTATTTTATTTATTTTTCGGTTTATATTCTGCCTTTTTCCTATCAAGGGCTCAAGGCAGCTTACATCATTCTCCTCCTCCATCTTATCCCCACAACAACAACCCTGTGAGGTAGGTTGGGCTGAGAGTCTGTGGCTGGCCCAAAGTCACCCTGTTGGCTCCATGGCTGAGCGGGGACTCAAACCCGGATCGTCTGAGTCCCAGTCCCACGCTCTGAACCACTTCACCACACTGGCTCTCATTATTTAAAGTTTTTCTATATTGTCCTCTTACCACAAGAGTCTCAGGGCAGTCTTACAATAATAGAAAGTGAAGCACAGCATCATCTTCTATAAAATCCCAATAAAAATTGCAATTTAAACCTTAAAATGTTGGGGAAATAATAAGGTTTTTTGTCCTGGTGCCAAAAAGAATAAAGTGTTGGTGCCAGGTGAACCTCTCTGCGGAGCATATTCCATAACCGGGGTGCCACCACAGAGATGGCCGTTCTCCGGGTAGCTACTCTCCTAATATCCTTCAGAGAGGGCTCTCAAAGAAGGACCTCCAACTCATATCTTAAGGGTGGGCAGGCACATCGGGAAGGAGATGCTCCTTCAGTTATGCAGGCTTAGGGCTTTATAGGTCATCACCAGCATCTTAAATTGGGCCCGGACTTCGATTGGTAGCCAGTGTAGATGTTACACTGTGCATATCTGCCAGTCCCTGTTTACATCCTGGCTGCTCTATTCTGAACCAACTGAGGTAACTGGACTGTCTTCAAGGGCAGCCTCCGATAAAACATGTTACAATAGACCAATTAGGAGGTTACCAGATCATGGGCCATAGTTGCTAGGCTCTGCTCATCCAGGTAAAGGTGCAGTTGATGAATCAGCCAAACCTGAAGGAAAGCGCTCCTTGCCACAGCAGCCATCTGGAGCTCCAAGGACAACTCTGGGTCAAGGAGCACTCCCAAACTGCGCATCCTGTCCTTTCAGGGGAGTACAACCCCATCCAGAATAGGGCTAAAGTCACTTACCCAGAAAGCTGAACCAGAAAGCTGAACTGCCTATCAAGGACCTCCGTCTTGTCTGGATTAAGCCTCAGTTTATTGGCCTTCATCCAGCCCATCACATCAGCCAGACACCGGTTAAGGACAGCCAGTGCCTCACCTGGACTAGATGTAAAAGAGAGGTAGAACTGGGTGTCATCCGCATACTGGTATCATCAGCATACTGATGACTCCGCAGCCCAAACCCCTGGATGATCTCTCCCAGTGGTTTCATGCAAATGTTGAAAGGCATGGGGGATAGAATGGAACCCTGTGGAACTCCATGGCAAAGCTGCCATGGCGCAGAGCCATAATCCCCCAGCACCACCTTCTGGAATTGGTCAGCCAAGTAGGAGTGGAACCACCGCAAAACAGTGCTTCCAACCCCCCAACTCGGCCAGTGTATTCAGAAGGATACCCTGGCCAGTGGTATCGAAAGCAGCTGAGAGGTCCAGAAGAATCAGCTGGGATGCACTTCTCCTGTCCCATCCCTGCACAGGGTGATCAAGGCAGTTTCAGTCCCATAGCCAGGCTTGAAACCAGACTGGGTGGATCCAGATGGTCAGTTTCCTCCAGGAGAGCCTGGAGTTTCCTGGCCACCACCCACTCAAGCACCTTGCCCAAGAATGATAGCACATGAGGCACATGAATTCCTGCCTCTTCCTTCTCCAGTCCCTTTACCTTTGTGGGTCACATCTCTTTAGAGCCAAAGTGTGCGGGGATGCTCTTGTTTTACTGATTAAATGTAAGCCACTTTATGGACAAGAAAGGGATAAAAATGGGTTAAATAATCTGGCCAGGTAGACATTGTTCAGAGTGCTGATGAACATGCATTGCTTGCATTTTTGGGGTGGGGACACACTTGACTTCCCTGCTGTGCCTCTGCTGTGAGCAACCCAGCCCTTAAGATGCTGTTGAAACAGCAGCACCTCGGTTGCCAGTAAGATCTCTCTGAAGTGATTGTGTGTCTCTTACGGCATCTGCTGGAGGACTCCATGTACTCTGCACTGGAATAACCTTACAATTTTACTCGTAGGCAATTCAAGAAAAAACTGAATTCTGGGACTGCATCTGTTATGTGGCTTGATGAAAATTGGCATGTATTACTCTGCAATTTCACCACTTTGTACCTCTGATTCTATTCTGAGTGTCACTGAGAGGGGCAAGAAGCTCTTCGGGGCATGGAAACCCAGTCATCTGACTTCTAGAAATCTTATTCCTGGCTTCTGAGATTCACATGGCATTGCCTCACATTTTCAAGCAAGTATTGCCATTATAAGGGGTAGGAAATTGCTTTCTTAAATGGAAGCTGAATTCCATGCTACCTCTTACATACCCACACCCCACTTTTGACACCCATGGAATGAGATGAATATATATAACCTGAAATTGCATTGCCTTTCTTGCAGCCACAGCACACTGCTGACTCATACTCATTTTGTGATGGATGACGATTCCAAAATCCTTTTTACGTATAGTATTACTAAGCCAGCCAACCTTCACCTGGTACCTGTGCCTTTTTTCCCTAAATGAAGCACTTGGCACTTGTCCTCACTAAAATTCATCCCGTTATTTTCAGCCCAGGCTTCTAAGCTCGTGATCATTTTGAGCTTTGTTTCTGTCTCCTGAAGATATTTGCTCTCCAGCTTTGTGTCATGTGCAGATTTGATGAGCATTCCCCCCTCCTCCACCACCTTAATCTTTCCTGTTGGAGTTTCCTGCCATGGAACTGTACTTCTCACTGTCCGGGTTTATTAAAATCAGCTTTCTTGAAGTCCAAGGGAAAATACAAAGACATTTATGTGGTATTTCACGGTCAGTATTTACATGCTTTGTTGGTGAAAACTCTACCAGTTTGCATTTCTTGAGTCTGCCTCCCAATACGGTCAATATGTTTCAGTGCTGCCTTGATGGCCAGATTCTTTTGCTACAGGTTTAAGATATTCCAGAACATATAGCATAATTTCAGTAAGGGGAGAAACAGGCTAATGATCAGATTGAACAATCCTGTCACTTCAGTTTTTAGTAGACCAAATGTTTTTGTAAAGGGAAGATGCACTGGTTATATTTACTGTCTAAAAAATGACTTTTTCATCTGAATATATAATTTGAGCAGAATCCAAATGTCCTTTCCATGGTTGAATCAACAGGCATGATAAAAGCCTGAGCAACATTCTCCTTAAATATACATACAACTGTTCACATAAGTCAAAATATTTCTTCACCAGGTAGAGCAACATTTCCATTAGGAATATCTAGGCAGATCTACTGTGGCACTGCCCCAGAATAATAGCATCTGTAACTTTAAGAGGAAAAGCAAAGATTTCCCCTTTTTTGGCTTTCAACAATGTCCATAGTAAATATAATTATTTATCTGGAAAATTTTTAGAGGGTCCCAGAGAAAATTTAAGGGGGCAGTGCCCCTCCTCCAATAGGCCTGGAATAAAATGTTCATTGGTTTCAATATATTCTTATTTTAATATTTGCTTTGTATCTGCTTCTTGGCTTAGAGATTGCCCCAACTGGCCAATGGACTCTGAGCAGGCAGGAGATGGCAAAAGAGTTTGTGGAGGCCCAGAAGAATTTGGCCATCCTCCCTCCTCTAGCAATCAGTTAACTTGTCTCCTTGTTCAAGTACTTATGTTTTAATAATTGCTAAATCAGAACTGGCTAGCAACAGCACTTATCTGGAAAGAAGACAAATGTTGACCTTACATTTTGCCACAATCTCTGGACACCTTTCCACCTGCATTGTTTATGACGCAGAGGGCAGCTTCAGAAGGGAGAAGCAGGATGGAGAAAGCTACAGTAGGGAGGAGAAATGACGCTGGGAATGGAGCTTGACAGAATATGGAGTAGACAAGAGGAGCCAAGACACAGCACAGTCAGGTTTGAAGTTCCTCGTTGTTCAAATCCATTAAAAAACTGCTGGTAGCGTGCCAGCAAAAATGTCTGTCATCCTGGAGTTTCAACCAAGAAAACTGGGATTTTCTCGTGCCCACGCAGGCTCGTACTGCCCTCCCACTCACTTCTGCAGCACCTTCTGGGCTGGTATCCCCCATCAGCTGCTTCAACAACCGAACAGCTGCTCTGCATGCAGAAATGGCTTGCACGGTCTGTCAAACGCCACAGGCACTCCTTGTCGGGTGCCAAGACTCCAGCACCACAGAAACTTCTGTGCCTCAGCAACAGAGTTTTTCATTGAAGTGCCCTCGGGTGTTGGTCTGTGCATGTGCGCCCACATGTCCCAAGTCAATTTCTGCAGCAGAATCCAAATTGTTAGCAGTGTAGACCAAATGAATCCAAGCTACTCATCAGTTCTGCCTTTGATTCATTTAGTGATAGGATAGGAAAAGCTGCTGGCTTTTTGTCTGTTCTGTTTTTACCAACTGTGTTGGAGGCAGGACTTAACCCCTCCATCCTAGTAGTTCTCATTATGCATCTCCTGCTGTCTCTACCCACTCTCTTTTCAATTCTACCTCCTCCTACAAATGTTTTCCAAACTAGCAGAGAGAAAATCAGGGGCAACAGACGTGGTACTGTCCTAAAAGGAGGTCAAGGCCGGATAAGCAGGGATAAGGGATGGTGAAGGAGAGTGTGTGCGCGTGCACACACAGGCGTGTATGTGATGGAGGGAGAGTGCGGGGGGGTGGAGGGCAGAACAGCTGGAAACTCACCAGCAACCACAGCAATCCAGAATATGCAATCTGCTATAGGAGGCTTTTGCCTGTATCCCAGCTTCAGCCTTTCCAGGTTGGGCACTGCCTGCAGTAGCATCCAATACCCTCTGCCTCTTTTCATGTCTCTTCAGGGTCACCAGAGCACTGCTCTTGTAAGCCCCCCACAGCCCTAAAAAGGGGCAGCGTGGGATTGCATGGCTCCCATTCCTTGCCCTCAAATATTCCAGAGGAGAGGACAGGAGCTCACCTTATGACGACTATTCACTCCTTGGGCAGCAGTGCTGCAGCATGGCCAGCGACTGCCATGCCACAGAGCTGGCAGGTGGTCGTGATAAGACAACTGAGCTTGGTCCCTTAGGTTACAAAGCCAGACCTTGCCAGACTCCTTCACACCTCCCTTAAGGAAGACTTCGCTTCAGTGGCTGCTGGCTCCCCCAGTGGATTGGCCAATGTCTTCACCATAACATCCACGGAGAGGGGTGTTTACAGCAGCCAAAAATGGGGCCAAAAGCCTAGAAGCCAGTCAACATCAAAGCAAAGCAGAGGGGGAGAACAGGGGTGATCTAGAGAGTATTTTTGAGGGAGAGGGAGAAGCCACTTACCTTCCTAATGCAGCAGTGGGGAGGCTGGCCAGACAGCACTGCTAAGAGGTGTTGGATGGTGAAATCAAGGATGCAGGACTTGAAGGGGAGCTGCTGTGTCCTCTGAGCCAGTGGCAGTGGCAGGAGCAGCAGCAGCAGCAGCAGCAGCAGCAACAGCAGCAGCAGCAGTGGTGGGATGGAGCTACCCCTGATAGGGCCCGGATAGCAGCATGTGACCCAGAGCTGCGATGAGTCAGGATTTCAAGGGAGCTTTGCAAACAGCACGTAGAGGATGGAGAGAGGAGAGGAGGGAGGGGTGGATGGTGCTGCAGGAATGGGAGGCCAGAAGCAACACACAGCCCTGTTTCATCACACTTCTTTAATTCACGTGCCTTAAATCACAACCCATTCCAAGCACAGAAACATCTCTCCCCATTTACCACCCCACTAAAGCCTCTGCCTCTTTGCAAGCATAGCCGCCTCCTCTTTCTTCATGCCAGGGGAATCGCACTGTCTGGGTCAGTTGTGCACAGCAAGGAGAGAACGCTCTAGAAAGCAGCTTGCCGCTCCCACTGCACCCTGCGGACTGACAGCTATGTCATTCGACAGGTATCTCCTCCTGGTTCAAGTCCTCCATTTCCTGCAAAATGTGTGTGGGGAGTGAGGGAGGGACAGAGACAGAGAGAGCGGGCTTAGTGCACGTTCAGATAAGGATTTTTCAGGGGGCAGCAGGCTAGCCAGTTTTATACACCTCATATCTACAAGCCATACTAGAAGTGAGCTGTTTCTCCCCTGCTCTTCTACCTCCATAGCCCAGAGAGTACAAGAGGGCCATAATCTACAAGGAAACTCTCCTGTGCAAATTCTATTGAATTAGTTGGTGTATGCAGCTCCCATCAATTTTGATGTGGGAGAAATTCTCAGTGAATGATGCCCTAGAGAATTAATGCTGCAATCCTAGGCACATTTACCCAGAAGTATGGCCAGCTGAATAGATCTTACTTCAGAGTAGATACACATTGGATTGCACAGTTATCCCTAACAACTCTGGCACAACATGTTCCCTTTCCTTTTTGTTGCATTCTGCTTTTCTCTGTTTTTAAAAAAAGCCGTGAGCATGCAGGAAGGGCCTGCTTTTTGTGTTATTTCTGTACAGAATATATTAGGGCCTTTATAAATGATCATGAGGAACTGTGATGATCTGCTGTTGTATGATCAGCTTCACTCATTTTTTATTAAATGCTAAATCACACAATTAGTGGACAGTAGTACACCAGTGCCGTTTGTTCAAGTTCTGTGTAGTGATCATAGCCAATACCTGATCTCTCTGCCATGAATTTGTCTTGAGATCATTTTAGAGCCCCCTGTGGTGACAGGAGTCTCTATAGCTTGTTGAAATGAATCCAGTAAACAATTATGCATCCAGTGATGAAGACCTTCCTTTTGTCTGCTCTCTCTTTGCTTTATTGAGTGTCCCTGTGTTTTCTACTTTCTCTACCCCTAATATTGTAAACCTATGTCATGCCATCCCTTCCTCATATTTTCCCCCCTAAATTAAAAGGGGTCCAACTGATAGTCTCAGTGTTGTCATTTTTACTTCTAGGGAAAGCGCTGGGTTCATTTGATCCAGGACCCACTTGCTTATCTTTCTGATGGTCCAGAATATTCACAAAGCTCTCCTCCAGCACCATGGTTCATGGTGTCAATTTTCTTCCTGTCAGCTTTCTTCTCTGCCCAGCTTTCACACCTATACATTGTGATTGGGAATACAATACTTTGGATGATCTTTTCTAGTTCCTTCAGTGCTACCCTTCCAAGTCTGAGTCTTCTTCGTATTTCTTGGCTGCAGTCTCCCTTTGAACTGATGACTGAACTGAGGTATATGAAGTCTTTCACAATTCCAATTCCTTCATTATTAACAGTGAAATTCTGTCATTCTTCTGTGGACACTATTTTGTTTTCATATTCAGCTGCAGTCCTGTTTTTGCTTGATACAGAAAAGGGGATTTACAGGGGAATGCAGTCCTCTTTGGATGTACATCTATAGAAAGGCCTAGGAAGGACAGAATGGAGGGGGTGTTGCTCTGTATATCAAACAGGGGGTAGTGTACAGCAGACTCAAAAACCTAAGAGTAGACTGTTCCACAGAAGTGCGATGGGTGACAATACCTGACTCCAAAATTAATTTAGTCATTCCTCAGGCCAGGATGCTCAGAGCAATTTTGGTATAGAAAACAGTATCAGGGAGGCCTCCAAATAAAGAATTACTGCAATATTGGCTGACTTCAGTGACCCACATTGACTGGCTAAATCCTTTGTTCCAGACCTGATAGAAAGGTTAAACTTCTCAAATGTACTAAATTACTGTGCCCTAGAGCATGTTCATGGAGTCAACCTGAGGGGAGACAATCTTGGATTTATTCCCGAGGGTGTTTTCCCAGGACCTACCACAAGATATTGTTGAACCATTTGGGTGTGCAGTGCTGTCAGATTTAATAAATATTTAAGCAGAGGATTGCCAAAGTGATCCAATGCACTCATACTTGACTTCAAAAGAAGAAACTTCTCCAAAATTAGGGACCTGGCAAAAAAGAAGCTGAAAGGGGCTTAAATTCCTTCCAAATACTTAGAGATTACTCAAAACAAAAAAAATGGAGCTGAGATAGTATGTACCCCACACATTAGGAAAGGTAGCACAGAATACAAGAGATTACCAGCATGATTAAGAAGTGGTGTCAAGGAAAGTAGGAGGGAAGTTTTCCTTCAGAAATGAAAGTCTTGCCCAAAGGAGGAAAACAAAACGGAGCATGGGCTTGCACAAGGGAGATGCAAGCAGACAATAAGGGGTGCAAAAATAAAACAAAACACTCAAAACCATATTCAGTGTATCACTAACAACATCAAGGCCTACAATACATTCTTTAAATATATTAGATGGAGCTAGAGGCAGTTGAACCATTGGCTGATAATGGAGCTAAAGAAGTACTGAAAATAAGGAAATTATGGAGAAGCTGAATGAATTATTTTCACCTGTCTTTACAGCAGAGGATACTGGACAAATGTGTGTGCCTCAACAGGCATTTTCAGGAAGGGAGTTTGAGAAATCAAGGCAAACAGTGATGGCAAAAGATGACATATTCAACCTTATGGAAAAATTGAAAATTAAATCACTGGGCCCAGATGGCATCCGTCCTAGAGTTCTTAAAGCACTAAAATACAGGTATGGGGGGGGTGTGCATGTGCAAATATAGGTATACAGTTATAAGAATTATGCAGAGTTCCTCACCCTGTGCCAAAGTGTGCTTCAGTGTAGAAACTAAACTACAGGAGTGTGTAAATGCTGAAGGCCAGCAATTTGAGCACGTTGTACTTAATTGCAATTTGTATGTCATCCTTATTGTGACTTAATAAAGCTATTGTTTTTTATAACAAAAACTGTATACCTACTTTTGCACCCCTCTGTATAAGATTGCTGATCTTACCAAAGTATGTAACTTTGTCCCTAAGAACTACAGAATGCTGAATATTATACCAAAAAGTATCCAAGGGAGAGCTGAGAAATTACAGTCTCATCAGCTTAACTTCTATTCTGGGTAAATTGACTGAAAGCATGATTAAAGACAAAATTAGTAAACTGAAAAGGAATCAAGGTGGCTTCTGTAAAGGTAGGTCATGTCTCACTAATCTTTTAGGGTTCTTTGAGTGTCAATAAACATGTGGACAGGGATGACCTGGTAGACATTATTGACTTGGACTTCCAAAAGGTCTTTAACAAAGCCCCTTACCACAAACTTAAAAGTCATGGAATAGGATGGGAGGTCTTATGGATACAGTTAAAGAATAGAAAGCAAGAAATAGGAAGAAATGGTGAAATTCTCACACAGGAGGGATGTAAGCATTGGGATCCTGCAGGGATCTACACTGGGCCAGTGCTTTTCAACTTACTCACAGATGATCTAGAATTAAGAGTGAGCAGTAAAGTGGCCAAGTTTGCTGATGGCACCAAATTATTTAGGAGGGTTTGGCATTCTGAGGAACTCCGAAGGGATCTCCCCAAACTCAGAGAACAGGCAGTTCAGTGTATGCAAGTGTTAAGCAATGCATGTTGAAGCAACTTTCCCCACCCAACTTCAAGTACATGCTGAGGGGATCTGAGCTTACAGTGACTAACCAAAAACGAAATCTTGGAAGATAAAGAGGACAGTTCAGTGAAAATGCCAACCTAGTGTGAAGTTGCTGTGAAACAGGGAAACACCATGTTACTTACTGGGAAAAGATTTGAAAAATGAAACTCCCAATATCAAACTGCCGTTCTATTATCTACAGTGCAGCCATATTTAGAATACTATGTACAATTTTGATTACTGCATCTAAATAAGGATATTGTGGAGCTGGAAAGGGCAACTAGAAATGTTATAATAATAATAATAATAATAATAATAATAATAATAACTAAAATGATCAACAGGGTGGAGAAACTCCACTATGAGGAAAAAAATCGCAGCAGCAGGGATTGACTTGGAAAACGGAGTAAAGGGAGAAGTGATAAAGTTGTATACAGTTGTGCAAGTTACAGAGAAAGTGGATAAGAAGACATGTTTATCTCTGTAAATACTAGGACCTGGAGTCATCTATTGAAACTGATTGGTGGGAGGTTCAGGACACAGCACATAGGTAAACTGTAGAATTCACTTCCACGGGATGCCGTGATGGCCACCAACTTGAACAGTGTTAAAAGGCGGATTGGACACATTAGTGGAGAGGGCCATTAAAGGCTAATCATCGCCGATGCGCATCAGTCGCTGGAAACATAGGCAGCAGGGTACTGCTGCACAAGTCCTGCTTGTAGGATCCTGTGGGCAGTTGGTTGGATGTTGTGTGAATAGCATACTGGACTGACCCAGGATGGCCCTTTCTCTAAAGTTTTTTAGAAAAAGGAATGGGGCTGTGGGATGTGATGTCATGTGAGGGGGAGGGGCTTTGGGGCAAGGCGAGACCCCTTTGACATCACCCAGCCAGGTCATTTATTTGCAGGAAGGGTAATCCAGCCCGCAGAACAAAGGTGGTGGCCCTTCCCTGAATATATGCCATCTCTTGCTTGACAGGGCAACATTCCTACCCAAGAAGGTTCCATGTAGCTCTTCTGACCTCATAGTTTTGCTATCAGTTGACCTTTAAGTTGGTTGGTAATTTTCTGTAGCTGAACCCTAACTGTTGTGCCCCAAGGTCAGTCTTGCATTTCTTTTAGGAATCTTTACAGAGGTAACCATGTTAATCCGTTACATCCACCCTGCTCCAGTTGTAGGAACAAAATGTTGATGGTAGTTTTGCATATCAGATTTTGTGGGCTCTTAAGCCAGTACTATTGTAGATTTGGTAGCTTTCGCTGTGCTTTTAAAAAGTATCTGTTATGAATCGAGGCAGCCTGGTTCATTGTATACTGAAAGCTACCAGATTCCTTATTTCAAGCTTGCTCCCTTATAAATTAGGAACCATGCCATTCATCTCTTGCTGCTCAAACTGTCAGTAGAGTCTTAATAGAAACTACAAGTTCCACTCACTGATTCCCCCAAGTTATAGCCATCACAGTAGTCTCTACAAGCCACTGATTAGTAATTAGTCTGCCAGTTTTAAAGCTTGTGCTTGAGTGCAATCCCATGGATAGGGGCATAAATTTCTTCACCTCTCTGCCTTCCCAGTGTGCATTTCCACTGGGCAGCGGTTTTCAGCTGTCTAGTTGGAGTAACCTGGAGAGAGAAGGAGGCTGGGGCAGCTTCAAGTACTTCGTATCCTGGTCACTTCAGACTCCTCCCCACCTCCTTCAACGCATCTTGGTGACCACCTTTCTGAATGCAGTTCTTTCTACAGTGGCTGTGAAGGGGCAGTGGAGTTCTGTTCTGCTGCTCTGAGGCTGAAGCGCAGTCTCCTACCTCAGATGTGGGACTGGGAAAAATCCTGTGGTCCCTCAGACAATGTCTAGTGGCTATAGGCTTGCTCTCTTACTGCATCGTTGAGGTTTGCACTACTGCTAGATTTTACTCTGGCTTTATTCTGTTTTAAGGGTTTTAAATTATGTCTTACTATATTATTGAAATTTAGAGGTCATGCTTTGCATTGTGAATTGCCCAGAAAGCTTAAACTATCTGGTGGTATAGAAATGAAATGCATGAAGAGGTGGCTATCCCAAAAGGAAGTTAGTTTACTGAAATGTGAGTACTGCTCTCTCCTGTGACACTTCCTCTTAGGCCTCACCTCAAGCTCCTTTTCTCTCTCCTTTTCTCTCTCTAGTTCCAACTCTTCTTCCCGACGCCGGTGACGTATATCTTCAGCTTCAGCCTGTTCTTCCTCCTCAAAGAAATCCTTGTCAAGGCGCTCAAGACGTGGCAGCTGCACCAGGGCTTCAATACGGTAGTCCCCCTCATCAGAACAAGGGTTTTCTAGCAAGACCAGGGCTCGTAGCATGGGCAGCACCTGCAGCTTCGTCAGTTCCTGTAGCTGCTCAATTGCATTCCCCCTGCAGCAAAGGGAACGGGATATGTTACGTATAACTTAGCCCCTTTTAGACGATGCTGATGATGGATTTTAAACCAAAAAAACAAGAATAGATGGTTTAAAAGTCAGCAAGTAGATCTTACTATGATTGCTCCTGGGCCTCCTTTATTTTAAATCTCACCACCTCTATTCTGAGATTGACTTTTCATGTCATCGGGGGTACACAACCATGGATCCTCCAAGACCTTAACTGTGTCTTCACCAGGGCTCCAGCCAAGGCACCCCATCCCTGACCGTGCCAAGCCCCACAGCAGGCCAGAGGAGCAGCCACTCGCTCCCTTGTCCCAGTTACTGTTTTCTCAGGTGGGAGTGGGGAGTGGTGCTCCGCAATAGGAGCTCAGGTGGTAGTTAGAACTTCTCCCACCCTGGGGAGCAGGAAGGAGTTGCCCCTGACTGGCCAGTAGAGAAATTTCCTGATATTGGGAGTGGGTGGAATAGAGGAAGAGGTGACCACAGCTTGCAGGTGTGGAGAGGAAACAGAGTGAGTTAGAAGGGGTCTCCCGGGCCATCTAGTCTGACCCCTGTCTCCAGCTGGCTCTGTTCATGACATGCCTACCATGTGCATGTCCAGCCTATCCTTGAGCATCCTCACCAGTGGGACTTCCACCACCTCCCATGGAAGCCCATTCCATACCTTTGGGCCCTAATTGTTAGGAAGTACTTCCTGGCATCCCATTTGAACCTGAGTTCCCTGCACTTTGCTCCAATGGAACACATCCTGCCCTCCTCAGCAGGGGAAAACCCACCTCTGCATTACACCGCCTCACCTATATGTCACCAACAGATCCCATCAGAATCTCTTCTTCTCCAGGATGAAAAGACCCAGTTCCCTCAGTCTTGCCTCCTGTGGCTTCCCCTGCAAACCAGCCACATCCTTCTGGCCCTACTCTGCACCGTTTCCAACCTGGCTCTATCTCTCCTGTAATGTGGGGCCCAGAACTGAACACAATACTCCAGTTGCAGGCACACCAGAGTTGTACAGAGTGGCAGTAATGCCTCTCTCGATCTAGAAGCCACGCTTCTGGCTATGCAACCAAGGGTGACGTTCACCCTCTTGACCACCATGTCACTCTGCCAACTCTTGTTTAGCCTGCAATCAACCAGTACCCCAAGATCCCTTTCACATGTGCTGCTCTCCAGCCACTTGCACAGGATTGGTCCCAGGACAGAGCCCTGGGGGACCCCGCTTGTCACTGGCCAACACCCACTAATAGTTACCCTCTGCTTTCAATCCATCAACCATGCCTTAATCCATCAGACAGTGCATTGGTCTATCCCAAAAGTCCTCAATTTTGTGGAGGTACATGTGGAGGTAACCAGGGTTTGGCAGTAATGAAGGAGGGGGAAGCCGGAGGGCCATTAGCTCCCTGCTTGAAGGCCGCATGATAATTCCAAATTCTCACTGTTCAGAAACATTAAAAAACCCTGTGGCAGCTGCTGTGTGCTGTTGCAGAAACCCCTTGATTCTCACATCCCCATGCTCCCCAGCAGAATTCAGTAGCCCAACATACTTCAGGGCATGAGCTGCACCTGCAGAGCCAATGAAAAGCTGCAACAGTAACAAGGTGGTTTCTGCCTCTTCCTCTGTTATCTTAGTATTTCTTTCAGGAGATGAAACATTATTTAATTTAGTGCTATTTCACTAACAGTTTAATGGCTTTTGGATGCCCATTCTGGACCCTTATCTGCTCTATGGTAGCTTCAGGGCTATGAATAGCAAATCCTGCAGGGGGTAAAGTGCAGGCTATTGCTACAGATTGCGGTTTGCAGTTCAGCCAGCGGAGTCTGGCCCAGACACCAGCCCCTGTGTTGGTTCCCTTCTACTTATAGCAGACCCCTGAAGGAGATTCCACAGAAATAGCCCACCGTATATTGAGGTACTGAAGAGACTTCATGCTTTCTGAGAAGCCGTCCAAAGTTTCAAGCTGATTGTCACGGAGATGGAGGGTCGTGAGTTGTTCCAAGCCTTCCAGACCCTCTAGATGGGTAATGGAGTTCTGGGCCTATGATGTGACACAATGCAGGGTAAGAGTTGAAAATTGGATGCAGTACATTCACACATTAAGCAGAGATATAAGAACCTAGTAATTAGAAATATGTTGCTGTTCATTAGATTTGAGGGCATATCTGTGCAAACAACCTATATTCTATACCGCTTAATGGCCATAAAATATGCCAAAGAATCTTGGGAATTGTAGCTTGGTGGAGGTCACTTGGATCACACAGTACATAACCCTCTAAATGCTTCTGTCATTCCATCTGAACACATCCATCCATCTGGGCTATTAGAGTACATTGAGTGCAGAATTCAGCGTCAGCCTGAAACACAGTGGAGCCAAGCTATATACACGGGCAGGCAACTTGATGCGCTCTAGACTGTAAGCCATCCTGAGATCTTGTATAACAGGACGGCATACAAAAGCTTTTAATAAATAAATAAAATAGATATTCTAGACTACTCATCCACCCCAACCAGCCCATATGGCCACTGTTTGGAGGGTGCCGGAGTGCCTACTCCTGCTAGTGCTGGAACTTCCATGTAGTGGCATGTAAGCGGGGCTTTTTTTGGTCATCGAACGCACCGGAACAGCATTCCGGCACCGTTTTTTCCAATGGATTTTACAAAGTGATTTTGAACAGTAGCAGATCAGCAGCAAACATCATTAATGGGGCTGCTTTTGTGTCTGCTGTCTGACAGTGAGATAGTGAATGTGTGTGGTCAAGCTCTGAGTGCTGCCAGTGAGTTCCGGCACCTTTTTTTTTTTTTTTTTACAAAAAAAGCACTGCATGTAAGCAACGTACATGCTTGGTATGTAAATAGTAGTTGGCCAAGTTTGAGCGGCCTGAGAAGTGAGGAGGGGAAAGTTCAATTCTTTTCTTTCTTGTCACAGTGGGGCATTTTTTTAAATGCCCCCCTGAAGCTGCTATTTGCATTTCAAGTGAAGATAAATTCTGTAGTAGGAAGCTACCTTTGAAAGGTAAATAGGTGCTACCTTTGTAAGGCAAGTAGCAGCAGAGAAGAGATTTTTGTCAGGAATGTAGGAAGAAAAAAAAGAGCTGAATTTACACTTCTGACCTCCCATTGGACCATGGTTGCTTAGGCTCCCCATGGCTGCTGTTTATATCAATACATGCACATTAAGTGCATTCACATTATCAATATCACATCTAAATTGGCCTGTTGTGTGAGAGGACAAGTTCTCTTACCAAGTACAGATTTTTGAGCTTGGGCAAGTAGAGTCCAGCCGTCGATTTTAGTTTGTTACCCCGCAACTCTAATGTGTGCAAATTTGATAACTTCTCTGGATCCAGTCCTGTTATTATCTCAATCTCATTCCCTGGATGTCAGAGGAGAAGATAACAATAAAAGGGTTAACTATTCCTTGATTCTTTCCCCAGGAAGTACAGAGTGAGAAGTTTCTGTCTAGGCTTATACAAGATCTTCATTATGTCCACCCACCTTTCAGATTGAGGCTGGTCAAGCGTGGGTGGCTAATGCCATTTGTGTCCTTGATGTGGTTGTTTGCAAAGCTGGCAATCTGTAGATACGGCATCTCATCCATGCTTGCACTGGTTAGTCGATTGCCATCCACTTTCAACCACAGCAAATGTGTGAGACACGCCAATGGAGACAAGTCTCGGAGTAGATTGTCTGACAGGTCTACATAACGTAAGTGGATGAAACTTTGAATGATGGCGATGTCTGTCAGCTCCCTAATGCAGGATGGAATTAAGGAATATTACTCACTAGCACCAGCTTTGCAGTCCTTTATCCTCCCTAGCCCTGACCAACATCTCCACTTTTCCAAAAAGTTGGATGAGGGAATGAAATCCCCTTACAGGCAGGTAGAACTGCTAGGAGTTCCACCTGCCCATAAAGGGAAAATTGAGGCAGGTTTTGACTTGGGTATGTTTCAACACTCACTTTTCTCTGGCCTCTAATTTCACAAAGGCGTGAGCCAGGCCGTTACCAGTTTTACATAAAAGCGAAAGGCTTTCCTTCAAGATATCCTCAGTGAGAGGATTTGAGACTTGGGTCTGGAAAAGCAAGCACAGTTAGAACAAGAATTCAGATAAAAGCCGTCAGGTTGAAGAGATTTGCCACAGAAGTGGGAGATCAAGTAGTGGTTACTCCTTCCTCACATTCACTCTGGGCCTTCTGTCTGCCTCATGTGTGGGACATTGTAGTAGAAGTACAGAATGTTGGTGTGGGAGACAAGTAAAAGGTGAGGAGATGGGTGGGCAAAGTAATCCTGCACACTCTGTCTCTAATTCAGTGACAATTACAATCTGGTTGATTATCCTTTCCAGGGATGTTCTCCACTTGCTTCTGCCCCACTGTCATTCTATCCCTCTGAGAGGGCTTAATCTCTTCCTTCTTCCTTCCTTTGTCTCAGTGTTTCTTCTTTTTCTAGTGTGTTTTTGACTCTTAAAAATATCTGCTGATTTAGACTCTTTTAACATAGGCCCCATCCAGCTACAGTTAAGCCCTTGGAAGTTCCACTGATAACAGTGAAGAAAAGTAAGCATGTGCTTACATCTCACCCACTGACTTTAATTGGAGGCCTAATATTGGGAGACTGATGACAATAGGAACTAACCAGATGGATCTTGCCGTATAGATTTAAGCATAATCTAATCAATATTATTGATCTGTTACCTCTTCCTCCTCTGCTTCCTTCTCTTCCTCCCCCTCTCCTCCTTCATCTCCCTCTTTCTCTTCAACATCTTCCTTCTGTTCTTCAGCATCATTTTCATCTTCAGGCTCCTCATCTGACATCTTCAAAGGCTGGTATGCTTAGTCTAAACAACAAACAGATCAAAAGTGGATTACAGTGACTGGCCAAAGTGAGTCACTTTATTCCTGCGAAACATGAAGGCATTCTGTGTCTGTTCTGATGCTGATGGGAGGAATCTCCATTCCAGGATAGTGCTATTATTATTACTCTCATCATCATCATCATCATCATCATCATCATCACCACTATTTATTTATTTTCATTTCTATACTTCCCAATAGCTGAAGGTCTGGGACTGAGCTCATAGCAATGAAGATGTGTGCTATCTAGCTTCTGTCTTATGGTTCAGAATCTCCTCACTGCCCTAGTCAGTGTCCTCCTCGAAGACATTTCTTAGAGAGCAACCAGGGTCTTGAAAATAACCGGCCAAAGCCTGCAGAGCCAGGTTCGAAAGAATGCAGGGCCTTGTACAAAAACAGTCACAAAATTCTGACATGCTTCAACCAAAGCTCAGGCGAGATCTGCTTAAAGAGACGAGAGGCTCGCCCTGGCCCAGTCTAATGCAGCTTGTCCCATATGGCTGAAAGAAGCTGCACTTACTGAAATTCCTTCTTTTAGGATTGCCTACCAGTGCGGCAAGTTGCCCTGGGCACTTTCTGCTCTCCCAAGCAGCCAACCCCGTGGATGAAGGTCAGCCCAAACTACCCGTCCCACCACCAAACCCATTTCCATTAACCTCCCTTCTCTGTTTCGGGTGGCGGGGCAGAGAAAGCGATAACAACTACCCACATCCAGGCTCGAAGAGGCTACTAGACTTCTGAGGTTGTTATATTCGCTGCTGCAGGGACTGGAAGCAGGCGAGGAGGCAAAAACTCTCGCCGTTTCTCAGGCAACCACAACCTGCCTAGGCGCAGTAGCAGCGAGGAGAGGCTGCAATGAAGCTGCCCGGGGATAATACGGCGTAGAAGCTGATTGGGTGCGTTAGACTTAATCTGCATAAAGGGGAAGTAGAGTTAGAAGAAGATTTGCTTTTAACGGATTTAAAGGGAAAGGCGCCAACTAGACGCTCGGGTGAGTTTGCGTCGGTGGGCAGCCGCAGAGGAGGACGGGGAGAGCCGCCAGACTTGGTTCATGCCTGGCTCACTGCCGTGCCTCGCGATGCTGACTCCAAGCCTCCCTCCTTGCGCTATCTCTGCCCTCACATCCCGGATTTCTTCAGACCTGTCATATCACCGTGTTTTTATATGTTGCATTCTGGGCTGGACATGCCAACATGTGCTAAACTTGAGACACCGGTCTGGGGGGAGGCCAGTGGCCTCAGTGGGTTGGGGAATGCTCATTAACGACACCTCCTCAAACTGGAAGAGGCGACAAGCGAGGTACTCCAGGGCTCGTTCCTGGGCCCAGTGCTCCTCGACGTCTTTGTTAATGATTTGCAGAGAACCCGCAGGGCGCTCTTTGGGGTCAGCAAAGTAACGGATTGTGAGCACAGGGATCAGGTGTTTTATACCACTATGATTCTGCAGCATGTAATCGTTTCGTAGAGGGGAGAAGTGGCGATGCAAGCACTGTCCAGGTCGGTGGACAAGTCTGTACAGGGAGGGAGAAGCCAAACGGGGAGGTGGGAAGGGACCAAGGGCTAATTAGGTGTGTGGCCTTCTCAGTGTTTAATTGTTCCGTCTACATGCGGCAGGGCCATCCTCCTGCAGTGCCACTCCACACTCCTCCGCCGTCTTTCCTTTGGTCTTCCCATAGGTATTTCAGGGGAAAGGGCAGGATAACCAAATGGTCTTCCCCCTCCTTGCCATGATTATAAGCCCTTTCAGGCACACCCTGAAGGAGCTGTCAAGGCTGGCAACACCTTTAAAAGACTGTGGGAACAATCTTTTTAAAAATGTGGGTTCAGTTGCTCAGGTGTGAACCTCTGCAGTTACATGGCTCAGGGTGCAATATGTACCAACCCCGAACATTGCCCAGAAGAGGCTCCAAACTGTTCCTCTTTTTGGCAGCTGTCCACAGCTGAGCTGTCAAGGCCCAAGGGATCTTTGGCTGTCAGGTCAGCTTCTGGAAGAGCTGACAAATTGCAGCAAATTCAGAACAACTCATCATCACAATGTGCAGGGGAAAAGTCAGTGCCAGTTGTTCCCAAATACTGCTTGGGCACTCTGGGGAAGGCAGGCAGTGGTGCCTGGAAGTCCCTTAGCAAGAGTGGCAAGAGATTTTTTTTTTCTGGGGGGGCATTCTTGCTAATGTGCTCAGTAGCCAATTTGCTGTAGCCTCGGTGGAGTTGTTGCTAAGGTTTGCACAAAATGGCAACCCTTCATGGGAGTTGCAGCCCCTGTAACAGCCCATGGATTGCTGTGTTTACTTGAGCCCATTCACAAACCATGCTAGGGAAATTGGTTGTACTCACACAACATGACAACCTATTAACTCCTGTGATAGGTTTTTGTGGCATTCAAACCCAGTCACTGTTGCTCATTTTAATAGCTGAATTTGAAAATGGAAGGGGTAAGCAAATATGTACATTTGGGGCTTATAAGAATAAAATTGAAATTAATCTTTCCTTTCAATGGAGCGATCTATTTATTCTTACTAATTTATATTTTACATTTTCCTACTCTTACTTGTAATTTGTAATGCCATATTTACACATTTTAAGAGGTGCTTTTATTCTGTGCAGCTCTTGCCCCATCCTCATAGTCGTCTCTCCTTCCTTAACAGGTAATAGCTTTCTCAGAAATAACAGGTTTTTTGCTAAGTAGTTTTTACTTCCATTCAAGTATGCAACATAGCAATGCAGGTGAAGAATTAAAAATGTCCAAGTGTACTAACTCCTAGAGCTACCCAAGCATTGCAGGAAGCTACATCTAAAATTGCTATTGACTTTGGGAATGGGGCAGTTCTACATTCGTTGTGTATCTACATCCAATATGTTGTGTCCATCCTAGGTAGATGGAGAAGGGACAGTTAAGCTTATAAGCATGCTTAAATTTGCACTTAAGTGGTTTTGCATTTAGATGCTGTTGTGCAATTGCAATAACTATTTTTAAAGGTAGGTTAAGGAAGCTTTTACAATGCAACCTGATTTTTTCTAGAACTTACAAATCTATGTTTTATTATTTTGCTGTAAGTAGAGTAATTGTTTTGTCATTCTTTAATGAGCTGTAATTACATGCAGTCATTTGTATCACTGATCTTTGTAACTGTATTATAATAAAAATATGAGAGGTGATTAAATATAATAATGTTAAGTTTCTATAATATTCTATATTTTTTACTCTGATCTTTTCAGTAACGTGTAGATTTTGATGTGTGCGTGCTTTTTAAAGGATTTGCTATTGGCTGCTATTCATTTGCATTATTTTAATTCATCGACTGCCTTATTTTTAATTTAAGAGGAACAATGAAAAATTTGTTAATATGAAATGGCAAATGAAGTGCTGTCTAGGGGAGACTGGGCGCTTCCAAATGAGGCATTTACTCCAGAATAGCCACGGTTTGTTCGTTTGCTCTTTTGAAGCATTTCTGTATTATGGAGTCGTCAGAGCTCAAGCAGAGTCTGGATGGAAGAATTTACTTGCCATTTCTACAGCTGGACACCTGGGGGAGCTCTTAGACAAAGCGATCCATTCCCTTTGCTTTGACCAATCTGAACGAAGGCCGCTTGATCAGATCCACAATTTTAGAAGGCTTCCATTCTTTCTCAACTCCACTGACTGCTAAAACCTTCCTTTCCCCAGATCAAACACTTCACCCCCAAACTCGATCATTTTAGATCATTTGGGGTAGATTAATAGATTCATGTAATAGTATGGTCAGAAGGGGCCAAGGAGGCCATTGGGGTCCAACCTCTTGCTGGTGCAGGATGCCAAGTCACACCATCCCACCCAGATGGCTGCCCAGTTTTGCCTTTCATCTCTCTAGTTTGGAAAGCTTACAACCTCTCTGCCATATTGCTCTGACAGTAGGAAGTTTTTCCTGGTGTCTAGCCTGAATCTGGTGTTCTGCAGTTAAAGTTCGTTGTTCCATGTCCTACACGTGGGGATGAGTGAGAAGAGGCCTGTGCCTTCCTCTTTGTGACAGCCTCTCAGGTGCTCCCAGCATCTCATCAGAGGGCTTAGTTTCCAGACCCTGGACGGTCTTTGTTGCCTTCCTCCGAGCACTTGCTAGTTTTACTGCATCTTTTTAAAACCAGGGTACCTACAACTGAACACAGTATTCCAGGCGAGGTCTGAGAAGTGCTGAGTAAAGGGGAACATGTACCTCTCTTGTCCTGGAAGTGATGCTTCTGTTTATGCGTATCAAAATAGTATTTTTCCTCTCGGTTGCTAATTCACATTTTGTCAAATCATGACAAAATGAGGCTGCAAAGCCCCTTTTTATTGTTTTGATTTCCTTTGTATTTTTCTATCTCGTGCTCCAACAGAATATTGCCCTGAGAAAGCAGAATCTTCCTGAACCCAGCCAATTCTCCATGACCGATTTTGATGACATGCCACATGCCTTACTTAATGCACTCATGTGCACCAATTTCCATATGCAACCTCATATAATGTGGCATGCAAGCTGGGAGAACAGGACTTATACTGGGATAATTAACCTTACGTAATACATTTTCTAGGATGGGATGGTCCAAAATGCAGCCCGCAGGCCACACGTGATCCTCTTGCCATTTGGGAGTCCGTGTTCCTCACCCCAGTCCGGATCCCACTGATGGCACAAGCATGATTGCTGGGAGACTGAGGAGGAGACTGGGATGGGCCTTGGGGGAGCTCACCCGGGCAGCCCTGCGCCACTCCAGCTGACCAGCACAAAGGTGTCCAAGAGCTGAGCACCTTTGTGCTCATCAGCAGGAGCAGGCATGGCACGCTGGAGAGTTGGTTAGCTCAAGAACAAGAGGCTAAGCATGCCAATTCCAAGAAGGAAGGAGGGACTGGGGGGGGAGGGGTCACATTGGAGGGTTTCTGGGCTGGAGAAACAGAAGAATGGGATGGGCCACTCCAGAAGAATGGTCATTGTGCTTGGGCCTGCTGGAAGGAGCTGTCTGTGGTTTCTTCTTCCCTGTTTTCCAGCACAGTTTTGTTTCTTCAAATTCAGAGAAAAGCCAACTCTGAGACCTCATACTGGTTTCCTTCCTCATTTGGTGATTAATTATATTGTGTATATTAAATATATTGCAAACACTTTGATACGGAAGTGGAATTCATTGTGGGGCCCCTGGATCCCATGTTAGTCCACTTGCGGCCCTCAAGGTACAAAAAATTGGACCACCTTGTATGTACGGGGTTGTGTGTAACCCATGCTTGCCAGGTTTGCACAATACAAAGGGAGGTTGCGTATTTGGCTACATGCACACAGTTACATGTCACACCAAGTCAGCAGATTGGGGGGGGGTTCTGCTGCATGTGCCGCCCACCAGCAAGCCACCTTTTTCCTTCCGCTTCAGTATGGTGACCAAGGTTGAAACAGAAGAGGAATCTTTTCCCAGAGGCTTGGGGTTTGGTTTGGCAGAAGGCAGTTCTTTCATCCTGGGTCCCTATTATAGTGACTTGCATACATTGAAGAGTTAATCCAAATTACCTATATTAGCTAGCCTTAAAATGAGCAAAGCCAAATGTTTATTTAGCATTTTGGGTTGCCACATTTTTCATTTTGGAAGAGTACCTCATCTAGCCAGTTTAATAGGGTCTGGATAAAGAGAGAGAAGTGAATGCTAAGTCTATATGCACATCAGCAGTAAGCGCAGAAGTCTTTCATGCAAAGGTCTCCCTGGCATCAGGATACTTAGGTTAAATTACTGCTGGCATTTTGGTTCTAGGTATGCCCAACATCTCCTTAAAATAGCAGTGTTATTACTGTGCCGGCTGGCTTTTGGACACTCAAAGGAAGCCAAGATCTGAGGATAACGGGATGAAGGCCCCTCAATTGTTGCCATTCCTCCAAGTAACATTAGGTTGCGTCTCCCCTTTCAGGCTTTAAAATAGGAAAATGTGACAAATGAGAGCCTTCCAACATTCAGGATCAGGGATTGATTTTGACTGTTTTTATTCGTGTTCTTTGGGTGGGATCCAATTAAATCTCTCACTCTGGAGCAGATTTTGAAGGAGTCCGCAGGGAGGAGGGGAGAGAAGAAAGTCCTGTTGTACAGGATTGTATGTGATTTTGTAAAAACCCCATGATTCTAGTTAAGAGGTGAGAAATGGTTAAAAGGAAGGATGCCTGCAGATGAGCTGTAATCACAACATGAGAACAGCAGCACTGTGGTGTTGCTTGTCCCCACAATAATGCAGCAACAGGGAGAAGGGACTGTGCGGGGCAGCGAGCGTGGAGCACACTGTTTCCATGTGCGCCTCCACAAGAAGCAGGACTGCCTGGTTTTCTGAAGCACAGGCAACAGAATCCGAGGTCCATGGCAGATCAGGGAATGGAAAGTAGTCTCTGGTGGTTCAGAGAACAGCTCCTAGCTGATAAGGAGAAGAGGTTCGCTACAGCAGGTGCAGTGAAGCGAGTGGCAGATCATTCAAGCCAACTTTTCTAACAAGTTGGCTCCAAGCCTTTGCAAATCTTTTGTCCGTAACACGGCCCCACTGGAGACTCTCAGCAAGTTATACTCCCGCACTGCAACAAGCGTTCTCAGTCAAACATGCTACTTTCCCTTCATTTATTTCTGCTTATTGTTGGCTTATGAAACACAGGACAGACAGACAGACAATGCAGGCCACTGAGCACTGACCCCAAGTTGCTGAAAAAAGCGGCACAGCTCCCTCAGCAGGGCAGATGGCCACGGAGCGACAGCAGATGCCATCAGAAAGCACGATTCTGATAGCCTATGTGGAGAAGGACAAGGCTGGAAATCCCACCCACAAGTACAGGGAAAGTGAGCAAAGCCCTACCTTTGGCAAAGGCTCTCGGCTACACACTAGGTGTATTGGCCATTGTTGTGTTTAGCAGCAGTGTGGAACAATTAACAGCAAGTGTGGGAAAAGGGATGAGGGCAAGACCGTTTTACTAGACTGCAGAGAGTGGGCATTTTTTTTACAGTATTCATCTCAGTACATGATGGATTCCTACATCCCACCCGCCACTTCAGGCCCGGCAGAGCAGGCTTCAGTGTTTTGCATTGATGATATCTACAAATTCAGGCTTGAGAGAGGCGCCACCAACGAGGAAACCATCCACATCATGCTGGGAGGCCAGTTCTTTACAGTTGGCACCAGTGACTGAACCTGCAAGAAAAACAAGCCCATCATTTAAAGGGAAAAAGGGGGCTCCAGGAGGAGGAAAACAGGGCAGTTAAGAATGAGAAAATGCAAGATCACCTGCTGTACAGTATTTCTAAAACTAATTTTTGTAGCAGTACCCCAAGGCGTCTGTTTGTATAGGAGATGATTGTTTGGGAAGCCAGGTCCCTGAGTGTATAGGGCTTTAAAGGTCATACCCAGCACTTTGAACTGGAAGGGTCTTCTCGGTGACTGCCCCAACTTTTACAATGGGCTTCCTAAAGTCACTTCTCTCATTTTGGCATCTGGCAAAAACTGTCCTCTTTTGCAGGTATTTCAAGACCTGATTTTACCACCTGATCACACAGAGTTCACACTCTGCTACCATCAGGTGTCCCCACACCCTATGTAGCTCCATACAGAGTGTGTTAGACTGACCTGGAACAGAATGCAATTAAGGCATGCAGAATTAGCATGCAGTAGCTAATTCAGACATAGTTAGGAATAAGCACAGCTGGTACCACCATGGAAAACTGGACATCCAGGCACAAAGACACGTTCAAGGTTCACCAAGAATGCAAGCCTGAGTCTTCCTGGGAAGTGTAACCTTTCCTAGGATGGGCTGAATCTCTACTTCCTGCAATGCCTTTTGACTAACCAGAAGACTGAATTAATCTTCAATTTGTTTGCCTTCATCCAATCCCTTATTGACATTGAACACTAATTTAGAAGAATAGCTTGACATGATTTAGATGGGAAGAGAACTCCAGGCAATTTTGCCCAGTGATTTCATATGTATGAAAAATATTGTGGGGGACAAGGAGAAAATTGTGGGGGGAGACCTACAGGGCAACAGCCATGGCAGTGCACAGGGGTCTCCCAGTACACCTTCTGAAACTGTCTTGGATAGTTTTGGAAGGTGTACTGAACTCACCATAATTCAGTGCTTCTCAGTCCCATCTCAGGCAGACGCCTCAGAAGGATGCCAGAGCCAACGGGAAGACAGTTGCTGAGAGGACCAAAGGAATGAACAGGAATACTCTTTCCCTGTCCAGCTGCAGTACAATCATCCACCAAGGGGACCAAAGCAGTTGCTGTCCCATAGCCAAGTCTGCAGCCAGATTCAGCTGAATCTAAATGAAGTGCTTCTTCTTCAGTTTCCTGGAGCCGAGAAGCCCCCACACATAGTGGGGACCAGCTGGAAACTACCCAGTCCAGTGGGGTTCAGGGTGCATTTCGTTTTTAGCATGTTTCACCTCAGCCTCAAAGTGAGACGTATCAATTAATACTGGACAAGCAGGAGGCCAAATTGCATCCAGCAGTCCCGGGTCTATTACAACAGCTGGGCTGACATGAATATGACTGATTTTATCTACGAAGGACCACAATGAAATATCAAATGGTCAATCCCTTGTTCTCATGGGCCAAAGTGCAATAGGCCTTCAATCATCCGAAAAAGCTCCAGTTGGCAACCCACTGCAGAAACAATGTGCAGAGAAATACAATTTCTTTGCAACCCTCACCGCTGTGGAATAGTGTTTCATATGAGCTCTAGGCCACAGTGGATCAAATTCATTCTGAGTATTATGTCAAGGTTGCTCTAATTGATGGCCCAGTCATTTGATCACCATTTGCTGTCTTTAAAAAAAAGGGGGGGGCAGGGAGTTCATCTGGCTCTACTCTATGGGAAAGGTCTCTCTAGTTTCAAGTAATTTGGCCATTTCTCCATCCATAAGTCAACCGTTACAACACAACAAGAGGGTTCCAAAGAACCTTCAGAAAACTAACCAAATTCATCAGTATCCTGGGATGAAACTTCCCAATGGTCTCCTACCTCTGCAGAGGGTTTAGGTCCCAGTAAATCTAAACCACACCAGCTGGTGATCAGTCCATGACAAAGGAACTGTACAAAGTTCTCCACCCCAATCCACATCATCCCATCCAGCACCAAAAAACGGATCCAAGCTATGCCCATCGTCTGTAGCTGAGACAGACCTGTGGCTGCCATGAAATCTTGAGTTACTCACAAGGGGGCCTCAGCATGTTTGCTGGAGTCCCCCAGCACAACAAAGCCACAGGCCCAAGGCCATCTTGAGCAGCTCAGGAAGGGAGACTGCTGGAAAGCACCTCAATTCTGCCCTGGACATCCACATTTAGATCCTGACATACAAAACTGGAAGACTACAGGATGGGGCACCTAGTCAGGGAGATAAAATCCCTACATGCCACCACAACTTTGCCTCCCCACCCCTGTAGCCAGCCTGCTGCAATGCGGAGAACCAGGCGCTCAAAGCAAAGAGAGAGGCTGTCACCCAGCTTTCCAACCAGGCATCTGTGATGCAGGCCAGGACAGCACATTTATCCAGAATCAAGTCCTAGGGTCTTGTTTGCCATTCACTGACCTGGCATCCAGCCGTATCTTCAACCCAGAGGGACTTCCATCAAGTCTACTCTGATATGGGAGGCAATCTGGGAGCAGCACACCCTGTTGGGCCACCTGCTCCCTGAATTCCACAGCTGCCTCTTGCTGCCATATCTCCCTTGGCCGTCAATTGTTCCAATGGCTTGCTTCTAAACAAAGACCTATTACATCTCAGGGGTCTCCACTGAACTGGAAACATTAACAAGTCTCTCTGCAAACATTTATGAACTCCTGTGGTGTTTATTTTTCCATAAAATGGAAAATGGTTCTCCCTTACCTTCTCCTTTTGAACTGTCCATGCTGCACCTAAGTTATTAATGTATGCTGGGTGGTTTTGACCCTCTGGCGAGGTTGTTATCAAGCTACAGCCCTTTCTGTGTATAGCTAGCTACCTTCAAGCTAAAGTAATTTTGACCCAAATCAGAATTCTGTTTTGCAGGCACCAGAAATGGTGTGCTATGAAGCCAATAACCAAAAGGGCAAATTATTGCCAAATCTGCCTTCTGCACTGAGAAGGGAGGACTCCATTTACCTCCATAGATGATTCGAGTTGATTGTGAAACAGCATCGGACACATGGGTCTTGAGCCAAGTCCTCAGTTTCTCATGAACTTCCTGAGCCTGCAGCAATGCAAACAGTGCATCAGTGCAATCATTAAATGCAATCAGTTAGCGCAATCAGTCCTGTTGGCATGCCTCAGGAAGTGGGCATTTTCAGCCTTTCAATACTAACTATATCCCAAGAGGGAAACAAGATTGGCCAATGCTTTCTCTTTCATACCTGCTGGGGAGTTGCAGTTTTACCAGTTCCAATGGCCCAAACTGGCTCATAGGCAAGAACCACCTTGCTCCAGTCCTTCACATTGTCTGGAAACAGGAGAGGAAACATTATTTAGAAGGTTTAAGTGCAATAGCCCTACTGAGAGGGGCAACTACATACAGATGGTAGTTTGGGAGTCTTGAGGAACACATGTCCTATTTAGCTTCTGTTAAAACAAATTGAAATACTCAGCGACTAAGAATTTGACAAGCATTCATACTAACAATCCCTCTAGCTCTGAAGTCCTTGCTTTGACAGTGACATCAATGTATCTAGAAGCCAAAACAATGGATGGGAATGAATTCACTTAAAATGGCTGCTAAGCCTAAGTAAATGCTAAAAATGAGTTGACATGGTATTTTGTGACAATTAATCACATATCCAATCATTTCAAAGTGTAACAGTGGGCTTTTGTACTTCAGTGTTTATACCCGTAACATTTTACAATCTGCTGCAATTTCCACAGTTCTGTAACCATATGAATGGTGGGCAGAGAAGTGAGAAATGAGAGTCTCCTCTCTACTGCAAGCTTTCAAGCTAACAGAACTGGCTTCAACAACTGCTGGAGTTCCCCAAAGCCCTCTTACCAGCGATAGCCTTGGTCTGCTCAAAGACCACCTTCTCTGTGATGCCAGCCTCTCGCTCATCCAGTTTCTCACCAATGCAGGCGATCACACCAAGCCCTTCAGCCAAGGCATGGGCCACCTTCTGCCCAATGAGCTGAAAGGGGTGCAGAAACACAGAGTCAAAGGCCACACAACCTGAGCACTTCCTCCTGCCACAAGCAAGCTGCCAGCTTCCACTGCCAGCAGTAAGAAGGGAAAGAAACTCTCAAGAAGCAAACCCACCTCGTCTGACTCGCCAAAGACGTGTCTTCGCTCAGAGTGTCCCAAGATCACCCAGGTGACACCAGTATCCTTTATCATGGCTGGGCTGAAAAAAGGAGAGAGTCCAGCTTGAATGGCTGCAAGATGCCAGCAGAAACTGCAGCCCATTCTTTCTGGCCACCAGCCCCAGAGTCCCAGCAGACGCACCTGATTTCTCCCGTGAAAGCTCCCTTAGGCACCTTGTAACAGTTCTGTGCAGCCACGCCAATCTTGGCATCAAGCTTCTGGCGGGCAAAGTCGAGGTAGATGGAGGGGGCACCACAAACCACCTCTGGGGGAGAGAGAGAGAGAGAGAGAACAGCTGGGATGAAGCCGGTGCCCAAGGTACCCTCGGTTATAAATTCTTCCTACCTAACCACTCACTTGCTTCCCAGGACACAATAATGCTCAGCTATACCCTTTGCAGGGTGAAGGTGGGCAAGTAAGTCCCACCACCCTTTATTGTAAGACTGTCCTGAGACTTCTGGTAAGAGGACAGTATAGAAAAGCTTTAAAGAAATACATAAATAAAATCTGCCCCCTGGCTTTAAGGCTCATGGGACATTATGCAACACCTTGCTGTAATGCGCACCGCACCCCAGCACACTGCTGCAGCCGTACACATTGATTAACTGGAGCGAGCTGGGGATCCCTCTTTCTGGTGCAGGCAGATGACTCCCGCTGTGAGCAACCCGAGTGGGTGGGGCCATGGCCTTTTCCTCCTCATTCTTCTGCCCTCCGTCCCTTTCACACAGTGGGCTGCTGGGAAGGGACAGGTTGTGTTTGCTAGTGGCCTGACCGGACCGACTGCAGAGGTCTTCTGAAATCAGACTGAAGGTCACGTGCAAACCTAAGACCACAAGTGGCCTGTCCTTGAATCGAAGTCACTAACTCTCAGTCCACCCTGCCTCGCAAGGATGTTGAAAGGATAGTCCAAGGCAAAGGATATACTGTAACCCTGCAAAGTCTTTGGGATAATGCTGAAAAACAGAAAAAATGCCTCTTCTTCACAGTAAAAGTGATATACAATAAACATACAGAATTGCGAAAAAGACCTTAATCCCATTGTTCAGTTCCAAATCAATGTACACAGAATCAACTTCTTACCACTAAAGTAACAAGTTTCAAAAAATTCAATGAAGATAGTTGGGAGTGGAAATAGATCTGCCCAAGAATCTAAGTGTGAGGAGGGAGGGGCAAGCAGTAAAAATGAAAGTGAAATCTTTTCAGAAGAATTTGGATTTGCACAAGTCTTTGGATCTTTTTGTGTATTATCATATTCTTTCCCTGGAGGAGAAAACCTATAATGGCAGCAGGCCATAAAAGAGCCTCATAAAAGTCTGGAAATATTTTAATGAAATTCCTCTACCTACAGGTAAGGCATGTGTGCAAATTATGTAGAAAGCCATGATTCAAATCTAGTCTTATTGACTAGTGATTTAAATTGATTTCATTTAAATCAACCCCATCCCGATCAGCCAACATATTGGCTGCCTTTTCTAACAGACTTAATTTATTGTTGCTTCAACCCACCTATCCCTTCAGCGAATAGCAGCCTACAAAATTTTACAATTATGCCTTCTACCCTGCGATCCCCTATCACTGATCAACCAATGGCGACTGATGAGGAACCCAATTGCCTCAGGTTCTCAAGGACAGGGGAACCAGAGACAGGACTTCACAGCAGGCACAACTGATGCTCTGTTGGATGACCTCTTCCCAGTCCACCTTCCTTTTCCTAATACAAGTTGAGCTGGCTGCCCTATAACCTCCCCTTCAACACCCACACTCCTCTAGTGACAAGAAACAGCTCGACCTTTGTGGGAACAAGACAGTCCAAACCCAGTGCTTGTGTGGAAGAGGCACAGATCTAGTGGCTACTTCAGTCTCTGAGCCTGCTGTCCTTCCTCTCACTGGGAGGTCACAGTCCTCCTCTCCCAGCCACTCTTTTACTGGCCTTGTTTAGAGGTGGCCAGGTCAGTGTTTACTTTGGGCTGAGGCCTTGCCCCTCTCCTTGCAAACACAAGAGGAGCCATGCAGGATCAGACCAAAGGCATAGCTGCTTGTGGGCTAATCTAATCCAGTATTCTGTTCACACAAGGACCAACCAGCCTACAAGCAAGCCACAGGTGTGGCAGCACCTGTGGCCTATATCCCTGTGCCACCTCGGACACTAGAGAGGCAAACTATCAACAAATTCATGAGGGCTGATTAAATTTGGGCTATCACAGTAGCCGTCTTCAAGGCATCCAAGTTTGTGGCTATCACTGCATCTTACAGTAGTTCCACTTTGCTCTGCTGAAGAAGTATTTCCTTTTATCTCCAACATTTAATTTCCTTGGATGACCCTGAGAATTTAAGGTCCATTTTTCCCACACCATGCATAATTGCACATACCTCTATCATATTGCTCCCTTGCTTTTTATACACTGAACAACCCACAGTGTTATAACCATTCCTTGAAGCTGGGCTGCTCCAGACCCCAGTCTTGGAGATCCCTGCAAGCAAAGCCTGGGGCCATCTTTGCAGCATACTTATGTCAGTTTAACAGCATTTTAACTATTACAGCTTCTCTCAGGGGCCCAAAAAGTAGGATGACTCTTCAATTTGTCTGTAGCGTACCACAGGGAGATTCTGTGGATTTAAGGAAGCTGCTGAGATAGAATCACAGACTGTGGAAGACAGAAAAGCTGACGAAAAGAGGTCCAGATGAGAATGACATAGCATTCTGACTTCTGGATTGTCTAGAAACTATACAAATGGCAGTGTTAGTAGGTGTGAAAAACTCATTCTGCTCTGTATGGCTTTGGTTGCCAGTTCTAATCTTGAATCAGAATCTGTCCAAGGGTCATTGTTCAGCGACAGTCCAATGATGTAACACATGCAAGTTAAAAAGATCTTTCTGCCTGGGCTAGAAAAAAGATCTTTTTGCTCACATTCCCAAACAGCCATTGCTGGTCAAAATAGATGGAAGTAAACCGGGGTACAAATTCTATATGAAGCAGCTTCATATGTTCATATTTGTTTTATTTTCTGCTTTTCAGGATAAAAATCAAGTACATGTAAGGTAATGCTTTAATCCTCTAGGCACTCAAAAATGGAGGAAAAAATAGCAAGGGGAAAGTGGGCACTGGCAAAAGTCATTATTTGAAAGCAGAGCGTCAGAGTAGGGATGGGGTGAAGAGCAAGTCCTCTTCCTACAGCCAGAAATCTTAAGAAATCAATCCTCTTCTGGGCTTGCTAGATATGGGATTTAATGTCCAGCTAGCAACCTAATTGTGTGTTTGCTAGAACATTGGAGATGCTCAAGTCTACTACTTAGTCTTCTTTATGAACAGTGAGCGTATCTAGAGCAATAGCTCCTTCTCCCCATACTCCTGACCTTTAACAGGCTATAGGGATAACGTTTCCAACTCCAAGTACAGTTGCTGGTATTTTTAGGCAGCTACACTAACACCTATATTTAGGATCTCCTCTCCTCCAGGCCCTTTGACATTTCTTCAGGATCCCACTTCAGAAACATCAACCCCTGTTCAATCCGCCTTGCCCTTTCTGATTTAACAGGCACAGCAGAGAATCTGCCAAATTAACCATTTATTTAGCTCATGGGAGAGTCTCCTGCTGGTGGACTTAATGCCAAGCAGAATAGAGAGAAACAGACAGGCCTGCTTTCAGGCACACTAGTACAAACGTTAAAATGACTGATAAGGCTTGTGGCACTTCAGAAACATCCCAAGACCTTTTCGTATTTTATAATAGAACTTCCCTTTAAATTTGCAGCTTGGGTTTTCGCTATATTGGTGTGCCTTCCCCACTGCTATAGTATTTCTGGCTTTGGTCTTGGTTTACCAACACAGTGACTCAAATACAAAAGAGACAGGCTTTTCTAGGCTGTGCTGAAGAGCGGAGATGGGAAAGTACCCCTGACCTCTGCCACGTGAGATCCTAGGAGAAGCGGCCTGCTTCAAAAGACCTCCAGAATTTGTCCAAGGACAGATTCAAAGCATGTGTACCAATGGCCTCGTCGTTCTGGAGCTGGTCCCACCCCACTTTCGCAATGAACTCATTTGTGCGTGTGGATGTGCATGTCTATACAAAATATTTTTTTTTGAGCAGCTTTTCCCCGGCATGGCCACTGAGGAGGAAAACAAAGTTTTCAAAGTCAAGAGGTTGCTTTAGGCAGAATCACTGGCGGGAAAAACCGGTTTCTGGGCCGAAAGGCGCTGCCCCGGGGCTGCTCGGGCTCCGTTCCTGTGAGGTTTTGCAGCCTTTGGAAGGATGAGGAATAGGCAGCCAGGCCCGCCGGCCAAGCTCTGGAGTACGTGCATGTGGGCACGCGGCAGCGGCGGCAGGAGGAGGAGCAGCCGAGCCCGCTTTCGAGCGCGCCGGCGGAGGCGGGCTCTAGCCCCTGCTCCGAGTGCATCGGCAGTTACTCCCCTACACGAAAGGGGGCGAGACGGAGGAGACCGAAGCGCCTCTCTACATTGTCGGAGCCTCGTTAACTGGGGCCCCTCTCGGCAGGCGAACCCATCAGGGGCGCCTGCGGATAACGGGGTGCAGGCGGGAGACGCCCAGGGCTGCCACGCATGGCCTCCTCCAACCTTTCGCGGTTCAAACGGAGCATCCTGCCCCATCTGCCCTCGACCCCTTCGTCACCACCAGCCCTGCGCGCCCCTATTTAGCAGCGAGCCTCGCTGAGCTTCGCAGGGCTGGCGACCGTGCAGGCGTGCACGGGACGGGACTGCACCGCTCCCTGCCCCACCCCACGCGGCGATCGTCGCCACTAGCCCGGGACTCCACCTCACCAGTCTCGGCAGGGATCTTGGCACCGTTGAGAGTGTGGATCAGCTCCCCGAGACTCTTTTTGTCTCCATTCATTTTCCAGTTCCCGCCCACGAAGAATTTCCTGGGTGCCATGATGGTAGTGCCCGGGCCGCCCGCTCAGATGGATCCAGAGACGATGAGAAGGTCAAAAAGCGAAGCAACGACGGCGGCTCCGGTGCCGTTTTGCAACCCCCTATATAGATACGGCGGAAGCCCGCCCACTACTGTTAACGTCACACAGGCTCCGCCCCATCCGTCTGTGCTTCAGCCGAGCCCATTCCCCAATCCCGTGGTGACGCGAGGCCAAGGGACGAGAATGTGGGCAGAGGCAGGGCACTTTTCTCCTCCAGTAAATTTATACATCGGCAAGAGGTTGAATGTATCGCCTACTATAACACTTACAAAGAAACGACCCCTCTGTGCTTGACAGGTCATTCTTTAGATTAAGAAAGGTAGCCCAATCTTACCTAAATTATTTTGAGGATACATTTGATACTGAACCACCGATTTATTGTTGTAAGCCGCCCCGAGGCTTCGGCGAATGGGGCGTCATAAAAATGTTTAAATAAATAAATAAATAAATAAATTTTAGCAGGTAGACCATACACTTTGCAAGTGTCCCCATTACCTCTAGAACACGGACAGGCCGCATCTGATATTCCAACAACTGCAGCTCACAGAACAAGTTGTGAAAGCAATGCCTGCCCAAAGGGTAACAAGCATAAATTTCCAAAGACCTATGCTGAGTTTGGTTGCTCAGGGCTATGCCTAGCTCATGACTCACGATGGGATAATTTGGATTAAGTGAAACAGAAAAAGTTGCAATAGATTTACCTGATTTATACCTTTAGTTTTCTTGGTGTAGATGAAAATCAAGTAACATTCTACAGCCAAGCAGCATACAAACCATCCCTGCTTCTGAGTTGCACGTTTCACTGGCCCTAGCATTGTCACTTGAATGCTGCGGCGTGCGCAAATGCATTTGTTCTGCAATGGCCATTACGTAAAGTACAGAAAACAGATAAGACACATGTTCAACTACTTTTTTGCAAGGCAGATGTTCACACTTGTAACCATAACTATTCTAGATACTCTTTGGCCTCCAGGAGTGTTTTTAGAATTCTAGGCAGCAAGAGGAGTATCGCACAGGCCCCCCTGCTTCATACAGCAGGCCGGCAGAGACGAACAATGCACTCTCCCCAACTGAAACAAGGGATTTGCATCCCATAGAATAGCAGCAGAAAGGCTATAGGGTCAGCCTTTCTGTGCTACTGTTGAGACGCTGGACCCCACCCCACAGGGCGGAAGCTGTGATTACACTCCTTTCCTGGTGACCCATGCAGTCTTAGAAATAAAGGCTTTAGATATATACAAATCCAGCATGAAATTGTTAGGTAACAAACAGAAATCATTACAGAAGCAGTTGATGGCTTTTTCCTCTCCCTTGAAGGATGGTAGGGGGAGGGAGGGAGAGAATAGGGGCTGCTGAAGACATGGGGAGGCAACTGGAAGTTATAGGGCAGCTTAATCATTAATACCTATTATGAGCTGTACACATCATTGCTTAAATGTGTATTCTTCCCAGGCTTTTCTGCCATTTTCTTCATATGCATCCAGTTAATGGGCGTACTTCCCTTTCTCTGTGTATGTACTCGTTAAGGCCACAATTCTAAATAACTGTAATAAATATATAGGAGACTGGAAAGAACATGAACCAAACATTGCTGGAGGGGGGTTCAAGGTTTTTATTTGAACCTGTGTGTTTTGGCATTTAAGGGCCACATGAAGAACAGGTGCTACTTTATGTCCCAGGTTACTTCCTGCACACTTTCCAGGAGGGTGAGAGCTCACCCTGGATGATACATAAAGCCACCCATAACCAAGTGCTCCCTCCTGCCGCCACCCCCTTCTCAACAGTCCACAAGTGTTATAGTTAAAGCAGTAACAGTGTGCACGGATGTTTCCTGGGGTGATTGGTTCAAGTGAGATTGTTTCTTCTTACTTTTACACAGAGTTTCAAATTCGCCCCAACCCCCCCCATCTGTGTCCACAAGGGCACCAGACCCCGGCTTTCCTATGAAGAAATCCTGCCTCTGGGGCTGCAGCAGTGGCACATGGACATGTAAGGGTTGAAAGCTGCCCCTCTTCTCTGAATTCATCACTGCCATCCCCTCTCTTCCTGCCATCAGCTGGCTCTTGCACCATGCCCAGAAGAGCAGCAACCTAGCTGGGGATCCTCTGGTAGAAGTAGATGTAGCCAAGATCCTTTGGGGGCTTCTCAGAGGCGCAGACTTTCTGGTCATTATAGATCACCCATCTGGAACCAGAGAAGAGGGAAGAAAACAGAAAAGGGATCACAGAGATCAAAAATCTGATCACACATCCGTGCAGCAATTCTGCAGAAATATACAAATCAAGTGCTATATTTATTTAAACGTTTATATGCCGTGCTTCATGTATAACATCTCAGGACAGCTTACAACATTAAAATCAGAATCTAATAAAAACAATCAACACAATGACACAATATATAACCAATAAAAATAAATCAAAAGTGACTGTTAAACATTTAACTGCTAATTTTTAAAATAACACTTAAATAAAAAGGTTTATTTTTATCGTTTAAATATAGAAAAAATATAGGCTCCACTCCAGGAGAACCTCTCTAGGGAGTGCATTCCACAATCTGGGCACCACCGCAGAGAAGGCCCTACTCCAAGTGGATATTCTTTTGTCCTCCCCTTCAGGGTCAAAAGATGCACTAGGCATAAAATTCAGCATCTTACATCCCCCTCTGCACCCAAGTTCCAGGTTTCTAATTCTTATGGTTGCAAAGATTTGGTCAGAAGTGAATGGATAAAATGTCTGCTGACATTCTGGCAGCCAGAAAGGTGGGGTGCTCTAAATCAGATTCCCTTGGAATCTTCCCAAACAAAAGTTGAATAAATTAAGACAAAATATATAGCCAAAATGATGCAATCAGAACAAAACCAAGCAGGTTTACATAATTCACATTATAGAATTGGTGGTACCTTGGAACAGAAATCTGTTTTAAAAGCACAGAACACCCAGCCTGCTTACTGACACTCCCAGGAGCCCAGCTGTGCCTCCCCAGTGACAAACGAAGGTGTTTCTTTCCAGCCTTCAAAATACCACCACTTCTTGTACTGCAGACAGAGCAACAGCTCCCACTAAGCAGGCTCATGCAGCATCCTTCCCTGTCTCCCCTTCTCCGGGCCCTTGTTTCTCTCATACCTGTTATCCTTCTTGATATGACAGACATAATGGCCACACATCGTAGATGTGCCCATGTGGCTGATGAAGGCAAAAAGCTGGTATTCTGCAGAAGTAAAACAAGGAGAGACATGTATGCGCCTTAGCCCTGGTGCATAGCCCTAGTCTACAGCCCTTGTGGGAAGATGGGTGTAATCTAGTTCTGTGTGGCTTCCTGGGAAGAAAAGCCAGCAGAGGGTCCCAATGATTAACTGGGCTGCATGAACTTTACTGAAAAACTGATCCATTGGTAAGTATAGATTAGAAGCAGTTCTCAGTTAAACATATAAGCACACATGAGAATGGCCCAGATCCCCAAGACTCCATCTCTACAAAGCAGCTGGCTCAACACACATGCCTGGCTTACCTAAAAGCATCATCAGAAGAGTCCTGCTTGATCAGCCGCAAAGTCCACCTACTGTACTGCCTTGTTTTCAGAGACGGTTAGCCAGAGGCTTTCAGGAAGCCCACATGTTAGGCACACAAACCTAACTTCTCCTTCATTGTCTACCCAATTGCAGCAAGAAATCACAGATGTACTGACTCAGAATATGGACATTCCACGTAGATGGCATAGGAACCCTTGCAAATGGTCTAACCCCCATTTTAATGTAATCTAAGCCAGTTGTTACTTCTGAGCTAGGGCAACTCCTTGTGGCTCATCTTCCCTCAGGCTACCAACCTCCATCCTTTAGGGCATTCTTTGGGTTTGGGGTTGGAAAGTCAGACTGATGAATGGGGCATTCATGGCTCAAGACAGTTGCAGTATTGACCAGGTTATAAAAATGGAGGTTTAAAGCTGCAGCAAGGGCTTGGGGAAAAAAACACACCCCACTCTCAAAAACTCTGGCTTGTAAACTCACTTCCAGGTCCATCACGCACTTTTGGCCCCACAGGGACAGATTCAGAGATGGATTCTGCTGCTGAACGCCCCTCAGATATATCCATGGCAGCTTCTGCATCCAGATCATCAATATGACTGAAGATCCAATCCACAGCCCTCTCCAGGCTGTTACTCTACAGATGAGAAGGGAGCTACAGTCAGGTCAGGAGCCCCACCAGATTTTTCAAGTGTAAAACCTCAAGGAGAGAATTTAAGGAGCACATGGGGAACATTCTGTTAACCTTTCATCCTTGACTCACCGTAGCTCTTAGTGCTTTCATAGCCTGATCCCGGGAGAAGCCCATGGAGACTATGGTTGCTACACTATCTTCAGATGGGGGATCTGGACAAGTGATGGTAGAACCTGGGCCACTAGATCCTGGAAGTATCAGAGGATTTGCAAAATCTAAAGAAGAGAGGGACAAAGCTTTACAAAATCGTGCTTCATGATACAGCTCTGTTTATCTTCCAGATGCCGCCTCCCTTGCTGAATCCCAGCAGAGGCAGAGCTGTGAGCGGGACATGCAGTTTCAACCTGCTGACCTACCTGGATCATCCATGTGCGACATGACCCAGTTCATCGCAGCTTCAGCTCCGCTGTTCCCAGTGTAATACACAGCTTTACGGCAGGCATCCATTGGAAAGCCCATCTCCACTAGTTGAGTAATCACAGACTCATCCAACATGGGGGCTGCAGTGGGAAAGAAAAGGGTTAGATGTCCTCACAGAGGAGCACTTCTGGGCAACTCTTTGTGTGACCATGCCTTGCCCTCTTCTGCCAGCCACACACACACACACACAGCTGGCATGGCTAATAGTATGCCTGCATCTCAAAGCATCGTGAAGCCACCTGGGTGGCGGCAACAGACAGATATGGACAGCCCTGCAATTCTGTCTAGATTGTTTTAGTCAGCAGTGCAGAACAGCTCCTCTTTGCACCTGTTCCAGGCATGAATACTGACATGCCCGCAAGGCTCTGAACTTGTGACCCATGAACCACAGAAGGCACTCCAGCCCCACATAATATCAACACAATCAGCATCCTGTTATCATCCTCTTCAAATAGATAAACTCTCAGGCTTGGTGTCACAAGAATATTTAAAGGAAACAGAAGAAGCACAACCTCTCCTGAGTGCAGAGAAAAGGCATTTGTGGCCACCCAGATGTCTGATGGCTCCATTAGGTTAGACTGATGGGAGTTGCCTGTTCCCCAGTCCTGCACAAGGATCTTGCCCACTATAGCTCCTGGCACAAAAGAAACCTAACCTGAGAGATGCCCCGAGAGAGCATGGTTGCTATACAACCTTCTGGTGAGGGATCCAGGCAGGCAACAGTTCAGCCTGCCCGGCCCAATCTTGAGAAAACCAGAGGACTTACAAACAGGTGGAAGGATCATCAAACTCCTGGTAGCTAGTGGGACACATTTGGTCTGGTGAGTCACAAGTTGTACAGGGCTTCCCTGAATTTCAGTAAGCATCTACTACACATTAATATTACTACTAGTACATGGGCAAGTGGTTGTTTGTTTGTCAAGGAATGGCTTTGCTGAAGAGCTTACAGGTTGGAGGGATGTTTCCCTTGTACATGACTTTAGGTATATTATGTCCCATCCATTTTTCTTCCCATCTGCCTGGATCCCTGCCTGGAAGTAAGATCTACCAGGCCAAATGATCTCTGGCGGCTACATATGTGGATGCTTTTTGATGTGGAAGGCTCACTAGAATGACCTTTTTAAGGAAGGTTTGGGTCAGGATTTTTTTTAATGATGCTGCAGTACCTAGGTTGTACTGTGCCAGGCACTGGAACTGCTCCCTGCACCTCTGGTTGAAATGTTCTTCTCTACTAACCTCATAAAGGCCTTGGCGTGATGAAAGTTCCAGGAATTTGGAGGTTACCATAGGCCTCATTGGATAGCATTAACCAGAAAAACATGTCTCTCCGGACAAGACAGCAGGACAGTTTTCAGCAGAAATGCTGCACAGCTTTTTACAAGCTTCCACAGAAGCAAATCCCACCACAGAAGGTCCTAAATCAGCAGTAGTTCTGGTGAGACTATCCAGAGGCACAGGTTGCAAAGAGCAACTCAGTAGTGAGGTGACAAGAGGAGAGACAGAGCACAGAGGAGGGAAGGCACTAACGCAGGTAACAAAACATGAGGAGAAAGAGAAGCAGGGACCGAGCGAGTGAGGCTCAAGGGAGAGAGGAAAGGAGAAGAGTCACTAACATGTCGGAGAGGAGAAGTGAGGGGAGCAGAAGGAGTCGTCGTCCTCGTTGCCATAGAAACCCAGGCTACCTTTGGGCTCGTCTGGCGTCACTAGCGGGGGGGCTATATCAGGCATCTCCTCCTCCTCAGGCTGCAGACCAGTCCCCTGAAGTGCAGAGATGTCCAGCTCATCTGGCATTTCAATGGAGACATCTGATAACACAAGCAAAATGATTAAGACCAGTAGGAAAGCTAGAAGTGTGGCTGGCAAGAAGAGTTAAGTGTTTGACAATTCTGGATCGTAGAGGTGCTAAGAGCACATGATCGCTTGGTGGAAAGTGCTCTCAAAAGGAGAGAAGTCCCAGCTCACGTCTCATGACAGCCTTATCCAATTCCTCTGAAAGTGTAGAAAATACTCTTGGATGAAACTGATTATTTGGCTCCATCTCACTCAGGGTCCAAAGATGGCCCTCTTTCGCAAACTCAAAATGGGGTAGGGATTATTGCCAGCTGTTTTTTAGCAAACCCAGCAAGACAGAATGGTTTTAGTTGTTAATGTGTGGCTTAAAATCTTTTTTGTTTATGCTGTTTTATATTTGTATTATATTTAATAATTGCTGTTTACCACACCCAGAGTGCTTTGGCTATAGGGTGGTAAAGAAATAGAACAACCAACCAAGCAACAATGAATTTTCAGGGACCTGAAAATTGATGAGAAACTTTGTCACCTTTATAGACCTTAAAGCTGTTGTTGATTTCATCCCCAGAAACCTTCCGTAAGAGAAGTTTAAAAACATTCTTCAAGTGATTGGCTACATTTTCTGAATAAACAGTTGTACTTTGTTTTGCAAATTAGATGTTTGCAAAACAAATATCCAAACTATGTATTAACTAAAGGTTATCTCTTCCCTCTGCAGTGAGAGACAAGGCTGTATATCTGCACCAACTTTATTTATTTACCTAGCTCCTTTCCTAAAATCAGCTGATTTTTATGCTCCCAACTAATGGCCCTATTGCTGCTAGAAGTTTCTGACTTTAACCAGTTCCTATATGAAGTAGCCACTTGGATGCAGAGCAGAAATCATGAAGTGGCAAGATTTCAGGCATTTTCCCTGAAATCCCTAGGTGAGTGGCAAAATCCAGTGTTGTGCTTGACCGCTGGATTAAATTCTGTCATATGTACAGCTTGGTCACCCATCCTTTGCAAAAGGATTAAAGCTTGTTTTGACTGAGAGGATACTTGCTGCTGCTCTACCATTTGAGAGTTCTTAAATACACGAGAGAAGGAAGGCTACTCTGAAAATTCATGGAAATGTGACTTCTTTATTTGAATTTTTTTTGGGGGCAGCGGGGGAGTAAAATGCTAGCCATGAAGGCAGAAGCTCCGCTGGAAGCATGGAGGAGCTCTTCTGACACCACACTTGCCAAAAACTCTGTGGCATCATCATCTCTCCATATGCTGACTGGTGACAGCAGCCAAGTATCATAAAGGGAAAAAGAGCATAATGTGACAATGCATGATGTTCCGCTTCATTATGCAAGTCCAAACTATAATCTCCAAGATCTAATTTGCTATGCACAAAACTTGTATACAAAGAAGCTTTCAAAGGAGAGGTCTCCTCTGAGATTGGATGAATTTGTTACTTTCTGGGGAAGTAATGGATTCACTTGAAGTTCACCCACTACTAATCATAGATTATAATGATCAGACTTAATTGATCGACCTAATAAAACAATGGAAGGATTTCTAAGACAACTGAACACTCAAAGGCAGTAGATAAATCTACTGTGTCATCACTTTTCTTGTCAATCATTACAGAATCAAACCCAGCAGCTACAATTGCCACACAAGACTTCAAGAAAGCCTCTTCAGACATTAACACCCCTCTTACCAAGCTTTTTGGGCACCCAATCTAGGCCAAAAGTGAATTTCTTGATCTGGATAACTAGATAATCTGGAAAGGAGGCAAATCGAGTTGTCCTGGAAAGGAGAAAAGGAATCAGTAAAGCAACAGGTTTCAACAGTGCAAGAACCACCAATGGAGAGAAGTGCTCCAAGACTGAACTGGCCATAGTGACCTTAGTTTCTTGCTTTCTCACAAGCTTACTGCTTTCTGTGTGCTCTGACTTAGTGAAGACATGTATTTGCCAAGCTTAAGGTGGAAACTGAGGTCCTCCCACCATTTTCTGATGGACTACAGGAGTTTTCAGAGTCCGAGCATCAAGATCCTCTCACCTCAATGCTTAGAGTCTAAGAGCTGACCCTTGCCCTATGCAGCCAGTGTGAAACTTTATCAGTTGCCTCCCACGGCAAGAATCACAAATAGGTCTTGAGGGGGAAAGGGGACTTACTAGGAAGCAGGGAGGAGGAGAAGCAGCTGGGCGTGGACATCTGCTGATTCCAGTCACAGTTTGGTGCTGGCAGAGCTCACCACCATGCCTGGCCCTAGAAGCTCAGAAGCCCCCCAGTTCAGAGAATGAATGACAGGTGTGACCTCCCATGTTCTCACTGCAGTGGTCTGTTTACCCAAGTGATCAAGCAAGTGGCAAGGGCAATAAGCCCATGTGGATGTGAGAAATACCAGTGAGATGAATGAAGTCTTGGACCATACAAACCGAATACAGAAAAAAATACACAGCTGTTAGTACATGGGAATAAATGGGAATAAATAAATAAATAAATAAATAAATAAAACTCCTGCGAGCCAGGGAAGATGGGCATGATAGATCTCATTTTCTTGAACAAGCAGGTTCACAACCTTGGTATGCTTCTGGATGCTGCCAAGCTAAGGGATGTACCTACACCTTCAGCTTTTAACAGACCTATATCAGCTTTTATAAACAGCTACTTGGCCTGTTACATTTTATTCTTGCAGTATTTCAGACTTGTGATTTTGATTCTATACTTGTCATAGATTTTTTAAAGTGTTGCTTCTGATCTGGCCGGAGTCCTAAGGGGACACGTCTGGTTATCTGCCCATTTCACAGCAGAAGAGGCGCCTGCCAGATTTTTCAGCCTGTAGGCCTGGAGGCTGCCAGCACAACAGCTCAGAGGCCATTAGGGTCTGCAGCAAAGATGAGGCATTGTGCATCCCCCCACAACATGGCTGAGGGTCCAGGTAGCAGAGGTTTGGGTTAACCCCAACCCTAAGCCCCCCATCAAAGCACCCATACACCCTCCCCTCCTGCCTGGATCTTAAGCGCATCTGAACAGAAGGTTTGAATCAGACAACAACCACAATACTTGCACAGCCAGAGCTGGGGACTATATACATCCCTCCAAATCCTAGTCTATCACTATTACTGGCTCTAAGCATAAATCATTAAATCACTGTATTTGCCTCTGTTCCCAGTAGGAATGGTTAAACAGGGACACATGCTTGCATTTAAGTGGATATACATTGTGCAGTAAGAACACAGGAACTGCAGAGATTCCACCCAAAAAAAATCCTTTGCCTAAGGATTTCCCTGGCCTTCTCCTTAGGCAAATCACAAGTCCTGATAACTAAGTAGGACCAGGTCTTGCAGCAGCATTACCGTCACTCTTTAAGGCATCATCTCAAGCCGCTTCTGTCCTCCAAGAATGCGGGAGCTGCATACTCTCTCGCTGGCACAGAAGGTGTGCAGGAGGAACTGTGCTCTCTCTGCAGGCTGGCCAGGGCAGCAGGTGATGCTTTAGCATGGCCCTTCCCATGGATTCCCACTTATTGGGCAGGGCCAGCCAGAGGCAACTAACTGATGGAAAGCAAGCCACGGAAATGCTGAGATGGCAATGACAAGGAAAAGACATAGCTGACACAGTCCCCTGTGAGACAGATCAAACTATGAACAGGTAGCTGCAAGACAGCAAGAACTAGCTTGCCTGAAATTCAGCTTACAGCTGAACTCTTATAAGAAATCTGATTTCTGCTAGGCATGTACATTCCTGTCACGATTAATAAAAACCACAAAATGAATGGAACTTATGGATTTCAAAACTAATGCAGAAAACCATGTGCATGTACTTGTCCTAGCAACATCCTGATCCTAGCTTGAGATCACCAGTAGAGAAAATTAAGCAGAAGACACGGACATTATAAACTGTCTAGTCTTTAACTGAAACAGTCCAGTAACTTGATTGGTCTTCTTTTTATAATCACCTTGGCCAGAGGAGGACTTCTAGAAGTATTCAAAAGGGAAGCTAGCTCTTTGTGCATGTTAGGAAAAAACACCTGCTAGTTCCCCTGTGCAAAAAACAGTTCCAACTTTCCAATCAGTTCCTGAAGATATTGTTTTTGAGTGTTTAAAAAGTTGTGGCGTGCTGAAAGGGTTTGCAACAGCAATGCAGAGGGCAACAGCAAGTCACATCCCTCCCATGGTGCACTCTGGGATGCCTGCAGGAAGAATGAGGTGCATAAGATCAAGGAGGAAAAGGAGGCGGCAGCACCCTTTCCACCATGAACCTAATTGTCTGTTGGGTGCATAAGGGGTGACTTATTGCGTTGTGGGAATCCATCCAGTGCCTGATACTCTGAAAGAACAGCAGAATTCCATCAAAGTCTCAGGGCAACAGAATGAAGTCAGTAAAGTCATAAGCAGCGACAGCAAATCTAAGGCCTCCAAATGAAACGTGGGAAATTAAGAAGTAGGAATAAAAAGCCAGAGAAAATTAAGTGTGAAACACATGTTATTCCAACAAGGTTTAAGCAGTGATGGAAACAGAGCTTCCTCTGCTTCCACCTGGCCAGCCCCATCCACTTACTGTCCTACTCACTTGAGTGCCACAGACTTGGCCTGCAAGGCTGTGCTCCAGAAGTCATCTACTTGTTCTGGGGCTCCATAGGCCTCAAGGCAGGAGCTGAAAGGCACCTTGGCACGGACCAGCTCAGGCAGTGGCTGCTTTTCTTCTTCTGCTTGTCGCTTCTTTTCTTCATATTCCAGCAGTTCATCTGGACAAGAAACCAAGGAGCAAAGCTTGTGAGTCTTTTCTAGATGAAACAGGAGCACCTGGGTCATAGGACCCAGAAATGTGACTGAGCAAGCATCATTTCCACTCTAATATGCAACTCTGACACAGACAAATCCTGCAGTTCTATAAGCTGCCATGCTTGTGGCAACACCAGTCTGGCAGGAAGAGAGAGAAAAACCTCTGCAGAAGACTTGCTTAAAGCCAGTTTTAGTGTATGGTGTACAGCCAAGATGTCAAATGGAGAGAGATTGCCTCAGCCACCATGACTGAAGTTTTAGTTTGTCAAAACCTCAGAGTTAGTCTCAGCCTTTTAAAAGTATAGAGCAAAGGGGAAGGCTGCCATCACTTTCCTGCAATTGCCATGTGAAATATCAGTGTTATTTGGTTATCAGTACAGAAGACCAAAGTTCTTGCATGCCTGCCCCACCCCTGTCAAAGTTCCATGATTCCGTATCTCAGCTTTAACACAGGAGCCCTGAAAAATGTTTGAAAAGAATGGCTGAACCGGTTACACCTCATCAAAGCTTCCCACCTTTGTTCAGTGCCGCATCCATTGGCACCGGCAGCTGCATGATATAATCAACACGCTGCGTGTATTTCACTTTTTCCGTTGCCAAGCATTTGAGCTTCTCTTCCACCAGGAAGCGGAAGACCTCATTTGGGTTTTCAGAGCTACGGCAGTTCCTCTGGGGAAGGAAGGAATTTAAAAATGAAGGCGGGTCAGAAGAGAACACACCAAGTAACACAAGAGGAAATACCGTATAGGAAACAAAGCAATTCCAGAACAAGAAAAGCTCCTCCTGTCTTCTTCCTGCTGAAAATCTTTACAAGGGGTTTTCTAGTTTTCCATCCAGGGAACCCTTTCTAAACTGCTTCTGTCTGCTGAGGAAAGCCCCACCTAGAACACAAGATTGGGCTGAGCCTTTTAGGCCTAAGCAAATGCCCAGAATACTGGGCTTGAACAAGGCATGAATCCTACAATGAACCTGAAGGGAGAAGAGTAGCAGGCAAGCTGTTTTACTAGGAAGCTTACATGTCATAGGCAGCCTTCTCCTTGAGGAACCTCAGGGCCCCAGCTCACAATCTGCCCCTTTCTAAGGTCCCATCTCCCTAGCCATAATTCATGACCTACCACTTAGCAATCTACTCCAGAATAAAGTGTACTGCAGAATGCTTGAGCTTTCTTCACATCACTACTACTCCTGAATAGTGTCAGAGGAAACCCTCAAGCAAGTACTCTTGCAAATGAGCCACCCCCCCTTCATCATCCTTCGTACAGAGTGGTCAGCAGCCTTCTCTCTCTGGAACCCGTACTCAGAGCGCTGCAGAGTTTGCCTTCCATAGAAGTTCTAGTGCTTTAAAGTCACCTTCTTACTAATTCCATCTTGAAGTCAACAGACAAACCAACCAACCAAAAAAATCCCACTCTGAATGCCCAGGAATCATTACCTCCACCATGTTGATGAAGTGCAGGAAGAACTCCTGAGCGTCTTGCTGCCGATTGGTAGAAAACTCTGGATGGCCTTTGCCAACAAGAGATTTAAACATTCGTGGTGCGATGCCATCTTGAATGCCCTGGAAGGTGAGGAGACTAAGTAAGCATTATCATTCAATCAGAAGACCACTACAAACTATTACAGCAGTTTGTGTCATCTTCAGTCCTCATGGCTAATGGACATCTGACTCCCTACCTTCTGCTCCACTTGCTGTTCTCCATCTGAAGAAGCAGGTTTTGAATATTCCCCAGAGAGCAGACCATGGCCCAGCTTGGCTCTGGAAAAGCAGATCAAACAGAGTCAGTTCTGAGGCAGACAAGAAGGATGTGAATTACAACCTTGAAGTCCACCTAATAGCAGTGCCCCATTTCACACACAGGGCTGATGTTTGGCTTTACTAATTTGAGAACCCAAACATGTCTCAATCAGCTTCCAGGGGACCGCAAGGAACAATTACAGTGCATGTCACACTCTCCCAGGAAGAACACTCTGAATTAGTGGCTTCTGGCTTTTGCTTTGGCAGGGATGTTTTTTTTTTTTCCTCTGTAGAACAGAGCATGAACATCCAAGCCCTGCTTTAAAAAACCCGATAGTCATAGGATTCATATCAACAGTTGCATTTCTAAACCCCCTCATAAAAGCATGAGAACCCCAATCAACACACATTATCGCAAGTAACATTTCTTCAAATTATGACTATTTCTGCTCCGAAAGCATGCTCTGGTCGCTATCAAACAATGAGGAAGAGGCATGGGCCTGGTATGGAGAAGAAAGCAGGCATGATTTAATAGGCATGAATAACTGGAAAAGGAGAAAGTGGGAGAGGAGGACTAGTGAAGCAGAGGAGGGCTAGCACAGAGGAAACACATGGACAGCTGGAGCACCACGTGCTTCCCCAGTCAGAGCTGGTTCTCAGCAAAGCCTCTTCAGGAGCAACCAGGTCCCTAGAAATGCCAATATGCCGGGGTACCATGGGAGCCCTCTCCACAGAAGAACATTGCCAGTCACTTTAGGTGCGATACCATGCATGGTAGCTGCAGAGGCAGGAGGCCCCAAGTAATGGTCCCTGACCCCATTCCTTTAGTGCACTACATACACTTGTGTGCTGAAGTCTTGTGTAGGATCTGAGGGAGCATTCTGGAATATTTTCTCTATCTTGTCTACATACCTAGAAAGCAAAGAGAAAGGACAACTTATTTGATTTGTCCCTTGCCTTTCTATCAAAAATGGCACTCAAGGAGGCCTACAGTCTCTCAGCTTCATCAAAATGAGCAAATTAAGCATTTTAAACAATTCAAAACAGAACAAGAGCAGCCAAGCAACACCAGCATCTAGCTGAACAGACTCCCTTACACCCCAATGGCCAGCTTGAGCAAAGAGGTCTATGCCTTCCCACAAACTGTATTCCTAAGAGTAACATAGCTGACAAGGCCTATTTTCTGTTCAGAACTTGGAACCCAAATAACCTGAGCTGGAGCATTCTGCCCAAGGAATAGCACCAAGATGCATCTTGGCTTCTTCTGCAAGTTTTGACTGGGAATGCCCTTTTACCAAGCAGGCCATGGGTAAAGCAAGACTTGTTTAGCTACTGCATAACCCAAGCTCACAGGGTTTATAACACCAATGCAGCTCCTGAGTGGAGGCTGCATATTTAACATGGCAGCTGTGTGCACTGCATTCTCACTGTGGGTTAAGTTATCCATAGGGGGCTCTCATCTTGTGCAGGCGGCCCCAACTGTTGATTACCAAAGTCTGATACGACCTTTTGATTAATTCCCATCTTGGTCAGCAAAAGTCATTTTGACCAAAGACATCATGCAGCTTCTGGAAGGTTGCTCCGGAACTGAAGTGCTGCCCCCTCTGCACCCGTGATTTGATAAGCTGAAGTGAGGATTGTTTAATGCTCATGTGACTCCAGCTCACCTGGTTTGCCTGGCACAACTGAGGGGTTCCAGGGGTGCTGCAGTTCACATAGGTTAAATAGCCCATGATGAGCCTTGGTGCGTTGCCCAAAGTGGGTCATTGTGGCCCACACCAAGCACGTGGGGTGAGGCACAGCATACACTGAACAAGACCAGTACAACTCACTCAATTTTTCAAGAAACTCTCGTCAAGTCAGAATTGTGCAGATCTATTCAATGAACAAAAGTTTAGTCTAGGCACACACTATTTCTCTTGCCATCTCTGGCTGTGCAGTGACGGACTATATGCCTCCTTCCCCACCTGCTAGCTGAAGGAGGTGCCAATTCCTCCCCCCCCCCCCCACCGGCCACTCACTCACTTTCGCTGGAAGTCCGGTATGCTGAACAGCACCTGCACTACAGAGTTGAGGTAGCAGCTGTTCCCCAGATTGCGGATACCCGTGTAGCCAGGGCCATAGAGGGGCTTGAGCTGCACCCCTGACTCCTGGATCAGCTCCCACTCGCCAATTCGCTGGTTCATATCGATTTCCAGTTCTGTCATTGTCTTGTCAGTCTAGAGAGAGAAGAGCCACAGAAATATTCAGGGGAGCCTCCTCGGGTAAGTGCTCAGCAGCAAACTCCAGCCTGTTGCACCAAGTCACAGCAATGGCAATAAACAATGCCATTCTGAATCTGAAGGCGCAGAGCGAGACTCAAGAGCTGCCTCCCCATCTTCTGCTTGGAAACTTACCATCTGAAAGGAAGCCCCTGGAATGTAGAAGCAGAAAGAATAGATGCATTCTGACCCAAAGTCCAGCATGAAAGACAGGAGACAGCTCTGCAACCATACCCCAACAGGAATTCTACATCCCGCCCAGATACCGATAGGAACATCTCAGTGCTACGAGAATCCCAGCCTTGGAACCAACTGCCTCCTTTCCACTGCCCCTTCTCACCTTCTGCATTTTGAGCATGTCAATCCCAAAATGAGCCAAGTGCTCAGCCAAGTTGGGGTCCAAAACCATGTCATCCTCATCGTAGGAATAGACATCTACAGAGGAAGGGGAGAAGGCAGAAATATCTCAGAGCTGTTCCACAGATATGGACCCACCCCACGGGGAAGAATGACCAACTGCTTGCAAGCTTAATATAAAATTGTAAGACAAATTATATCTGCCTTCCAGAAATTTAATCTAGGAGAAAAACCTGTGAGCAAGTCTTTGGCTGAACCTAGAGAGGCATGTGAACTGGGCAGGGAATCCACTTTGGAAAGCTGGATGCAAAAGCAGTATTATCTCTTTTGGGTTGGATTTGCATACAATGTCCTAGCCCTTAACCCAAAGAAACAGCAGCGTTGTCTAGCAAGATAAGCCCCCAGCTCACTCTCAAGAGCAGGGTTTGCCAACTGACAGGAGATGGGGCAGATCCTGTCACTGAAGCCATTTCATCTGGCCCCAGAGGTCATTCCAAATTTAACCAAGGTATGATCAAAATGTCTCCTTACTGTGGGCAAAGAACCATGTTTTCAAGATCTCGGAAGCAAAGGTGCTGCAGTTTGTCACTTCACTTTTGCACTGCATGGAAGATGTACATAGTGCACAAGTACATATGGCCCATATAGCACACCAGTAACAGCTTGATGGGGAGGTGGGGAGGGGCTCAGACTCGGTAGCAATGGTCACTCTGGATCTCCATGCCCTTAAAAAACATTGCTGTTAGGGTATCTAGCACAAGCCTTCTTTTCACCATCTGCTGAAACGCTCATGTCCCTTCACAGGAGAGCAGCAAATTCCAACTGGGATCAGAAAGGCCATCCTTGTGCCATTTGTCCTTCCTCCTCCAAGGTGGGAGGCAGGGTTCCGGCAGGAAACCGAGGACAGCTGCAGCCATCACAAATTTCTTTTCTTACCAGCACCATCAGGAGTGATGGTTCCCAACTTCACAGCCAAGGGATAGCCGGTCTCCCGGTAATGTTCCACGGCGTGGTTGTTGCCCCCACTGCCATCAAAATAGCGCCGCCCACACAAGATGGAGCCATCTGTCATGTTGAGCCACAGATTCTCACGCATGTCGCACTTGCTGCACTTCCAGCCACTGATAAAGGAAGCGGTTAGAAGCTGCTGAAGTCAACTCTGAGCCACCTGCAATTTTACCCCAGCAGGAATCAGGCAGTCACTGAGCCAGTCTCGAGCCTGCCCACTTTGGAGAAGATGCACTGGTTGGTATTGCCCACCCTAAATCGGTGTGGCTGTGGAAGAGGAGCGCGTGCACTTCTGTGGACACTAGGAAGGAAGTTAAAGGACAGCAACATTGAGGAGATATAGTCCAACTCACCAAGGGGGGATACGCACACCATTCGGGAGCTGCTGAAGTGAGAAGGCATGTCTGGACACACGCCGAACCTCCCCATCCCAAGCCTGCACCTCCTGTTTCCGTGAGGCAGAATCTGCTGTCAGAATAGCGTCAATTGCACTGGAAATCTGGAAGGCCAGGAAGAAACAGGAAAGGTGAGCGGCTCCAGCATTACCCCTCACATGGCAGCTTCTGCCAACAGGGCCTGTCTCACAGAGTCCTGCCAAGATGCCTCCATGCTGCCCCTTCCCACAAGCTGTGCTGCCTCCCCCTCTGCCTCTACATGAAGCACCCCAGGACACACTCAAACTAAGGACTTACCCGGTCCTTGACCTTGTCTGGCAGACCATCTAGACCATCCCGAGGGATATCCAAGTGGTCTGGCAAAATAACTATTTTGACATGTTCGTCATATTCATATTTCTCCTCTGGGATGTCAAATCCACCCTCCACACCTACCAAAACACAAGCAAAATTGCAGTCACTGAGAAGTTGGGACACAACTCTGGCAGGATAGAAGTCTGAACAAATGGAAGCATCGAATTCTACAACCTCAGAGCATGGTTTAGTACATATATGATCTGAGGAAAACGTTAAACATTTGAAATCAAACCTTCCTGCAGTTTTTCTTGCTAGGAAACTATAGCCCTATCTCTGTTCAAGTTCTTCCTCCTTGGTATAACAGGAGATCAGGTCTAGTCCCTTACCAATAGCTAGACGGGTTGGTTTCTTCCTAGGAGGATCACCAGCACTGGAGTTGCTGTCTTCTTCTTTCTATATCAGAGCCAGGAGAGAGCTAATTAGGAGGCCATCCATTCACAAAACCCAAAGACTGGGCAGTAGGGCAAGACTGCAGAAGTGCAAAGCACATGACAGTGTTTATTCGCATCGGGATTTTCTTCCCTGACTCAGAAATTTAAATAGATGGATCCGCTTTTCAGCATGAGTGGAGTGCATATGGCAGAAAAGGACACCACTCTTACCAATTTGCGTGTCTTCTTAAGATGCAGATAGACCCGCTGGCCTGTTTTTTCATAATGTTTCTCCACATACTGCTTTCCAAAGCCCAAGAATGTGTTCATGCAAATATACAAGCCGCCATCAGACTCCTGCAAAAGAGAAAAGGCTGATTCAACAGGGAAAGGGGTGAGAAGACTGCCAGGTCTGCAGAATTCTGTGTATTTTAAATATTAAGATCCTATGCCAGGAAAGTTCAGATTTACAAACTGAATTATTCAATTTGCAAAAATCATTCATTTTGTAAAATTCATCTGAGATCTGTCTATCACCAGGAAAGACAAAGATCCACTAGCTTCTGTGCCTTCAGCAGGCTCATTGCACAAACACCTTCAAACATATCATTACCACGGCAAGGTCTAGAACCTTGTACTTTTCTTTCAAAATGGAAGGAAGCACAGGAATGCTGGAATTCAAAGCCAATACAGGCAGTCCCCATCTTAGGAAAGAGTTCTGTTCCCGAGACATTTGTTTTTAACTCAAATTTAAGTGAGGTCACATATAGGCGGCCCTTCACACTTGCAGGAGTTAGGGACACAGGAACCTAAGTGGAAAAACCAGGGCTGTCTTAACAGCATTATAGGCCCCGGGCAAAGCAGTGCACTGGGGCCCCTACGACAAGTACAACTACTGTTAATTTTGGAAGTTTTCCAATTTTCCAAGGGGTAACATGCACAGATTAGTATGGGGCCCACGGGCAAGTGCCCATCAGGCCCATGTGTTAAGACGGCCCTGGGAAAAACCACAAATACCTCCAGCCCCTGCCCCAAACTCACCAGCTCTCCTCTTTGCAGCAAGGAAATACTGGAAAGATTTCCCTCTCTGGATGGGCGGGTCAGGAAGGCATGCTTTGGAGGCCTTCCTGTCTTACCTGTCTGGTCTTCTCCCCCTACACTGATGATTTCCTGCAGTAAGTTTTTTTTTAATTAATAAGCCTTAAGACAATTCATTTATATGTATGGGTTGTTTGTAACTTGGGGACTGCCTGTACCACATTTTTTTGCACTCTTCAGTAAAGAGGCATAAAGATAGCTCTGATATCCTTTCTACTTATAAGAAAGTCTGTGGTACAGCAGTTAGAATGTTGGCCTGGGACTCAAAATATCAAGATTTTTGTCCTCAGCTATGAAACTCACTGGGTGACTTTAGACCAGTCACTAATTCTTAGTTTCATCTACCTCCCAAAGCTGTTGTGAAGATAAAATGGAAAAGAGGATTATGGAAGTACCTTTGGGACTCCTTGCAAGAAAAAGGAGAGATAGAAATAAGAATAAAATATAAATAAATGCAAACATTTCTAATTCTAGAGTCAAGCAATATAGTTAGCATTATCCATGAAATATCATCTGTTACTGAGTAAAGCAATTCAGATTCTGCCCTAAGACTGTCCGATGTTTGCATCTCTCTCAGTTTATTCTTGTTTTTCAGTCCTGCACAATCCATGGTAGCTTATCTGTGAGAAGGCAGGCAAGAATTTCTTCTCCAGATGCTAGTTTTGGATTTGCATGAAAGATTTTAAGTGGGGGGGGGGGCAAACAAAGTGCGTGTGGGCCACTTAGGCACAGCTGAGTGAACCTCTGTTTACCCTAGTCTATGGGTCTAGGAGTTTCCCCAATCTCTATTCTACCTTGCCTTTGCAAAAAATAGTGCCTCAGGCTGCAACCAAGTCCAGTCCAAAGGCTGCCTCACAAATCCACATGGCTAAGGTTCCTTTTCATGAAGTGGAGAGAAAGGCGCACATGCCATCCTTACCGCCACATACCCAGGATAACATGCCCCATCTTCTATTTATTAGTTTACCCATATTCTATTATCTATTGTAAGCTCAATTTGCAGGAAAAAAGTGAGGGAGGGTATGGCCAATCCCAGGCGCATACAGTCCGGCACATGGAACACTTGCTTCATGGTGGAGAACTGCTCCATCACACAAAGCAGACCCTCAGCTGGGACTGGAGCTGCTAATCTTGCATCTGGTGTTACCACGCTGAATCAATAAACAAGCTAAGGCACGCTTCATAGTGGCACCATGCACTGCCTGGAAATCCTTAGCCATCACATGAAGTCATGCCATTCCGACACTTTAGAAGCAGTGGGGACTTTTTAATAAAAGGCCCATCCACAACTCAGCACCACTGTAGGGCATACCTGGCTGGCCAGCATTAAGTACAAGCTAGTCATGTCTCCTGCAACGCTGAAGTAACTGGAGCCAAGACACAAAGGTGGGGATTGGGAAACCCCTTGCTGCTCCAAGCCCCAGCCTCCCAGGAAAGAGTGGGAACCACCAGAATTCAAATGTTCCAATCAGCATCTTCAGCAGGAATTTCAATCCAATGAGTCACGGCAACTGGGTCATCAAAGGTATGAAAGGGAACTGCCCTATGCTTTCTGGGTTGATTGGCCTTTTGCTGTGGGAGAACTTCTCTTGAGAATAAAAATCCGATTTTTTCCTCTCACTCCTTGGCATGCTTGATTGGGTGCACGTGCCAAGGCCAGATCCCTTCTGTCCTTCACCACAAAGCAGGCATATGTCACGTGGAGGAACCCCTGCCTTTCATGGCTGCTATGGTCTATATTACAGGCTTCTCCAATTTGGTGTTCTCAGGATGATTTTCAACTATACTTTCCATCGATTGCAGCCAGCATGGCAATGATCAGGGATGGGATCAGAGATTATGTAGCCTAATGCTTCTGGAAGAAGCTGGTCTAGAACCAGACAAAATTATCATCATTGATGATATGACATTATGAGTATAAGGGGGGACATAGATCACCAAGGCTTATTTCCTCAGGCACAATCATGCCAACCAGGCCGGCAGCTCAGGGTGCACCGTGCCGACTTCCCCCACCACCCAGATAATCAGCCATCAGTCAGAAAATGGAAACAAAACACTGTATCCGCACTGCAGCAGTGGAGAAACAGTCTGTTTGCTTATGGGGTAAGGAGAGGCTTTAAGCCCAGTCCTCCTCATAAACCCCCTGAAGAAACAGCTGTTTCAGAGCTGCTACTATAGGTAGAAAGAGTGGCGGGGATCTTGCCTCCAGCTCAGCAATCTGGTTAGGGAAAGGATGAAATACATTCCTTACCAGTCACTTGCCCTGCTCTCAGTAGGCAAGGAGGACAGGGTAGAAATACACTTGTGTGGGGAGGCAGTGGGTGGAAGCATGGGCACGATGAGGCTACAGGCCCCAAACCTCCATCTGGGCAGCCCGTGGCCCTAAGAGCCAAAAATATTGCCCATCTTTAATATGCAGGCAAGTCAGCAGATGTTTTAAAGCGCTTCCTGGGAAATAAGGTCAATTCTTCTCCCAGGAGTTCTCCTTCATGTTTTCCTTCGAGAAGCATACAGGTTGCCTGTGCCAAGTTTGAGAGAGTCTCCTCATGGCCTTCTGGCGCCAAATTTCTCCAAAGGTTTGTGACGCCTGCCCTCCTTGGCCCAGAGTTAGGCCAGGAGGGTTGCTCCCAGCCTCAGCCCAGAATTCCTCGATCTGGGCATTCCCCACGGTCACATGCACACAGGCTAGAGCCCATCCTCCATGGGCAGCTGTAGAAAGCCCCCTCCCGATAGGTTAAGCTGGTCGTGACACACAGGCTGCCTCACAAGTGGGTAGAGTCTTGATATACCTGCACAAGGAAGCCTCTCTAAACTCAGCCAACACCCATTTATCCAACAGCTCTCTTCTCCCTGCTTCCTTCTGTTCCTTCCCCTCTCACTGTTCCTCCTCTCTCACTGGCAGCTTCTTCAGGTGCCTAGAAAAGACTGCTGCATCTGTAAAGCAAGACTACTGACCCTGCTGAAGTTGCCTAGTGGAGGATATTTACAATTGCTTATATGCCCCTTCTCATTTCTCCTACCTCCTCCTCTTAACCTTAACTAAACCTGTTAAGTTGGATTCTAGATATGAATGGATGTTTACAGAGCTGATGGAGCGGTCCCACCCTGAACCAGGTTAACTGTCCAGGCTACAGGCAAAGATAATTGAGAGATAAAGGGAACATAGCCTGAGGCCCTGCTAGGCAGCTTGCTGGAAATAGTTATTTCCAATGTACATGTCTGAGAAGCCTCACTTTTCCACATCATAAGGAAAATTGAGTGAGGGGTGGCAGCTACCTATCATTAAGTCAAGCAAGCATATTCCAGTCCAGTCTGTACCAGAGGATGGGTGAAATAGCTTTCTCTAAGCACAAGAATCTCTTCAGGGAACACAGTCCTAACTTTGGCATCACAACCACCCTAAACTACAGCAGAAAAGCAAGTGGGCACTCCATTTCCATTGCTCTGATAACTGCCTGCTGAGTCACAGTCCTGCTGGGTTTTTTATACAGCCCTGTTCCACCCAAGAGCTTTTATCTTATTGCCAGAAATCACTATCTTCCAGCTACCCTGTCTCTTTCTCCTTCCTGGGGACTGGACCTGGTTTTATTCCCAGAAAGCAGTATTTACCACGGGGAACAACCAGTTACTGAATCCTCCTCCTCCTTCCCCCAACTGTCTAGGAGAAGCAGGAGATGCATCCTCTTTTAAATCAGTCTTAGCATCTGTTTCTCAAGAAGTCCCAAGCCATCTATGGGTGAGGTTGAGCCTGTGCAATGACTTTTATACCTTTACATCTGTGCATTTCAAATGTGTATAGAATATTCACAGCTTGCCTAGGAGAATCCAGTTGATTAATATAGTGAAATTAACCAGCAGGCAAAATTCTATGTATTCCAATCTTCTGCCTCCTCCTGTAGTAATATCCTATTAGGCATTATGGACAATCCAAAGCTTTAAAACAAACCAACCAACCAACCTCAGGGAGTTGCCACTTCCCAATATGTAGGATATGTTTTGGTAAGTTGGGGAAATACTGTAGCACAATATTTAACATTTGGTTTCTATTAGTTATCAACAGGACAAGTTAGAAATAAACATGGTTGGTTCCACAAGGAGACAACAGGTGTTTAATTTATAAAGCATCATCAGTATTTTAACAAGTACAGATCCAAGATTCTAAATTGGATCAGGAGTAGCCAACATTAGCAGGTCTGGGGGGCATTTCCCTCCCTTCCTTCCACTGGCTGTACTCTCCCAAAAATACACCAAGCGAAATTGCAAAATATCTTCTTGTGACATGAAAGATCACTAAAGCACTAAATGGAGCACTGAAGTGGCAACTATAGAGCTGTAAAACATCCTAGACTTCACCTTTGGGGTTTTTTTCCTTTTTAAAAACAAACTTCTTTTCAGAGTATGGAGGAAGTAGTGTGGGGTGCAGAGAATTAACAATGCCAATTTTGGAGCAACACTGACAGAAAAAACTAGTGTAATAGTATAAAAAGGCAGCTAACTTTTCCCGGAACTTACAACCACTTCAAAAATTTTGGTGAGGCCTGACTGTATGCACATGGCTTATGGCTTATGTGACTAAAGCCAGCAGCATGCCAAGTGTTAGCCAGCACCTGATACTTGTCACAAGTCACTCCAGAACATGGCCTTGCTTACTGATGACTCTCAGCTACTGATCCAACATGTATATAGTCACTGCATTTGTTATGAGGGAGCCAGAAGTCTCCTTTCAAAGAAGCCCTTCTGTTTGCATACAACATAATGGATCAAAATGCAAAATACTGTTGCTGTAAAAATGATATTCTTCCCTGAGCTAGATGAGGCACTGTTAATGGATACCACAAACATATCTAATAGCGACAGCCCCTTCTGCAACAGATGATGATCCCAACAGAACAGTTCCTCCTCTTAGGATGATGCCTGCTTAAAGACAAACAGAAATAATACACATACAAAACAGTCCACAGAAAACTGACTAAAAATGACCAGCCCGAAAAGATGTAAAACAAGGAGGAACTCCTTATCATTTTCTTCTCCTAAATTCAAATTTCCAGACCTTACTGCCAAGATAATTTTCTCATAGTGGTAAAATGCTTATTATCCAGTCTCCTTTTAACGGATTAAACAAGTGAAATAGCTGGATAGCTCCATCCACCCTGCTATACACGAAATAGAAATCCTACTGTTACTGAATTTGGGTTTGCTTCACCATTCCCATAAAGCCTAAGATACGGGAGGAGTGGCTTGTTTTGAAGTGACTGCTTGGGAAAGGAATCCGGCACCCATTTGCCAGTGCCTCAGCATCAAGAGCTATTCTCTGCTTTGTGCTGAAGTTTGAAAAAAAAGGACGCCTGTGGGTTCTTACTTTATTCATACCTCAGCACAAAATGAGAAAAGACTCTTTAAGGAGAGGAATAACAAGCACAAATTGATAAACTAGTCCAGCAAACACTGGTAGACTTCTGTATGGAAGCTAGAACGCATGCAAGGTCTAAAGCATAGCCCAGGACTTTCTTGCTCCGTCATAGGGAAAAGGCGTGGTAGCCATCAAGTCACTCTTCCCCAGACAGACACTGCGGCTGCATGGACCATAACTAGCCAGGCACAATGAAAGCGATCCCCGTGCACCCGTTAGGAAGAATCGGGCAGGGAAGCACATCACACGCCCGCAAAATTATGAGGGAAAGAGCCGTCGGGTGATGGGGAGGGACCCCCGTGATGCAGCACATATGAGGTTCGAAATCGAGAGGCTTGACACAGCCCGTTACCCCAAAGCATTTCGGGATTCGCAGTTCTTGGGAGCCAGCACTAGCACCAGAGATAGAGAGAGATGCACTTCACTTCCCAGCATGCCCCGCGATGCACGTCTGGATAGTTCCAGAGGCCTGAGTAGTCCCGCGAGGCGCAGCCCCTCAGAAAACCCCATAGTAGCAGCCGACCACGAAAACTACGATACCCGGCATGCCCTGCACTGCTCGCCCTGTATGCCGGCCTTGTCCTCCTTAGAGCTACTTTATCGGTTGATATCTGATAGTAAGGCTACCATAACCACAGGGGTGAAGCTATAAGGAGTCATGAAAAACGTGATAGCTCCTGCCTGCCCCCTCACAGAACTGCGATACAACCCCGCAGGACTACAATCCCCAAAAAGCAAAGCATTTTTCAAAAGACCGATCGAACCGCTTAACCTATTGGGAGTTGTAGTGCTCTCTCGGTTCCTCACGGATGGGTTTGAAGGAGATAAACGCCCTAGGAAGAATACAAGTCCCATGATGCCCTGCGCGTTCTACACTAAGCTCTCCCTCCCCCCCACCCACAAGCCTGGGTAGTCAGAGTCTGCAGCGACAAGTTCTCACCGTGATCTGGATCTCAATCATGGAAGCTTACCGGGGTATCGAAGGAGAAGGCACACTCATCTTTATGAACGCGGTCTCCGGCCTTGGGCACCCGAATAGACGGCAGCACAGAGAGTAGCGCTTCACTCAGCTCCGCCATGACAGCTGCTTTCTTCGATACCGCCCACAATCTACTCTTACCAATCAGAGAACGACATACACCAGTCTTCCTCAGCCAATGAGGGAGACACAAAAAAGCAAGGCGGAGTCCACTTCTTAGGCCCCTGAGACGCGAGGCTCTTTGTTTGGACCGCCCCCCAGCGTCTACCTCCTTCCCTGCTCCATGTTCTTAAACTGACGGACGTGTTATCCAATTAAGGTTGCAGATGTATGTTCTAGCAAATGGAAACGGTCCATTTTATTCTTGGCTCCGCTCCAATGTTATTGGACTTTAAAATATACTATTGGGCGACGGGCATTTGCCTAAATCAGCCAATAGGATAGCGCCACTGGGCCGTCTAATTGTTTAACTGACAAATCCTCAACCAAATAGAAGACCAAAAGAGAGGGCGGATGTTTATTTTTCAGCCAATGGAAAGTGGACAAGCTCACACGCCGAGAGACAGGTAGGAAACAGGATCGGCGTTGTCCAATAGGAATCGAAGGGGCGGTGTGCGAGTGACTGACTGCCAGATGCTCCAATCAGAGTTGCGGCGTGGGGCGGGGGCTGGACGAAGAAAGCGGGAGATTTGAATCGTGAGTCTGCGGGCAGGGTGCGCGAGGAAGGGGTGGGGGCTGAGCGGAGGTGAGTGGCGGGCGGCTTGTCACAGTTGGGCCTTGGGGCACCCGGCGCAGCGTGAGGCTCCGCGGGGACGGCGGGCACGGGCCGTGCGTGTTTCTGGTCCGTCAAGGGGCATCCTGGGCCTCGTGCCTCCTCGACGCGGTCGCCTGAGCCGCCCGGGAACAGTCCCGGCTGCGCGTGGGGAACCTGGCCCGGCAGGGATGGGGCTTGGCCGGAGCCCTCTTCCCAGGCATGGTGGCGTCTGCCTTCGGGAGGCTTCGTATTATGGAACAGCATCCCGTCGTGTGAGGAGGCCAAATGGGAATACATGGCGTATTCCACTAAATTGTTGCCAGTTGATCTGGCAGGGTATGCCTCCTCCCCTCCTACCAGAGCAGCAGTCTGAGGCCTAGGTTACACGTAATGACAACCCAGAAAATAGGGTGAATTTTGGGTGGCTTTTATATGTGGTTTAGCTGTGGGCTGTAAACCATGAGCACCCCATAGTTCAAAGTGGAACAACACTGTGGGTTCACTTCCCGGGTTGTTTAACAATCCAGAGCTAAACCTTATGTGGAAACCCTGCACTATGAACAGCCTATGATTCAACAATAGTGTGTACTCATGCTCTTCTCCGGGTTGTTACATGCCAACCAGGTCTTACTGTAGCCAGCATGGGAAGGTATATTCTGGCCAATCTTGCCCACAGTAACTTTTCAGTACAACATGGACATCTATTAGTCTTGAGATGGTTGTAAGTTACCTCATTCCAACCCACCCACCTTTGGTTTTTAATGGCATGCTAAGCAGTTTAGAAAGCTGCAACCTGTCAGCTTACTGCAGAGTAATCTAACTGGGTCTTTGATATTTTTCCCATCCTCTCCCCAATGATCTAGAGTAGCGTTCTATGCTGAACATATTCAAAGGTCCAGTACTGGATTTTTTAGCCAAGTTACTTGTCTGTGATCTTCCTCAGTTTGCCTTCTGTGAAATAGTTCCTGGAGAAGAAAATAGTGGTTTGGAGGCAAGTTGCTTTTCTTTTAGCATCATCAGTTAAGCTTCTGAGAAATAGTTATTTTGTAACAAGCTGCACCCACTATGGCAACTATTTTGTGAAAGCACCTACTGCCTATTTATGAAATTCCAAACATGCCTACTGATCCAGAAAGCTGGGGACCCCATTTCTAACTGTTGGCACTTTGACCCTCCTTGGTAAGCAGGTTGAAACACAGTTCGAATCAGCAAATGTATATAGTGAAAGAAATAATGTTACAAATGTACTATGAAGTTAACTGCAACTCAGTGGAATAAAAATATTGTGAAATCAAACACAAGCCGTTGTCACATATTAGCAGAAAACTAAGTTTAAGTTCCTCTTCTTCACTGCCTTAGCTACTCTGTTAATCTGGGACTGTTCTTAGTTGACAACACTGGGATACTTGTGTGGATCTAGTGGTAAAAATCTGGTGGATTTGTACTGGCAGAAATTATTGTGGATGGCAAAGGGATATTAGCCTCCCACTTGGTGGTGTGTCTCCCCCCCCCCCCCTTCCAATTTCTGCTGGCTGGTAATCTAGAAATGCATTTAAGGAGACAGCACCAGAACTGCATTATATCGCCTACCCTTTGAGGCAAAAATCTATCATGAGTAATGTATCTCAGTAGTAGCTGCTGGCATATATTCTGAACTGACAAACTGAGGCAATCTTTGTTCACTCAAAGTTCTGAAATGAAGGCAGTTCTGTGCTGGCTTGACTGACTCTTGGTGCCTTCTTTATTATCGTAAGGCTACATGTAGAGTGATTCTTCTTTCTGCAGAGTGCCTGGCCGGTGGACAAATTGCCCGGAGTAGTTGTCAAGTGCTGCCATGGGGGCTTCTGAGAGCTCCCCAGCAACTCCCACCTGCAAACCTTTGCTTAATAGACATCTGGGACATGTCAGTGACCCACGATCGCCCACGGCGGGGATCTTGAGAACTCCCATAGAGGTATGGAAAGAACCTATGCCTTTCCTTGAAGCCATGAGGTCACTGCAGGTCTTGTGGACCAGCATATGTTCCTCCTCCTTCCCCACCCACTCTTTTTGCATTGATCCGGGGGTCTGACTTTATTCACAGGCTGAGCCAAGCTATTGTTTGTTTGGTTTTTTTCCAGGTAGACAGCTCTCCCCAGGCGACTCCCCTGTCTCTTGGGAAGCAAGATGAATTGGTAGCCAACAACCAAAATCCGAACTGGGACCCTCGCTCCCCAACACCCGGTATCTCACGCACCCCCATGAAAGCTGTGGTGGCTGGTAAGTGGGGATATGGCATTCCCAGCTCAGTCCATTTTGAACGCCGAAGGCTGCAAGATAGGGAACTCCATGACTTTCCCAGGCTTGCCACTGCCTTTGTGCAAATGAGTTCTGAATGTTTGTCAAGGACTCAGAAGACTGCTATTGGCTGCTTTTGCCTTTCAGTCACTGATCCATTGAAGTGAGTAGGCTTTCAGCCCCCCTCCCCTGCACAAAACATACTTTCCCCAAAGGGGTTCATGGGGCCAATTTTGAGTTGTGTGTGTGTCTCAGGGTGTTTTCTAACTTTGAGGAGCCTCTTCTAAAGGTCCTTCTGCTCTCACACCAGCCATTTTATTTTGTTTCTACTCTGATTTTCCAACCCAAGAGCCAGCACACGCAAGATTAATTTAAATTGTAACTTTTTCCTTTCTCCCAGATACATAGCATTGCACTGGAGTGACACCTCCACCCCAGAATCTCAAGCCTTGTTTAGGTAGTTATACCTGTTCCTGTCTCCTTTATCTCATTCTTCCCAACTATAAGCAGTCGGACAGTCAGTTTTTAGGCTGTGTGCCCTTTACTCCCTTGTCCCTAGGAATGTGGGCCTTCCCACTGTAAGTAGAGTAGAGGATGATTTAGTAGTGCTGCTTCATATGTATTAGCGAGTGGGGGCAATTGGATGGACTTTTCATCAGCTGAGTTCCTCTTATGAAGTAGCCGTGACACATAGATTATTTTCGTAGGGCTTCTACCCTCATCTTTTGTTCTACCTCGCACTGCCTCTTACTTGGCTGCTGAATGCACTGTGCTTCTCTATTATTATTAAATTTATTTTACAGCCGCCTGTTAGCAACATGCTAGGCATTGGCCAGGTAGTTCTTTCCTCCAGTTGTTCTTTGTAGAGGTTCTACTCAAGGAAAAAGAATGGACAAGACACCCCCCACCACAAATGTTTCCTGTAGTAGTTTTCTGCCAAAGTACTAACAGCCACAGCCTTCCTGCATATGTCTCATAAATAGCCCAGACAATTTCAGGCATTTCCCAGCAGTAGGGCTAAAATTCATATTTATTTATTAGATTTTCTCATTTAAAGAGTTCAAAGCAGCTTATACCAGTCTCTTCCTCCTGCTCTCAGTCTTATTTTCACAACAACAACCCTGTGAAGTAGGTTGAGCTGAGAGTCTGTGACTGGCCCAAAGTCACCCAGCTTGCTCTATGGCTGAGTGGGGACTAGAACCCAGAATGCCCGAGTCCCAAACCACACACCACATCACACTAGCTCTCTTAGGGGATTATTTCTCTCTAAGATGCAAACAATCATGCCAGGAGAAGCACTGAGCTCTTTCATTCTGGGATTTGCCTCCCTTTCAGATACCATGAACTGTCTAGTGAAGCAGCTCAGTGAAGTTTTTATGCCAGAGAACATGGAGGAAGAGCTGCCTCTTGAAGAGTCTCACCACGAAAGCCAGACCTCTGAAGTCACCTTTGCAACAGAGGAGACCTCAAGGGAGAAAGCTGCTCCTCGGGATACATCCCAGGAAAGTCCCCTAGGGACAGAGGGGGAAAGAAATGAACCACTGCACTCCAGTGTTTCTGTTGTAGCTGCAACAAGACCAGCTCACCTTGCCAGTGTCCTTCATCCTACAGGTGAGCTTGAACTGTCCCAGGCAAGGCCTCTGCCTTCTATGCAAAGGAAAACATGAACAGTGAGGACAGTTTCCTGAGTAAAGAAAGAGAGCCAGATGGGAAAGCATGTCTGTCTATGTATTTGTGGGAGGTAATGTTCCCAGCCAGAACTAGTTGGGGTCTAGGGTGAAAGGAGCTTTAAAATCTAATGCTGGTACCCAGTTGGTGTGCTGTTCACAGACCCCAAGAAAGTACTAACATATGTAAACAGTGCATGTGGGGCAAGTCCCCTTCTTGCTGACCCCCTGGGGCAGGGTTGTATCCAAGAGATCAACATGGAAGAAAACAATGCAAGCTGCATGTTCTTTGGGGCTGCAAGATGTGCCCAATCCTGGCTGCTTGCACCTGATTACATGGAGCAGGGGATTGCATGGAAAGGGGAGAAGGGTGAGCAGATCAGTGATCTTGGGTTGCCATTTCGCTAAGTGCTGTGATTAATCTGTACTCTCTTGTTTCTTTCCAAGGGAGCAAACCAACAAGGCGCAGGGGCAATAACAAAATACTGGCAACATCAATGGGTCCTGGACGTTCTCCCCTTAGCATCCTGCAAGACGACAACTCCCCAAATTCCCTTGCTTCTCACCAGGTGATACGCTGTATGGTGCAGGGAGTCTTCTGTTTCACTGGCTGCAAAGCTAAGTGCTCTCATATACCTTTGCTTTATTTGAGGGGGCTCTTAGCATGTTGACATTTTTCCTTGAAAAGCTGCAGATGATACAGTTGGATTCAGAATAGGTAGGACAGATTGGTTGGTTGGTGCCTTTCCATCATATTTGTTCTACCTGTTATCAAGCTTCTGCACCCTGCCTGCTTTGTTTGACTGTTTCAGTGCTCGCTTAACAGATCTTGACTCGTGGTGTGCATGAAGTATTTTCATAATGTTCAGGGGCATGTGCTAGTTTGGTGCTGGAAATGTGCCACTGGCTTTTACTTAGTAGCAAGCTTTGCCTCGTTTATGTACCAGTTCTGTGCAAAGGTGCCTGTATTAAGTTCTTGTGGCATTCGAAGCTAAGAGTGTCTTGGCTTTTGCCTGGCTAAAGACCTATTGCATTTACTTACTGAATTCTTCTTTATTACACCCTTCCTCCAAGGAGCTTTGGGCAGTGTGCTGTCACACTGCCAGCCTTCCTGAGCAGTGTAGGAAGCTGTTTCTGTAGCTCAGGGCCCTTTAGATGATACACTACACTTCCCATCATCCCTCAGCACGGACTAGGGCTGATGAGGCTGGAGGCCAATATATCTGGTGTCACAAGTTGTCCTGCAGAGGTGCAGGTGCAGGGAGGGAGGTGGGAGAGCAGCTGCATTCTGGGGTCCCCTCAGGTGTTGCTACTGCCAAGGAGCTAGAGAAATGAAATGGTATTGCTGGAAGAGGAAACTGGGACACCAAGGAAATGGCTGAGCCGCGGACAGAAACTTTTCACCATGGTGCACCTGGGTTCCGTGAAAGCAAAGCCCAGTTGCTTTTAAATGGAAGACAACTCATTTCTATGGCAGAAAGTTAAACCACTGCTGTGAAAGACAGAGTAAGGACAAGGTCTGCTCCATGCCTTGCCTCTTTGCAAGCAAGAAGAGGCACTTCTTGTCATACGAGAGAGATCTCTGAGTGCAGAGGTGATTCTTTTCTATTCAAGCAGTTCATTGCTTCTATTGGGCATTCCACTGGTTGGCAGGAAAAATTGGCCCTCTGCTCATGCTGGGGTCACTTGGGAGAAGGGTAAATTTGCCAAATGCCCCAACTGAAGTCCTTCTTCATAAAGGTCAGTGAGTTCTAAGGCAGGCAGTAAGAAACATCAGTGTGGTGTGGATAACATTTCCCCTGGTCCCATCCAGACACTAGTCTGCCTGGTCTGTTCCTGCAAAGCGCTAGGGAGACACTGTGTGCATGGTCACACAAAGTGTTACTCTTTAATCGTGACCTCTTCTCGATGAGCATTTTTCTGGTAAGAGCATGATTAAAACTTGTAAAATCCTCTCTCCACTTTTGACTGTCCAGGACTGACTGAGGTCCCCCAGGTGAAGCAGTGAATTACTTTGCTTTCCCTCCGCCTGACATGGCAATTTTCTTCTCTCTCCAGATTAAGCGGTGTCCATCGGTGGCAGATGACCAAGCAGAGCGCAAAGAGGGAGGGTTGAGTGCTGGACGCAGCAAAGCAGGCAGCTATAACTGGAATTCCTTAAATAAGGAGAATCAACAGCGTCATGTGGTGGAATACTAGTCTCCTTCAGGTGTTTCATGGCCTCTGGCAAGCTGGTTTTGAAGGCTCAAGTGTTGGGGATGCAGTGGCGGCAGCACGGGCTTGGACTTCCTGGAAGTTATTTCCTTCTTGCCACATCTGTCCTAGGCAGGAGAGAGATATGCTCTTATATTTTTCTCTCATCTGTAGTTCTCATATCTTTTATCATGTACAGATCCCTGGATGTAGCTGTTTTCAGAGATGTATTCACTACTACCAGATTTCTGTGTCTGGAAAATAAAGGTTACTTTAGAATGAGACAGTGACTTTCCATGGTGTCTTGCAAACTTAAGGTGGGTCAGTGACCTGTATGCCAGCTCTTCTGTGGGTTATCTCTAGGGCAGGGGTCCTCAAACCTTTTCACCAGGGGGCCAGATGAAAGGTGCTGGGCGCGGGTCAGAAAGGTGGTGCCAGAGGGGTGCGCGGGCCGGCAAGGGGGTGGGTGCGCACACAAGGTGAGGTGAGGCGGGCACATGAGGCACTGGCTTGCTTGCTTGGAGATCGTTTTCTCCCAGCAAGCAAACCACTGCCTCCCCGTGTGCAGGGCGAGGTGGGCGGTGGTGGACGCGTGGCTGGGCGTGGACATGCCCGGTAGGTCCAAATGGGCACGGCGGGCCGGATAAATGGGCCTGGCGGGCCGGATCCAGCTCCCGGGCCATAGTTTGAGGACCCATCCGCTAGGACAAGCCTGGGGAGTTGTAGTCCTTTGTAGAAATTAGTACTGGATTTTGAAGTGCAGCGGGAGAGCACAATAGTCTAAAACCTGTGGGACATGCTGCTGGTGTATAAGCCATGCAAGTTATATACCAGCAGTATGCTGCGCTTATTGAAGCAGGGCTTGCTGCTTAGAAGATATGCATAGGAGTGCAGGGCTCTTCCTTAATATTGCAAGAGGACAGCATATGGGGAACGCACTGCGCACACGCACCAAGGCCGACACTCGGTCCCCAGCATCTTGTGTACCAGGACATGGGAAGAATTTCTGCGGAGGCCTCGGGCAGTCATTTTCAGCCAGCAGCAACAATTGGCTCAGTAAACTGATGGTTTGAGGCAGGCATCATGCTGGTCTGGCATCCCCTGTGGGTCTCCTCAGGCAATATAAGGAATCGTATCTTTCATGGTATTTGTAGTAATGGGGGTCATGCATTGCGCATGATTGCAAGGGGAGTTACGTGAGTTGGAGGCAGAGGACTATCGTGTTGTCAGCACCATTCCCTGAACAACAATGACCATATACCTTGCCAGTCACTTAAATCATCAAGTAAAAATTGAACACTGCCTTCAAATGCACTTTTTCTATGGAAATCTCAAGTGTATCAATACCATATTCTTGATACTCTGAACCAGTTTCTTGAGACACGTCTTTGCCTCCTGCTATGCAGAGAAATCCTGGAGCGGATGAATTGCTTCTAGTACAAAGGAGGTATTCAAACCATTTTTATTCTTCCCCAGACTCATGCTGTGCTCATTATCAGACTTAGAGGTATTGTTCATGTTTTGTGGCTTGGTTCTTTTAAGGACTTCACACCCATGCAGTCACAAAGATTCACTTTTGGTGTATTTTGGGAAGCACAGTGTATTTCCTTTGTAGAGCAGGAAGAAAAGATATGGGGGTGCCTCTCATACAAATTGTTGGTCACAAGTGGACAAAAATAGCAGGGAAGATGGGGTACTTTTACTGCCTATGGGCCATTGTTTCACACCTCTCTGAACTATGAATCAAGAAGTAACCACTCCCATTGTGCCTTATAATATAGGTGGGACTACTAACTATGCTTTAGGCCCCAGCCCACTGCCATCCCAGAATAGAGATGTTACTGACCTATAAAGCAGTCTTGTAAAGACTGCTGAAATAGTAGATCAGTGTAAGTCTTGCACAAAACTTGTCACAGAAGTTAAACTGTGTTTTGATGTGATGTCTGGGTTGACAAGTGATTGCGTGCAATCAGCTGGCAATTTTTTTAACCTAGGGTTTTCAAATGGCTTGTGCTAACAATTCATAGACCACTTTCAGGCACACTTCTGCCTCCAGGGTCTGGTGTAGCATGTAGACAGCTTTAAACTTATGGAATGTCCAAAATAAGCCAGCATGTTTTAACTGATGAGAAAGATATCTTGTGTTATGAAAATGAATCCTTATACCCGCATTCTTGAGTTGCCAAATCTGAAAGAGGTGCTTTCCCCGGAGGTGCTGATTGTGCTATTGCCCTGGCTTATACATGGAATTTTTCCACACAGCCCCATGGTCTCTCACCACTTCTTGCTTTGATTTTTCTTACCACAGTATTAGCTAAGGAGCAAAAGATGGAAAGGATAACACAATACCTTCTAACTGGTAGCACTAGAGATCTCTGTCTGAAAGCGCCCAAGTTCTAGGAACTGGAACTGACCTTTTATTGTCTAACAAATGTAGTACATTTATTTCTTAGAAGTATTTACTGCTTTATAGCAAACAACATGCAATGATGAAGCAGCTGCTAATCACTGCCTTCTCTCATCAAGTGGCAAACTTTATTTGCTCCCAGTAGTTCTAATTTCTGGATGGTGTTGACTGACACGTGGACCTTCAAGGCTGCTGACCAATCATTGCATGAAAAGCTGGGCGCTTGCTGCTAATCTGTGGCTGCTGTTGGAACCCGAGAATCTCCAGTTCTGAAAATGTGGCACTCCTCAGAGCCTGGAGAAAGGGCCAGCACTCCGGTGGAGGGAAGTGTACACAAAGTTGGTGATTTCGGTGCGTTAGTGTGCACAAGGAAGTGGAATGGTGTGAGGTGGAAATGCAAGTGCAGCCTGAGGGGCGTATGGTGCCCATTTGTGTGCTGTGAAGATTTGCGCAGACTGCACGCAGGAGTGCGTTCACCTTCACTGCGCTCTTCTTTCTGGATGAAAGAAATGTGATAAAAGTACAGTAAGCTCTAGTGTCTTCTGAGCCAAAGGAAAAGGGACTGTAATCCTGCCCTGGGAGCTTCTCACCACTCCAGGCAGCATGGGGCACATCCATCTTTTCCGGCTGCTCTCAAAATGCTCTGGGCTGCAGTAAGAGACTTGTCCCTTGTCAGCCTGAGCCCATGAAACCAGCCTCAAATGAAGCGGACTGAGCTGATCCATCTCTTGTGTCACTTTTATTTTGCTTGGGCTATAAAACTCCTGTATGATACAGTTACATCTCAAAGCAGTAGCTTAGGGGCACCTGAAGGAAGACTGCACAGTGCGGGATGGGCAAGGAATTGTGGGAAAGGGGTGACTACTGGCGAACAGTAAACAGGACTACATTAAACATTCCCCGGCTCTGGTGCCCGAAACATGGGCAGCAAACTTCCCCTTAAAACGCATAGATTAAAAGCAGTGAGAGCTAACTGACTTTCCTTCCTTATTTGAGAAAAAAATAAAGATCACTGCAGGGTCCTTTCTATGAAGAACTTCTCAGGAAGGTGTCTGGCCTTGCAGTACAGTGCAAAGCTATTGCTGGGGTGTGTCTGGGAGCCTGATAGGGGAGCAAGTGAGGTAAAAATGAACAAGAACAATTGGGGTAGTGGGCCACCCCCATGGGATACATCAGGTACCGCCCGCATGCCTCTGATTCACTGACCTTAGCAAAGTATTTGGGGGTGGGCAGTGGGCCACTCTGTGGCTTCAAGGGAAGAAAGCTGGGAGGGCTCGGTGGCTGCCTCACGGAAGGGCATCCTTGGCGCCAACACGATAAGAGCCCCTGAGCCCATGGAAGGGCAAGAAGGAGTTTGGGAAAACTGGCTTGTGTGGACCCTTTCCCTGAGCTGCTCCTTTAGGTAGGGAAGTCTTGTGAATTGAGAAGTCTGCACAGAACTTGCAGAAGTGTCAGTCACACTCAGTAAATGACAGGGCTGGGGTGGGCTCCCCACAATTTCCCTTCTCTGCAGTTCATCTTCAGTTCCAGATTTTCAGGAAGCTGTCCCAGGAACCAGTGGAAACGGCCATGCCGTCTGCAGTTACTCCCAAGCAGCTCACCCTGTTGTCATGACCAGACAGGATTCCTGCAAGAGAAGGAAAGAAACACCATCATGCTCAATCATGATGTCCTTTCATGCATGGACAAGCTCTCAGACAGAAGGCTCACGGAGGAATGGGGATATTTTGTCCTCAACATTGGAGGAGAGTCGTTTGGTTTCTGAACTTGCTCTTCTAGAAAAGCCATGGCCTTGCTTCCCTCAGAGGACAAATGTTCCCTGGCTGGAGGGAAGCCAGCAAAGCAAAAGCATTAGAGCTCAGTCCACATACCCACACGCTCTGCTTTTAGCGAATCCCAGATGTTGCAGTTGAAGTCATCGTATCCAGCCAAAAGGAGGCGCCCACTGCGGGAGAATGCGACTGAGGTAATTCCACAGATGATGCTTTCGTGAGAGTAGACAATGAGCTCCTGGTCTGCCCGGAGGTCAAAGAGCCGGCAGGTGGCATCATCAGAGCCAGTGCAGATGGCCTCGCCATTGGGGAAGAACTGGGCCAAAGCAAGACAAACAAACACCTGTCTCATCAGTTCTGTTCTCTTCTTCATAGCCCTCCTGACAGTTATTTCAGCCATAGTTTTATCCAAAGTTTAGTGTTTTTTTATCCCCCCCCCCCCCGGCCCACTTTTCTCTGAGCTTTAGACTCAGCCACCCTCTATCCTGGTGACGGTTCCTGGCCAACCAAGGAAACATACCGAGATGGCATTGATATCAGACTCGTGTCCTGAGAATGTCTGGCGGCAAGATCCCTCTCGGACATCCCACAGCTTAGCAGTGGCATCACAGGCTCCAGAGATGAAAAGCTTGAAGTCTGGTGAAACAGCCAAGCTCATGCAGTCTCCAGTGTGACCGACAAACACCGTCTTCTGCTGTCCTGTCTCAATGTCCCAGAGGGCACTGAGGGGGGAAGAAGAAGGGGCTTGTTAGGCAAGGGCCATCTCAGACAGACTAGGGATACTGCTGCATTTACAGCCTACCTTTCCTCAAAACAGAGTTCTGCAAACAACAATATACTAAAAGCTAATATAACGGTGCAAACACTTAAAAAATAAAAAGGGAAATATGTAGAAATTACATTGGACATTTGTAATTCAATTGCCTTGAAAAGTCAATCCCACTCTCCTAACCTCCAAAGCTGTACCCATCAAGTATCTCAGCTGCTGGCAAAGGGTTGTTCAGCATTCTTCTCTCCAGTCTCAGAAGAGCAGATCTTGCCAGGACTGACAACTTATATGCTGGGCACAGCGGTAGATGGGAAGGTGCAGCCAAGATGCACCCTCCTAGGAGGACTATGCCAAAATTTCTGTGGCTCATACCAGTTTCACAACTTGTGTGGAACCGGGTTGTGGGGCAGGCCGTTCTGCCTGAGCTTCATGCATGTATCATGTTCAGGGTTGCCGGGTTCCATTGCCCCAGACTCCAGGACTCAAGGGGACCCACTTGGGTTCCTGGCAGGTTTGTTTATTTATTTAGAGTTTTTGTATGCCGTCCCATTGCATAATGCCTCGGGATGCCTTACATAAACAAACAAACATAATACAAAAAGACAGATTATACAGATTAAAAGGTTGGGACAGGGGATACCTAAGGAGGTGGAGCATACTGGAACTTCATGGGTTAGGGTTGATACAACCCAGCACTGGAGTAGAAGAGGGTTTATGGACAATAAGCTAGTATCTAGGCTACTTTTTTCCAGGATTAACACCCCTGCCTTTTTGCTGTGTTTACCAACACACCAAGTGCCTCTGTGTGGTTATCATGGTTTGCTTTTTTACATGAACTACCCAACAAATAATCAAGCAATTCCTACTTTATTGCAGTTTCCATTCTCCCCTCTCAGTCCTCCTGTTGTTGGCATGTATCCTATCAGTCACTGCCTGAAATTCAATCCCAAGGTGCATTGCTCCCTGCCTATGTAGACTGCCTCTTCCTTATTGGTCCACACATAGAGGCTGGATGGCTGGAATCACTCCTGCAGTTACCACTCTTTTCCAAGGACTCTGTGGTAGTTGCATAGAAAGACCATGGAAACCATGATTCAGAGGACATGGCAGGCTACAGTAGTACAAAGAAACCACCGAGCAAACCATTATCATGGTTTCTAAGATCACATTTACCATGGAGAAATACAACAACTGGGTCCAGACAACACAACAGAACAACAATGGTAAAAACAAACCAAACCAAAACCCACCACAGCTTGTTGTGTTGCCTAAACTCAGTAGCTTCACATGTTTGTCTTACGGGAGTAGATTCTTCTAGAAGCAGTGAGCAAAAACATATGATGGAACTTTGTATATAGGAAGTTTGTACCCTACCTATGATCTTGTGGTGCTCGGCAGCTCACACACAGGTAGCTAGTCCTACTTACCATGTCGTGTCCCCAGAACTGGTCACAATGTTATTGTCGTCAAGGAATCGACAGCAGGAGAGATAGCCTTCAGGGAAGGGATAACAGAATGTGAAAACCTTTAAAAGGAAGACTGGGGCATTGATTTATGTATTTAGACAGATTTGTGTGTTCTGATTTAGAAAGTTGCAGACAGATCATTTTGTTTTGTACCAAGATATCCTGAATTCTTCAACCTGTATAAATTCTGCAGGTTATAAAAATAAGCACGATTTTCTGCATAATTTTGAAATTTGTACTCAGTAACTGTAGTGCATCCTGCCTCCTTCATGGGGAGAAATGAGATCTGCACAGTAGACCACTGGAAATAATATTCAGCAACTTCTCTGGCTTCTGCAATTTTACGGTTAGCTGGGAATCCCAGGAAGCTGAATTCTGCACTGAGATTCTACTCCTCCTCTGCCTGTGTCAGAGAGGAGCATACACATGGCAAATGCAAGGAAAGGTTACCTGTATGGGCTGAGAGTTCCCGGCTCACTTTCACATTCCCTTCACGACTCTTGAGGTTGTAGATGGAGCACATGTTGTCAAGCCCTCCACAGGCCACAAAATTCCCCGATGGGGCATAGGCACAGGTCATGACCCAGGAGGAGCGGAGCGGGATGGCATGAACCTGGGACCAGAGGACAGGGTAGAAACCCAGAGTGAGTTTGGGATTCCTGAGAGAAACATTGATCACCTGTTGCAGGAGGGGCTTCAGCAACAGCAGTGCAGGCTCAGGAATGAAATGTTAGCAACTGCTAGGAAAGCACCTGCTTTTTCATTCCGATGCTTCTACCTGCTTCTCCATCCCTTACCTTGTTGGTTGTGTATGTGTCCCACACAATGAGCTTCCCATCTTGTGAGGCACTGACCATAAGCCTGCGGGAGAGGACCAGAGGCGAGTTAGTGCAGGGCATATAAAGCCAACACTAAAAAGAAAAATACTATACAGTACAATGAAAGCAAAACAAAACACCAAACAGCACAAGAAAAATATTAAGTATATAAAGAAAACATGGAATCTAAAGTGCTTGGAAGAAAATGAAGATTTTGCCAAACCCTGGAAAGTTTAAGGGTCTATGCCCCAGGTGAGTCTGCTTGAAGAGGGCGTTCCATAAATGGGGGGCCACAGTTGAGAAGGCCCTCTCTCAGGTAGCAGCTTCCTAACTTCCTTTGGACTAGCCACATATGGGAGGAAATGCTCCTTTTGATCAGGGATACACAGCTGAGGTGCACAACCCTCTGCTGCCCCTGGAGCATCAGTGCTCTCCATATGGAGAAAGTCCCGATGAAAGAGGCAGGGGAAAGGATGTCAGTGGGAAGGGCTTCCTGACACAGCCCTGGTCCCACCATCCTCCCCCCCCCCCCCGCATTGGTCAGAGGAAGCAATTTGGCCCCTGGATGACTATAGGTCTTCCATCTGTAATAGAAATATGTATAACAAACCTACCTTATTTCAATGGACACGAGGACTCAAATTAGGAAAGTATGAGTTGCCCCAAAGTGTATCGCTACTAATTAAAAGTCCCCTCCCATCTCGTCATATGCTGAGCTGTAGAAGAATACCACACGAAATGATCAAGAGCTGACCAGTATGCTCTTGTCTTGCTTTCAGTTTTAATTTTGCACTCACAGTTAACTTGCAGGCACCATCACTGACAGATCACCCATTCTGCCTATAAACATGTGCAGAAAGAGCAAATGAAACTTTCAGCACCAGAAGGATCTCGGCCTGCAAGACTCTGCATACCAGAGGTAAGAAGAGCCCCTGGCTGCCTAGTCTGCCCCCATGGCTGGCTTCAACACTATCAAGGAAGGAGTTACAAAAGAAGTAGAAGAGGCAGCATGGTGGTGCCCTGGGGAGGTTCCCAGCCCCATCTTCGTGGCATCACTTACTTGGAATCTGTGGACCAGTGACAAGCATAGATCTTGGCCAGGTGCCCACGCAGGGTTCTCCGTGTACGCATCTGGATACGTCCCACCACTTCAATCCCAGAGACGAGCTGCATAAAAAAGGGCTTTTAGCTCCCGCCATCAAAGGTTGCGGTGGGTGAACAGAAAGAACACCCATGTCTGTCAGGTGGTTTGGGAAATCCCATTCTTCCCTTGGGAGCTATGCTAAATTCTTTCTCTCAAAAAAATTAAAAATGCAACCAGATCGGGTAATTTATTACCAGCCCTTCTTACCTGGGCAAGTGTAGTGTCCGCACAAGCTTTTCGAGCGTCCTACAATGGAAAGCGAGAGAAATGGTGTGAAATTACGGGCAAAGAAAAGAAGGCAGCAGGGATGGAGACCTTCTTTGTGGAAAATGGGCCCTGACTTCTCTGGCCCTGAGGCCACCCCCCTCTTGCTTCGTCCCCTTGAAAAGGCAGGTCAAACAGATGGACTCAGAGCCAAATACTTGATCGTGTTGCATCCTGTCCTTCCTCCAAGGAGCTCTGGTGACTTATCCTCACAACAGCGCTGTGAAGTAGGTTAGACTGAGCATGTGCGATTGGCTCAAACTCTTCAGTCAACACCTAGAATGGATCAAGTTTTGCATACAGTCTTGCAAATGTTGGACTTTCTCTTCTACACCACACCATCAATTTTTGTGGTCATGGGCTTTAGGACACTGGAGTAAGCAACAAAACCCAACATAAAATTTTTAAAAACTAAAGCACTTTTTGTGATAAAAATAGTTCTTAAATGTTATCCTATTCCTTAAGTCGTCCTAATAAAACTGTTTATATCTTTAAAAATAGGTATGGTGCAGACCACATATCAGCCATCCCAGTTCTTGTGGACAGATTGACCAGAACATTAAGATGTGGGCAGGTTTACGTCTTACGTAACAGTTGGGTGGAAATGCATGTTTTCCATTGCATCTTCTGTTAGTAAAAGTGGGAAGATGACTATTCAGAGAAGGAGCATGTTGTATCCCTGCGGAAGCCAAGCCATTGCCAAGTTGCAGCCCTGCAAATCACTCCTCTTGCAGAATGCTAAGTGGAAAGGCACCAAGAGACCTCTTCTAATTCTAATCCTGGTCCAGAATTCTCTGTTCTTATTTATTTATTTTTCAATTTATATCCTGCCTTTTTCCTACAAAGGGCTCAAGGCAGCTTACATCATTCTCCTCCTCCATCTTATCCCCACAACAACACCCCTGTGAGGTAGGTTGGGCTGAGAGCCTGTGACTGGCCCAAAGTCACCCAGGTGGCTCCATGGCTGAGCGGGGACTCGAACCCGGGTCGTCTGAGTCCCAGTCCCATGCTCTTAACCACTACGCCACACTGGCTCTCTCTCTTTGGTGCAAGTACACTATTTGGTACTTGCACCAAATAATTCAAGGGAGGGAACAAGTACCCCTTCAATTGCTTTAAAATTATCACAGGCTTATAGTAGATATATAGCCTGACTGTTTCATTCTTTGGCAGTATATTTCATCTTGCAGTACAATTGTGTAGGTATCATGGCTTCTACATCAAGATTCTCAACCAATACATTTCATTCCATTCCAAGATTGCAACCATCCAGATATCATGGCTTCAACATCTAGTCAACTCTTTCCTTCCCCAACTCCTGCTTTTGTAATATCTTGCCTGATGAAGAGATCTAAAGATCTTGAAAGCTTGCACGGTTTTTTGCAATCTTACAATTACGCTAAACTTTTGGTTAACAGAATACAGCTATTACACTAGCAGTGATTTTGAAACAGTTTAATGTTAACTTTCAAGAAGCAATTTCTGGAAAGTTAATCAAAAGTACAATGCTAGTAAAGTCAGAGCCCAAGATGATGATGACAAGCTTTAACATGCTATATAGTTATAAGCCTTTGGGTAACACTCTATGGTGTGCCAGTAATACAATTCTCCAAGGTACAGATGGGGAGGGTGAGAGAAAGCGTCCTGCTAGAGGTGAGGATGCCAACTCAGTTTGTAGTTCGGCTGCTGGTTGCCCCAACAGAGATGGGCCAAGAGCTCAAGCCGGGCAGGTTCTGTTGTGCCCAGCATTACCTCAATCTGCTTCTTCAGCTGCTCAGTCTCCTGCTTCATCTGTTCTATTTCACCCATCTTGATGACTAGCTCTGGGCCTCCCACTTGGGGTCACCGGGGTTCTGTAGCAATCCAAAGAGAAAGAGAGCAACCATGAGATTCCAGCTCTTTCATGTCTTCAGTATGTCTAGATGCCTGGATCTCAAGAATTAGTTTAATAATTTACAGCAGGCTGCACCACAGGTATTGAATAGAAGAGACGTGACAGAAGATTACAGCAAACCTAGGCCCAGACCAACAGAAACCTCTGTCCCCCACCACACCACCCTGCTGCAGATCAGGGAGGAAAGCTCACTCGGCAAAATACGGAGCAAGCAAGGAAGCGCCTGAGGATGCTGGTGCACCTTTTGCGGTGCTGCCAGCCACCCTCATGTCTTCCAATGCATGTTGGATGCTCAAGAAGCAAGCTGGTTCAAACAGGTAAGTGGGCTACATGATTCAGCTGCAGGGCGTATGACCAGATATGACAACGGACTGGCTCACTATGTGTTTCTAGCATCTGCCAGGATACAGCGAAAGGAATCCATCTAAAAGCAGCCAGAAGAAGCAGCATTTCCAGGGGAAGATTGCTCAGATGTATTTCTGGGCAGGCAGCAAATTCCCTGGTGGCCACCTCTGCAAGATGAGGCATTTCCTGCACACTGTTTGCAGGTTCTTTACATGAAGTCATTCTCCTCCTAGGGCCTCACCCATATTTCCCAGCCATTTTTGCAACGTTTTTTTCGAGCGAGGATGATTCTGTATTTTTGTGGACGCTAAGGAGGCCTACTAGAATTTCCATACCGCAGCGCCATCTTGTGTTCTGAAGTGGAATTGTACAGAAATTGTACAGATACACAAAGAGAAGAGTCCACCCCTGGGGGGAGGGCGGAGCTTGGCTAAAAGGACATTCTTTCTCCAGCAAAGAAAGCAAAGGTCACCTCAGTAAAGCACTGGGTTAAATGTTGCATGCAGAGAAGCCCATCGACTGCATCTCTTGTGTGCTGTGCATGTTTAAGCTGGTGTGAGCAGAAAACTGGATGAGTCGTACATGTGGAATGGCCAGATTCCATAGGGACTGAGAGCACATTTTTAAAATGTAAACAGTGACAGAGCAAGTGGCTTGAAAAGGATAAGGTCTCATGGCAAAACAGAGGGCAGAGGCTCTTACGGAAATTGTGGAAATCCTTGTCCATGTTCACTTACAAAACCACATACAAAACTGGTACATAAATATGTGGTAAATCTGGAATTAAAGGGTACAAAGCATACACAATAGGTGTAATCTGGTCAAACAAAACTGAAGTACTGTTGAGTTCAATGGACAAATTAAGATGATGGTTAATGCTTCCTAACTGAAGTGAACTGTAAGTTAAAGGGCTTGCCTTTAACTGAATTGGATCCACATTAGTCAAATTCTGAAATGCCAGTCTGAGCTCCATTCCTAATATTTTTGAATGTTTGCATATTTAAAGGGGTTGTCAAACTTGCCAGCACTTTGATCTATTATAGTCTATTAAAGCCTGTTCCAATTCTTTTTTCCCCTTTTGTTAAATCGAAACATATAAATGCATATATAATCTGTCTTAAGCACTGGAAATAGTGCAGGGTTTCATACGTATACATTTGCTACTGAATCTATTTTATATTGTTTTGACATTTTTGCACTTGGTAATAGTTCCAGCTCATATAAATGGGAAGGACATAATAAATACACTCAGAGTGAAATGTGGCCCATGTTCCACAGCAATGCAGCGTGAAAGGTGAGCCACATTTGCAGTCCATCACTCTGTAACCTTCTCCTCCTCCCACCGCTTCAGTCCCTCTTCCTGCACACTCAGGCAGTATCAGTTTTTATACTTCCCTTCAATCTGATTTTTGTAGATCAAGCTCCTAGTAAACTGGCAAACTTATTCCCATCACTGCACTTGACCGCATTGCTAAAATGGCAGAGCAGAAAGGGATTCCCAGACCCATCATTTTAAATAAGTTCTTTGCTTTATTAAAACATAGACAACAATATACATCCAGGCATTATAAATGGAATAGCACTATAATCTGTAATGCTATAAGAAAAAATATTATAGCATTCTAAAGTGCTGTGTCCCTTTAGTGCTACATTAAACACACACACACCCCTTCTAGTAATCACTGTTAACCCCCTTGCTTAAGTAGGCAATGACCGGAAGCTGGATTTTCCCATTTGATATATATGTGTGTGTGTGGCATTATACAGGTACAGCACTATAAATCTCTAATTTAAGTGCTGTTTGCTATATTAATATTTTTCAATATAGACAAGATTCTGTATTACTTAAAATTACCATTTTTTAAAATTAACCAGGTAGTGCAGGGTTCATCATCATGGTACCTGAGGAAGCCACTTTGTTTTCCTTGCCTTCTTGGGTGCCCATTGAGGAGCTCTACTCCTCCTAACTTTTATTTAGAAAATATTTTCGTATGTTCTGAGTAGCAGCTGGGACAGGTTCTGAGTGCCATGGAAAGCTCTAGCTTCTGCCCGCTTAACTTCCTTGTTCTTTGCACTGGCCATGCCCACTATGCCATGCCAAGCATATTACGGTTGGGCCCAGGTCACGTTCCCATATGTCCAGATGTTGAGCTGTGATAGATTTAGGCTCATCTGCCCAATAGGATGCTACCCATGTTGCACCCGTGCCTCTCAAGCAAGATGGGAAAGTAGTACCACCATGCAGGGTTTGGGATGGATGCACAGTGTGGAGTGTCAACAGCAATTGTGGTTGTCAAGGAAGAGGAATGGTTGATTACCGCTAGCAGCTTGTCTGTTTGGAAGTGTGCCAAGGCTGGCACTTGTATACGATAAACTGGAAGGAAGGAAGGAGATGGCTGAAAGCTGAACTCACAGCTTCGCCCTCTGCTGACAGTTAAGAAATATTCGTTTTTATATTTTGATATCACAGGAAGGAAGACTAGAAGTTAGTCTTGGTGAGTTTGGGTTTGCCTGTTATCAGAAATGACCCCATCTGAAGAAATCCTTCATTAACTTGGTACAGGGTTTCAAAAACATCTAAGCTTCTAGGGTTGTCTTCCAGTATGAATGAAGATCTTGTGGGCTGTGGCACTTCAATATCCTCACAACCATGTTCAGCACCTCCCTTCCTTGCACCCTTCCGGCACTGCCACTAGTCAAATGCATGGATCAGGTAGGAAAGCTTTTTTTGGCAGAGCAAATGTTCAGAAACAGGTGGGAGTTGAGGGCTGGCAAATGGAAGAGCAGGCAGTGGGATAGTATTTTTTTTTTTAATTTAAGAATATTTTTCAGTCAGGGCCAAACTTCATTCTGCAGGATTCATATAACCGAGGCCTCTCCAGTTCTTCCAGATTTACAGACTGTAAAGGTGTTTAGCATTGACTTTGTTTAATTTCACAACTGTAGATTTAAAGAAACTCAGGGCAGATATAGACAGTCATTTAAAGCAGAAGCGCACAAGCATCTATCTAAGCTACAGATGTGTAATACTTCCTGAACGCTTGGAAAGGTGATATAGAAGATCAGACTCCACTAGGGTGACAGTGTGGCACAAATATCCATTTCCGCTCTCCAGGGCTAATTAATCAGATTCTAAATCTGTGAGAAAAATATCTGGAAAGCATGCTACATGGCTGTGAAGTGTGTCTACACTGCAGAAGCGAGAGCAGAGGAAGAAGCTATTTTCACTTTGTAATTGGCTCTGCTAGGCCCTTAAACTATTTGGGGCCCAGACCCATATGACACAAACCTGCATAAAATTGGCATATATTCATTTATACCTACATATGCAAACTTAGAAATAATTATCACAGCTATTTTCTCATCTTAAAAAAAAATCTAAAAATAAATTCTTCAGTTAACTTGCAGCCAAATTTGCACCCTCCTACTATTTCAATTAATTTGTACAGATGAGAGAAAATGTAAAACAGAAATGACGGATTCTTTTCATGAGACTTTTCTCTTTCTCTCATCCTCTCTCTCAAGTACACACATAAATAAATGACATCAAAATGGACAGAATGCTATTCAAAGCCACTCAAAGGCAAGAGAGGTCCGCCTGGCGCCATCGTTATTTGTTTTTCGGCGCCAGGTTAAGACCTTTTTATTCCAACAATATTTTAATAACTTTTAATATTGGCTATATATGTTTTAATCTGCAGCCAGGGTGGATCTGGAATTTATTTGTATTATGTTTTATATTCTTATTCTTATTTATTTATGCAAGCTGTCCTGAGGCTTTTGCGAAAGGACGGCATATAAATATTCTAAACAAACAAATAAATAAATAAGTCATGGGGTCACCTCAAATAATTTCCCAGGCAGATTCTGTTGTAGTCTTCTTCAATTAATTGCCCAATTAACGTACCACCAAATATTCAATTTAAAATGAAAGATCAGAATGCTGGTTGTGAGGTAGAGTGCTGGAAGGCAGAGGAAGGGGGGCAAAGCTGAAGATCTGGAAGGAGAGTAGAGGGGAAGTAGAAATGAAGGAAGGAAATGATTTCCATAATGCCTGTAAACTGCCTTAAAATAATACAATCGCCACGGGGTGTATTAAGAACGAACAAGCAAGGGACTTTTGAGTGGGGATCGTAACGAGGGGAAGGGTGGACAGCAGGAGGGAGAGGCAGGGTGCCTGGGAAGAGAAAGTGGGGAAGCCTCAGGTTCCTTGCTCTCCGGTTTCTGAGGGTGTCTCTCCAGGTGGTGTGGGCTCGGAACTTCTTCCCCAACCCTTTGCACTTTCCCACAGATATACAGACAAAGGCACAAGCAGAGCAAGCCCCACATCAAGTGCAGCCTCATTATGAGCTACAGGAAAGGGATGTGAGAGAGATGCAAAAATCTGGAGGGGCCAATCCAAACACGCCAGGATCCAGATCTTGCTCTCGCTTGGAGCACCTGAAGAAGGACCTGCTGCCCAGGTTGTTCGACCTTTTAAGAGGGCACTAGACACATTTCCCCCCTCTTCCGCTTGTACCTCTCTGCCTCTTCCTCCACCCCCCCTCCATTTCTCTTTCCCTCCTGAAGGAAAATTGCCCTCACCCTATGCAGTTAAGCTTAGGACA